CTGCCGGCCATATGGCCTGATACCGGGCGGTGATGCAGGTCGCCTGCATTGCATCGCAGCATCGCAGCCTGAGATGACAGTCGAGAGAAAGAGAAATTTGTGAAGGTCGGTTCAGTTGCATTACTCCAGATGTCTAAATTAGGTAATTTGGCCTGTACATTGGAGCTCCGACAAATTATCAGGTCACGGCTGGCAGTTGATCCTGAGCAGGTGCCTGCCGGCCGACCGGTGCTGGGGTCGCCCTATCGCCTGCCGTGATTGTGGAGGCAGAACCTCTGACAATCAAGGACCACCTGCATTGCAACTCTTGGACACCGCCTTGCCTTCTAGAAGTTCCAGATGGACTCCGAAGAAGCCACACGTCTATCTCTATCTCATACCTCAAACTCTGCTCTACTATACCAGGACTGTCTATCAGTACCAGCCAATTGACGACTACCAGCTCTGACATTGATTCGCAATGCTGCCGGGCTAATGTCCTCTCCTACTCTTTCGGGTGATGGCCACAGAATCCAGATCCCTGCAATACGTCAAGGATAAATTCTGCCGGTATCTTGCGACTCAGGACTGTCACCAGTGGGATAATGTTGCTGGAGCTGTTAGGGAAGCAGTTGTTCTTCACCTCTGTATTGTGAGGGAGACATACGACTCATCCTAATTGGACGTGTCTACCTTACTCACAGTGCCTACGTTGGTTTAGTCGTCTGCTGATCTCGCTTCAATGCGCTCTCCGAGTCTCCCTGCGGCCGAATATGCGACCACCAGGACGTCAGACACAAATTGATTTGTCGGGATAGGCCCTGGGTCTCTTCCATGTGCACTGACAATGACTCGAGAAGGTACTTCTTGGCACAATGTTCTGGGGTTTCATGATTCAACATCGCGGGGAACTACGTGGACGCTTTGTTGCGCGTAACACGGACGACCTCGGGACCATTGCGTTTTCGTTGCTGCTGGTGTCATGCCCCGGGGGGACTCCACCGGTTCGCTCGATGCCGCAATACCAAATGCTCACACGATTGCATTCGCGGTAACAAGTCGGGATGTCCGACCAACTCAAACCTGTCATACTCTTCGGTAGACCGCCCTATGTGACCTGAAGACAGCTATCCACCACATCATCGACAGGGACCGTATTGCAAGTCTCCAGCCAGCCCGGTGGTTAAATGCAAGCGCGACTCCGCTCCGTTAATATACAGTCTACATTGACCGTCACTTCTCGTGATATGGGGGGACACCCGACAGGCCAGCACCCTGAATCTGAGATCAATCTCCTTAGGATCGTGCCAGTCCGTTGTCTAGGAGCATAGCCCCCGAGAATTTACCCTTCACCTGGGAGGCCATGATGCCGTACAAAGTTCAGCATATCATCACATTGTCCCCAACAACACACAAACCATGCATATTCACAATGACCTGTTATTTCACAACAAGTTCCAGGAAGATGAAGGTGGTACACCGCTGTCCTAAAACCTGTCTTCTCGCTCGAAGTTGAGCCACATACTCTGTGTGAAGTCGCCACCACCTCACAATAACTGTCCTGAGAAGTACCCTCATACCGTATCGCGCCACTGATAGGACCTCATCGACAGTTCTGTCAAACAGCAGCAAGCTGCTCGAATCAAGATGTGAGTAAGGGACTATGAACGTGCCAACATTTCAATCACCTCCACATGGAGACAAGATGCGGGATGCGCCTTGAAAAAGACCCATAGGTATGAGAATCACCGCATCATTGCAAATATTGTTTCAGGCCCAAAATCACTAATGTTACGGAGCATATGTCAACCAGTCACTCACGCCCTTCGATAGCTTATTGTGTTTACTGCCTCACTGCCAAGCAGATGCGTTAACCAAGAGATGTCCTTCATCGCAACGGCTCAACAGAACGCCACTTCCAAACTACCAAAACACTGGCATGGTGGGCACGGGACGTTACAGATATTGATCTATGTGTTGTTGCTGATGAGTAATCGTAGACTATGGATTCTTTCATGGCAGCTATATCACGGACTTGGAAGGCACTGATGACATCAGAGGAAGAAAGGCAAGAGGCTGGTTCCCGAAGCTCCGTCACCGACTTTCATGCGAGCATGAGCTCGTGGTTCTTACTAGGCGACTTAATGCACAAGGCCGCCGGCTTCAACCACAGTTCGAACGGACGTCTCTACCCAGCCTCGCCAAGCTCGGGATGTTTCAAAGACTCAATAACCGCTACTTTGCTACAACTCTGCCGACGAAGAAGTGTTGTCTGAACAAATTGCTCGGCCTCGGCTCAACAGCATAGCACTTGACACGGAGGCTCAGGCAACATCTTACAAGTTCCAACTCATGTCAAAGAGCCACTCGCGGAGTTCCCTGCTCCCCAGACCTGTCATGCCGCCCCCCACACCAGCCCTAGAACCTCGAAAACCGACCAACCGGGTACACACAGCATGACAGGCAGGGGTTTGCCGGCTAGCGTCCTTCGCCAGGTATCGTGACCCCATAGCCACGTTGCTGACAGCTGACAGGCCTCGACACCCACGTAATGATCCTCCACGATCCTCCACTTCTCCAGCCGGAAGGGTCTGAGCCGAATTGCAGCCGGCCGGAACTTCCAAGCACCAGGTTTTGTCCGGGACCGAGATCCCAATGCTTGTGGAAGAGGACGTCAAGGCCACCCCTTTTGAGGAATGCGTGCGAGAACGAAATGGGGTATTCCTGAGCAAGGCCAAGCGAAACACCATGAGCGGGCCAAATTTTATCACGATATCATGCTGCTCTGAGACGCCAGGAATTGTCGTTCTCGCCGTCGGAGCCCCTGATGCTTCAAACGGCAAGTTACCGGAATAGGGAATCTAATCGCAGCCTTCAGAATGAGCCTCATCACTCGATGCAGGCGGCCGCCAAACGACCTGCCGTATGGTGCCGAAGGCCGGTTCATCATACCCACCCCTGCAAACACCCAAATCTCGTCACACATCACTCATCACTCATCAGGCGGCTGCATGACCAAATCGTCCGATGGCTTGCTGGTTTGGGAGCCCTTCCAGTTTCGCTGCCGGTCTTTGATGTCTACTTGTAGACGGGGAAGACGGTACACGCATCGCTGAGCACCGGAGAGGATCGCCACCTTGATACCTCTCCCGCATCTTATCATCTCCCACCTTCCACACGTACACCGCTCCAAGTCCCGGGACATAAGCCCGGCGGACCGGACAACGTCAGGCACGTGGAATTTAAGACAAAACCCCTCTGAACTCTTGTTCTGCGCCCGCGGTATGCGACATGGACACCATCATTGTGTCCCGTTCTCACCGACGCCTCCCGTCTTCGTCACCGAGCTCAACGGAGCTTACTCCGACCATGCATATGCCACTTACTGTAATGTTCTTCCCCCCCCTTTATCAACGCCTCCAGTCCCTGTCAAGCGCGATTCACGCATCTGTGACATGTCATATCTCATGTCACCATGCTTCTCGATCAAGTGAGCGAACGCCGAACAGGCGCAGGGGTAGGCACACACCGACGTACTGCTGCCAACGAGCACGTATGTTCCTTCATTCGCTTGATCGCATCATCTCCGACCTTGCCGATAGATTGCCGCACTGGGCCGGACCTGCAATCTGCTGCACCCCAATGTGTGACCAGCCTCGCAGCGGGTGGACTTACCCTTACCCTGCCCTTGCAGTAATCTTGTTCGTGTGCTCCTGAGCCTACGTACTTGCCGTCTTCCGGCGCTGGTTACGCGGACATCGCAAGTCGTGTCGCCCCAGCTGTTTGAATACTTCGCACTTCCGGAACGCCCCGGGCACCCACCATCCACTTCTAGTCACGATGGAACGACCTTTCCTTCCTGACAAGAAAAGCAGGCGTAGCAGACGGAAGGGCAGATGGCTGATTTTCCCATCAACCCCTCTCTGTCCGGCAGTCAGTTGATGAAAATGAAAAGAGCTAAGAAGGTTAGATCGACCGTAGGAGCAACGGAGATATCCATTGGCGGTGAGCAAAAGTGAGTAGACTAGTAAGTAGTAAGACGAGACGGGACGGGACGAGACCAGACCACACACGAGATAGTCTGAAGACGGGACGGGACAAGCATGTGAGAGGGACATGTCAAAATCCCAGCTGGGGATCGAAGCTCTAGACTGATAGAGAGAGACCTGCATGCGTCGTGGGTCCTGCCCCTTGCCCATTGCTCTGATCCCCCTGACTGACAGCTCGCTCGAATTGACTGACTGTATGGCCAATCCGGACGTCTGATGTGGAACTGAGACACGGGAAGATAAAGAAGACCTTCCCTCCCACTTAAGAAGACCGGGGTCGGAATGACTTCGCATAGTAAGAAAGGGAAAACCCTAATGCGTCATCATTTTGACCAGCAAGGGTGACGTTCAGAGACACATCAGATGCTTGACCCGTTGCTTCATTAGACACAAGACTTCGCATAGCAAGGTAGGTACTCTGAACCTCTAAAGCCTCCGTACACATCTTATTCGGCAAGCGAAAGTTATGTGCATCATGAATGGAACAATCGTTCTGGAATAAGCACTAAAGTTGGCTTGGTGGATTGAACCTGCTAATCCCAGTGCACTTAGAGCACTCATACTAACACAAACAAAGCATATAAATACAAAGACAAATAGAGGGATGACAGACGTGGACTTATGAGGGCGGAGTGTATCAGCAAAGAGATACGCAACACAATGGTTTGCGTGTAATTCAGGTACACATTTATCTATCCATGCAACTTTATGCCATTCATGACACATGCGGTTCCTGGCATCGCTACAAGAGAATAGGCAAACATCGACGTAGTCACGTCATGTTATGGCGCTGTGGTAGAGCGCTGCAGCCAATTCGAGTCAGGAGATAGACCTTTCCCCATATCGCTTCACTGCATGCCGTGTTTCACGCTGTTGTTTCTTTCCCCTTCCTCCTTGATCTCGCTGCGATCCGTTCACCGCCTATCTGGCCGAGTGTCGCGTGCTCTGTAGACGGTATGAGTTGCGTCATCACTAAGGCTGCGCGGTGCCGGCATTGCTCTCTGAATCAGGGGCCTTTGCGAGGTCTTCCGCAGGCGGAGGCTGAGCCGCCGTCTCCACTGGAATAGGAGCAGCAGCGGATCGAGTTGCGTCCCCGCCATCGGCCGTAGTGGACGACGCAACTGAAGGTCCAGTAGCTTTCATCTCAAGAGCGTCAGACTCAGGGCTGTTTTCGTCCTTGTCGTGGACGTCTGCCTCGGAGTTATGGCGCTCCTTCTCTTGGAACGTGAAGGCATCCGAGAGATTAACAGCTAGGAACGTCTTTGGCAGTTTGACCCTATTGGAGTTCACATGTCAGCAACCTCCCATTTATACACACGAGTTCAAGTCCCTGAAAGGCGCAATGGCTCTCTCAACCCAAGGCGGAGATGGTGACTGTTGCGAATCGAGAACTTACTGGTGGAACTTGGCGCGCAAGGTCTCTATGACCTGTTTCCAATCTCCATGAGGAGTCAGGCTCCTGCGTGCAGCACAACCTATGCAGTGCTTGCTGTCTAGTTGGATGTCGAGCGGGTCATAGATATGACAGCCAGGGCTGATGGTGATGCGGATACTGTAGTTGAACGTAGGTTGACCCGGAAGCGGTGCATCTGCTCCCGGCTTGGTCTCGGACTCGTACAACTCAAAGCATATCTGGGAGAGATAGTCGAGCTCGGGGATTGTCGCACGATTGATCTTGGTCTCGATACCTCCTTCAAGGATGCAGTTGAGCAACGTATAGATGTGCGACTCCTTGGTGAAGTAGAAGAACGATTTGGCATCTTCTGAAGCTTGCATCTCCTCTAGGTCTTGGACGATCTCCTTGAGCAGAGGCAAAGACGTCAACAGCCCGATCTCAAGCTACATTGTGTTAGTACATTGCATCGTGAAATCCCACATCTCAATTCCAGTCTTACCTTCTCGCTGTCGGAGATGCCATACTCCTGGGGACATATGAAATCGAACAACACTTTGGCCAACTGATAGAGCTCGCGAAGCGGTTCGAAGCGCTCGTCTGTCTTCGCTTTGGTTCTGCTATCACCCTTCTGTAGGTGAAAGTATTCGTCAGGCTGTGCAATCTCGTTTGAATGCTTCATCCATGACCTTCGTCTGAAGATCCGTCTAACAGCATTCTGCGTGTCAGACTTGTCGTTCTTGTCGCCCTTGTCGTTTTTCTCTGGCCGCTCGGACTTGTCAGTCCGCTCAGTAGGCGATGAACTGATGGTTTGGCCTTTATCAGACTTGTCTTCCGGTGTTTTGTTGTTGTCTTCGGAAACCACGGTAGCCCTCTTGCCTTCACGATCGAGTATGATGCCGAATTCGTCCTGCAGCATCTGTCTTGACGGTGTGAAAACCCACTCAAGGAATTGACGGTTGTGCAGGGCATCGAACTTCATTGTGTCGTACAACTCGGATATCTTGCTAGGATCAACCTTCTCATGATCGCAGAACTCGGCAAACAACTTCTCCCAGCGCTCGCGGAACAGTTCTGCATCTTCACCACAGCACCAACGGGCCTGTATGCTGTTGACAGCATTGACCTGAGACAGTGAAGAGGCGATGGAGGCGTTGGAGCTTTCGCCACTGGCCTTGTCGTGCCCAGGGGTGTGGATAGCATTCAGAGAGTTGACAGCACCGCTGTACAGTTTGCTGTAGTTGTGCTGCATAACACGACGATGAAAGTTCATGAGCTGTACAACCCGTGTTTGCACCTCGGAGGGCTCAGGCATAGCCTCAGGCCACGCGAATTGCGACGGACGTTCATTGCCCTTACGCAACAAGCCCTTCAGCTTCTTCTTGACCTTGTCCATCTCGTCCTTCGCAGCATTGGAATCGTCAAGTAGATCTTTGCGGACCGTGATGAAATCTTCTGGGAGGTCTTTCTGGCCCATGAATGATGCTGCCCAGATCTGAGCACTGGCTGTGACTCGCCTTTCAGAACTGCTGAACACATGTACTTCTTCCAAGATGTCGCGGTTCAGTAGAAGATAGTCGTTACGCATGTTCTGTGCCAGCTCCTGAGCCTGATACCGAGCCGAGTGAGTAGGCTCGCCTCCCCACTTCACGATCAGCTGAAGCTTGTCCAGAACGAAACTGTTATCAGCCGCTGTGAACTTGGACATGGTTACACCTGACATCGAGTCCTGGCGTCGCGGCGGTCGAGGTGGCCGGCGCTCACCTCCTGCTGCGTCTTCTCCGACTGTGTCTTGCTTTGGATCACTGCTCTCGGCCTTGGGGTCCTTCGTGATGGGACCTTGCGACTGGCCCTCTGCGCCCTCGTCCTTCTCCTTGGATGTAGTATCTGCGGTGTCCGCAGCCGGCGACTCCATCTTTACCCCCTCGGTGACTTGGGGTGTCGACTCAGATGCCATCTCTGCCGTTTTCTTCTTACGAAACATAGGCTTGATCTGGATCTTCGTTCCGACCCAGCCGCCCTTCTTTACTAGGACGTTGCGAAGCGACTTCAGCTTAGTTCTATCTTCTTCACCAGCTTTCAATGCAGCATCGACTGCCTCGAGCACACTTCCAAGTGCGGCCTCACCAATAAGAAGGACTTCTTCCTGGTGTCCCTTGAGGAGATCAATGAACGGTTGTGTGTAGAAGGTGAACTTGTACTTCTGCTTGGGTGTGCGATCAGCATGGCGAATGACGGAAACCATCCCCTTGAGCTTCCAGGAGTGCTTGGGCGGAGGAGGCGGAGGAGTCGGTTGCTCCTGGGGTTTATCAGATGACAATGGGGTAGCCGGCAAGGTGGGCGGGGCTGTCGCAGGCACGCTGCTTGCTGCCGAGCCGCTGGCAAGATTATTGCTAGAACCCATCATAGTATCCTGCAGCTTCGCCGCAATCCCTGCCATTCCAGACTCAAACTTCGGTGGAGATGTAGCTCCAGTATTGTCTTCGTCTGCTCTCGGTTCTTTCGCTTCTTCGGGCGAGGCCACCCCGCTGTTTACGACCGACTTCGATTGTGCAGAGTGTTGCCCTCCAGAGTGCAAGTTCTTGTCCTTGTTAGCTAAAAGCGCTTTGGCTAAGGGGTCACTGCTGCTGGGGTTGGTTGGCGAAGGCAAAGGCGGCATTGGGCCCCCTCGCTTGATTTTCTCTTGGACGAACATGTCTTTCAAAATGCTCGAGCAGTGATCGTAGTAGGTATCGTTATCCTTGACGAAGCTCCATCCGTTGACGTCTATGACATAACTCTTCCCACCGGCACGTAGAAGGTCAAAGCCGCAGACCCGTTGGCCAAATGTACGCGCTATCTTGCTTGCGATCTCTTTCTCGTCCGGGTCCAGAGCTGTGACGTAGCGAATTTCCTTGCCATGAGTATTACGCCTGACAACGCCATCGACGACGGGCGATTTTCTTGTTTCCGCATGGCAATAATGTGACCCGACGGTGTAGGCCTTCACATCTTCCGCATTGTCGACCTGCATGAACTTCTCATACACGAAACTGCCTTCGGGCTCGGTGATAGCACGTGGAATGTTCAGGTCCTTGACATATTCTGAACTCTTATTGCCGACCTTTCTGAAGAGTTTCCGAGCACCCCCACCAGCAGACCGCGGGAAATAGATGATGATGTTATGGTCTTCGCCGCTCGTGGGTTTCTCCACAAAGGGCTTCTTCAAGAGGGTACCATCGACGCTGATGATATCTCCATCGTCGAGCAGCTCAACTTTTCGAGGGATCCTGTAGAATTCCGAGTCTGGGGGCTCGAGAGAGATGTTGGTAACATCTTTTATATGTTTCGCAATATCCGGGGTCAAAAGACTCGGCCCACCATCGCGGTTGACCTCGACTCGCTCGGGGGTGGGTACGTTGATCTTGTCAAGTATTTGAAGGCAAAGCCGTCTGTCCCAAAGAATCTTCTGCATGGGGACATCGTTGACGCAGAATGGTTTCCGAGCCTTCACATAAGCAATAGCCTTGTCCAATGGAAAGCCATCCGAGTAGAAAGATATCAAATAGTCACAGATTGGCCAGTCCTCGACCTCTGATGGAAGGTCAGTACCAGACCAGGGTGATTAAGGGACGCACATACCTTCATCAAGGATTGTCTTGTCTCCGAATACGACGACATCGAATTCGCGTTTCGCGATGATCCGATTAAGGATATTTCTGCTAGGTTTGCTTCTAGCTTTGGAGTCTAGGGCACAAACGCCGATGATACCCCATGGCGCTGGCTTGACCTCTTCCTTCTCCCTAGGTTGGGGCCCTCGGTCACTGCTAGGACTGTGACTGCTATTGGCAGTGCTCCCGCTGAATCTGCGCTTAGCCCGACTTCGAGATCTAGTCGGTAGAGGGCGAGAGCCTGTGTTAGAGGGAGGAGGATTTCGCTTGACAACCTCCAGCGGGTTGGTGTGGTTGGCTCTCTGGGGAGCCAGCTGCGGACCGCCACTAGTGGGCGTCTGGGTGTTGGAGTTGGACGAGGTGGTAACGGTCACGTTGGAGAGACCTGCCTCAGACTGCTGTCCCGGGACGGGGCCCAAGCCTTTGCTGGAAGCCATCAGGCCGGAGACGGAGACGGAACGCTGGGCAGTGCCGCCGTCGGAACCGTTGGTGGAGGGCGTAGAGCTCGGAACACCACGAGCGGAGGTTAATGAGAAGACAGACGACACGGATACGCGCTTGCCACCCACGCCACCGTCGGTCTCAGAGAATGATGAGCGAGGGAAGACAGCAGGGTCAGGCAGCTGGCGATGGGCGCTCGTGTCCTGGGAAGAGCTGCTGGGCACGAGTCTCGGAGTGTTGTCGGTGTCGTCGATGATGGCCAGGTCGTCCAGGCTGGTGTGGCTAGCGTGGCCGAGGTCCTCGCTCCAGGTGTCCGAGTTGCAAGACTCACGGCGGGTGTAGGGAAGTGACGTGCGGTGGGTTGGCTTCAAGGGCTTCGCCGGAGGAGGCATGCTCAAACTGGCAGGTTCGACGGGTGTGTCGGTAGTCCCCACCGGCTCCAAGTGCCGACTCTTACCACTTGCTATGGAGCTGGCGATGCTACTGGATACCGAGGAAGGTGAGCGTGCGCGGGATTGATGAGACTGAGAGAGCCAGGAGGCTGAAAGTCTCTTAGTGGGCGTGGCGCGGGTTGAGTTGGCAGTGTTGGTCTCCATCGTAACAGAAACTGAGAAAGACGGGAGCTAACTTTTTCTTTCGATTCGTACAGTGGGGACCTTGGAGGCGAATAATTGTCTTTGTTTCCTCGAGCCGCTGTTGGTACTGGTACACCGAATCTTCCCTTATCTGTTGTAACCGGAATAAGCATCATGTGGCCAATATCCTAATTGGATCATACCTGCTTACTCCATGGTGCTTATTCTATTAGAATGAATTTGGTATTGATACTTACCTATCCAGGAGTTCGGCGGTGACGGTACCTCAGTAACCCGAGCACATGCAACTTGAGCTATCCCTTAGATCGTGTGCCGCTAGCAACGACCGTTACTTATTATGAGCAGTGACACAGTCACGGCACCATGTCTCTCTGTAGACCGCAGCTCTGGAGAAGCACTGGTGTGACTCCAGAGATCTAGCAAAGGATCCAAAGGATTCAGATCTGAGATATGGAGAGGTCGAGAGGTGGGTCGGAAATATTGGCAGGCGGTGTCAAACGAGCGCAACAAACAACCTCTTATCATTGGTTTATTGTAGGCAAAAGCTCATCCCTTCCGAGATATGGCGGGCCGAAGGGTTAGAGACACATCATGTAAGCGTGTAGAGTTCATGTCGAGGTTGCACGGAGTCGCATTAGGAGGCTTGAGCGACAGAGGACGGGGCGAATTAGGATTTGTTGCCAAGACCTGGTGTTTTCTCTCCGTCTCAACGGCGGTCTGACGAGTTGTGGTGGTTTTCGAAGCCAATGAATAAGACGATACTGAATACAGTGCCCATGAGGCTTGGGGCATATCCATATTCATTCGTACGAATAGACGACCTTGACCCAAGTGTCTGCCATCTGGGCATCTGGGCATCTGGTGGCAAGTCGGGTGAGGATAACCTTCCCGTCACATGCAACCTAGACTAAGGTATGCTATGACGTCTGAATGGAAGGAATGGCAACAGGGGTAAGGTTCTCAATAAACCTACGCATGTGACCAACTAATAAGAGCCTTTCAAACGGTTATGCGCGGTTCAAAGACTGACGATATCGGACCAACATCGTGCCCGTGCATCTCTATATAATTACTTTCTTAGGTACCGAAAGTGTAAGATGCCGTCTGGTCCTGATACTCTACAATCACAAGGAATGCAAATAGAACATACTCAGTAGTAACGCAAGATAAAACACCCCGTCGATGTCGTCTTCCACGGTTGGTGATATAGGAACGGAGCTTTGAGGTGTGCTGTTCCGACGTGGGGTTCGGGAGACCCAGCTGTTGGAACTTGGAGGGGCCGAGGGAGGGGCAGTCCAGTTGGTGGATCGTGGGGCGCTAAACCCTGTCTTGCATGCAGGGCGGAACACCTCGTCGCGATTGGCCGACCGCGACGCAAGAAAATATTTCTAAAAGTTCAGAGAGCATTACCTGTGCTGCCACTGGGACGCCAGAACCGCCCACCTACCGTCTAAACGCTGTTCAAGATAAAGAGGTTGAACAAGGGAAAGAGCGAGGAGAAGTGCAGCAGCCGGAATCATTTGCCATGCCTCACTCGAAGCAGGATGGACCACTGGTCAAGCGCCAGAAGCTGCGTGCTGTCGCAAAACCCAATTCCTCTACCGCCCGCCAGTCCAACATATTCGCGCCATATAGGGTATGTTCAGTCGAGATCGAGCCTGATTGCTGCCGGCGTGTTTCAGTGTTGACGTGAATAACTAGACGGTTGGCCTTGTCTCTCCGACGAACGTGCCCTTCACCTCGATACCCCTAGGCAAGACCACCTTTCAGGTGACCACCTCGATTGGACGATCTCTACAAACATACGATCTGAAGTGCGGCCTCAACCTGGTGTTCATGACCCGACCGCAGACCCCGTCCGATATCACCGCCACCTGCGCTTGGAAGGACAAGGTGTTTGCTGCCTGGGGCGATGCGCGCAATGGGGACTCTCAGGGTGTCTGGATCTTTCAGAGGGGGAAGAAAGTCGGCGAGCTGGACCTTCCACTCGACCTCGAGCAGCCTATCAAGCAAATAGTCATCTTCGGCTCTTGGATACTTGCGTGCTCATTGACGAGGATCGAGGTGTGGAAAACAACCACACTCGAACATTACACCACGCTTTTCACCATGGCCTCCAAGAAAGGCGACAACGAGCTGACGGGTGGGATATGCACCATGCCGACCTACCTGAACAAGATATTTGCTGGACGCCGAGACGGATGGGTCGAAATATGGAACGTGTCTACTGGTAAACTGATATATACAATTCTGCCTCCCTCGTCAAAAAGCGGCGCCGTCACATGCTTGCAACCAACGCCTGCGCTTTCGTTGATGGCCATCTCATATGCGAATGGTCCCCTGGTTATCCATAATGTGCTCGCCGACAAGAGCATCCTTCAGGTCGCTGCTGGTACCGAAGACGCCCCAGTGACCTGCATCGCGTTTCGCACAGATGGCATTGGCGCTGGCCTGGACGGCCGCAAGGATGGAGTCATGGCAACCGCAACCGATGCGAGCGGAGACGTTACCTTTTGGGACCTCAACCAAGGCGGCAGGATCATGGGTGTCTTAAGGAGTGCCCATAACCCCCCTGCGCAAGAGGGTGATCGGGTTCGCGGAGGAGTGAGCAAGATCGAGTTCCTTGCCGGCCAACCTGTTCTCGTCACAAGTGGGCGAGACAATTCCTTGAAGACTTGGATCTTCGATGAAACGCCCTTCTCGCCGATACCGAGGGCACTACACACGCGAAGTGGGCATGCGGCGCCGGTCACATGTCTTCGTTTCTTGCCGACCGATTTCGAGGGTGCTGAGGCAGGCAACAAATGGCTCCTCAGTGGTGGTAAAGACCGCAGCTTGTGGGGATGGAGTCTTCGTCGTGATGGCCAAAGCACAGAGCTGAGCCAAGGCAACATTCGCAAGAAGGCCAAGAAGTATGGCATTTTGGCGGGTAACACCCTGAGTCATGGTCCGACCACGACCCTCGAAGACCTGAAAGCGCCCGAGATCACTTGTATAGCCTGCTCCCTGAATCGGGACGGTGGTATGGGTGCGATGCCGGGCAAGCAAGCGCTATGGCAGAAGACTCGCGATCAGAGAAAGGGGATGGACGCCGAGATCAGCGGAATGACTGGCTGGGAAAGTGTTGTTACTGCCCACAAGGACGATGCATTCGTGCGTACGTGGTTTTGGGGTCGTAAAAGAGCAGGGAGATGGGCATTTCAAACAGGTGACGGTGCCTATGCGTCGACCGTCGCTATGAGTCCATGTGGGACCTTTGCTGTTGTCGGATCAGTTCAAGGGTCGATTGATATGTTCAATCTCCAGTCCGGGCTACACCGTCAAAGGTTCCCTTCAAAACTGACTCCGGCGCAGGCCAGACAGGTCAAGATGCAGCAGGCCAGACAGGCAGACACTGTCGTCCAACTTCAAGCGCGCTCGTCCACCGGGTTCCTCCCGGGAACCGGCAAGCATACCAAAGCTGTCACCGGCATTGTGGTGGACTCGATGGACAAAACCGTGATCAGCTGTTCTCTGGATGGCAGGGTCAAGTTCTGGGACTTCCTAACAGGCAATCTGGTGCACGAAATCAACTGGGCCCCGATGACTGCAATCACTGGCTGCCGATACCACGCTGCAAGTGATTTGATCGCCTTCTCTTGCGACGATAATTCGATTCGGATTGTAGATATCGAAACGAAACGAACAATACGTGAGTTCTGGGGGTGCCAGGGCACGATCAACGACTTCACATTTTCAAACGACGGACGATGGATCGTGGCGGCATCTCAGGATTCGGTCATACGAGTCTGGGACTTGCCGACTAGCCATCTGATTGACGCTATCCGACTCGAAAAGCCGTGTACTGCTCTAGCATTCTCAGCAACCGGCGAATACTTGGCCGCATCGGTTGAGGGCCAGCTAGGTGTCGACATCTGGACCAACAAGACAATGTTCACCCATGTACCAACTAGGCAGATATCCGAAAGTGCTGTGCAACAAGTATCGGGACCGACAGCATCAGGAGAGGGTGGTCAAGGTCTGCTGGAAGCGGCCTTCGAGGACGAGACGCGGGTGGAGGACGAGGATGCAGTTGCTGCTCCAAGTCTGGATCAGCTCAGCGCCGATATGATGACGCTCAGCTTGGTCCCTCGCAGTAAATGGCAAACTTTGTTGCATCTCGACCTGATCAAGCAAAGGAACAAGCCCAAGGAGCCCCCCAAGGCTCCTGAGAAAGCACCATTCTTTTTGCCTTCTGCGAGTGGACCGGCACCAGCGAAGCTGAATCCCGCCGAAACAAATACAGAAGAAGATCAGATGCAATCGAGGATCACGCGCTTTGACCGCAACAGGATGGAGCAAGCATTTACCAGTAGCTTACAAGCTGGAGCTGCTAGCGGCAATTGTAAGATCCACCCTTGCTATATGTTTCGCGCGCGTTCTTACTAACCCGAACCCCTTAGACGACGAGTTTATTGAACACCTGAAGTCACTGTCTCCTGCCACGGCAGACCTCGAGTTGCGTTCACTCTCAGTTGGGGAAGACGATGAAACCAACGAACTACTGCACTTTATTCGTGCCCTAACAAGCCGGCTCGTAGCGCGCCGAGATTACGAACTCACCCAGGCGTGGATGACTGTCTTCTTGCGGCTACATTTCGACCTGGTCATGGCGAATGACGTTCTAATGAGCGCGTTGCAGGAGTGGAAGAATCATCAAGCGGATGAGTGTGCGAGGTTAGATAACTTGGTCGGGTATTGTGGAGGTGTAGTGAGCTTCTTGAGGAGCCCGCGAACTTGATGAAGCGGTGCGTCACTTGTTAGAAACGAAGCAAAATGAATTAGTTGTCATCCAACTGCTGTTCCTTTCACATGTCGAGACTCCCGTGTTTCTGATTCCCCCTATCTCCGAAAAACCATCAATGTCAAACTTGAAGTTGTGACATGCAGTTCATTGTCAAAGCAGTCCGGCTCAACAGGCATAACGTATTCGCCCTCCTATTGAATATGTGTTTGTTCATATCAATCTGTAGTTATGTATGATAAACCACAGAGTGTGAAATCTAAAACAATAGACTTCCGCCTCACGAGAGGTATGTCGTCAGTGAAGAGACTTCGATTTTTTCCCGCCTCTAGTTACCCCAACCTAAGGTAACGATGGTTCGCAGAAGTCAAATATAGCGCCTCTTCTCAACCTTAACTGTTCTTTAACCCATTTCCGAGACGCCACTATTGTGGACAGAAGTCTATACACTTCCTCAGTTGGGGTTGTTTCGTTCTCTACTCTCGTTCACTCCATTCGTTCCCATAACCACACACTCTCGTTCAGAACCTCTCCATCAGCACAGCACAGCACAGCACAGCAGCTCTCTCTCGTGCCTATACCAACCCAGAGAGTTCCGAATAGCCTCCCTGCTGGCACATCATGGACACATTGTCCAACCACCTCGCCTACCCAATACTCACCCACACCCGTATGTCCATACCCGCCCGCCCGCCCAGATACTCACCCCAAAAGTCTAAAACAATATACTTCCGCCTCATTAGAAGACATAGTCAGTGACGTATACTCGTTCTTCTCTCCCTCTCTGCCACCCGAACCTAACCATGATCCGCAGAATCTAGGTGGCGCTTCCTTCCACTTTGGTGTTATAAACGCATCTCCGAAGACGCCACCATCGTGTACAAAAAGAACTTGCACTCCCTTATCACCCGGTCTCTTCTTCGTCCTTCATTCACTCCATTCCTTCCCACAACCCCACACAACACACCCTCGTTCAGAACCTCTCCATCACCTCTCCATCAGCACAGCACAGCAGCTCTTGTGTCCATACCAGCCCAGAGAGTTCCGAGCAGCCTGGCTTGCTTGAACACCGTGTGCTAATATCACGACGCACACATTGTGCATCCAATCCACCTACCCATACTCACCACCAAACCCGTATGTCCACCCTCCCCCACCCACCCAGATACTCATCCAAAAATCGTACACCCACCCAGAAACTCACTTAATACTGTACAACCATGGATCACTCCGGATCCTCCAATGGCTCGCCGTCGCTGCCATACAACGACGCCGTCGATCAGTCCGACTCGAGTTCCCAAACGCTGGGACGTACCCCGGAGACCGACACCGCACCCGACGCGGCGCACCCGCCGGAGTATGCGCGGGAGTCCGACCTAATGCTTAGTTCACGTAGTTCTTCGCCGATGCATCAGGGTTGAATGCACCCGGACCCGCGCCGTCCTACCGGCAGCCCGGCACGGCGACTCCGCAAGACATGGCCGTGCATGGCCATCCGCAGAGCGCTGGCAGCAGCATGTATATGCAGCCTCGAGGGGGCTGGGGCAACCATGGACAAAACCTAGGTGGCCAGATGCCACCACTCTCCCCAAGGACCTTTCCCAAATGCATTGGCTTCGGCGTCGCGGGGACGACCCCGATTCTATCGGATGAGGCTGATGCCGGAGGGGTGGATTCCTCCTGTTCCGCTGTGGACTCCTCCTGTTCCGCAGGGTTACTCGCCATCACGCCTGTGAGCGACAACGTAGATATCTACCAAGAAAATCACGGTAATGACAGCGATGCGGACAGTGTTGGCTACGACGCCGACGTAGAGGGTGACGAGGAAGACTATAGTAATAACGACGACGCCGGCAGCGTCGACTGGGACGCCATGGACCCCAGCTTGCCCAACGAGGTGAGCGATGCCGGCAGCGTCGACTACGACGCCGATGACGAGGACGAGGACGAGGACGAGACGCCGCTGTGGTGTGGAGAGATGTGGTGTGGGGTTCGGTCGGTAACGGCGAGCGTAACAACGGCGCCGCATCTGTGCCCGTAAGCCCCCGCACCCATCAGCCCGAGCAGCTGCCCGAGTCGGTTACCGAGTCCGAGTCCGAGGTGGAACTCTCCTCCGGCGGGTCGACACCCGAACCACAACAGGCCCAGCCTCAGCCCCAGGACCAGCCCCAGCCCCAGCACAGCCAGCACGACCAGCAGATGGACCGACTGGCCTCGCTCGTCGCCAGCGTGCCCAATCTCGCGAGTGCGCTGCCGCATCGGCCACTAGTCATCGTCGCCGGGGACTACCACCTAGACACGCACGCTCCTGCCGCATCGACTGCCGGCGCTGACACGGGTGCACCACATCACGGCGCGCCGATCGTGCTCGTGGCTGGCAACATGAACGATGGTGTCCCAACGGGGCAGCGAAAGAGAAGGCGGGATAACGAGGAGGAGAAGGATGATGGGGAATAGTACCCCATCGTCGACTTGCCCCGGAAGCGGGCGAGGAGGGCTAGTGTTTGAGCCAAGGAAGGTGTACTTATTGGCTGGCTTTGTCGAGATTGAAGAGTATGTCCGCCTGCGTTCTCATGATTGAGGAAGATCCTCTATCGTGTTGCATCATTTACGATCGAAACCAGCGTTGATTTGGTGGATGTTGCCTCTGGGAGGGAACCATCCTACCTCGAAATTCCTGCCGTTCTTTGGGTAGTATACTAAAGTACCTGCCTGAACTTGTACAACATATGTTAGCATAGCAAACAAATCGAAACTTGAAATCATATGGGACAGTGTCTCCCTTGCCTGAACCAAGAACACACGTGGCCTTCACTTCGGCGAACCCTGAGGAGCTGCTCAGAATCGTGACGGCTGATCAACACCAAGGTCGTCTGATGGCATGTTTGATTACCTCCTCACATAGGTATGTACCTACTCAAACTTCCTGTCGAGGTGAGCAAATAGGCTGTCGGTTTCGTGGGTGGACGCAAACACCATGCTGCCAAGTAAAAATGTGAAAGGAGATGCGTAAAGCGCTTGGAATCTCCGAGATTCGCAAACCGAAGGGATGCAGGTGGTCCCGAGCGCGGCGCCCCACCCGCAATACAACACAATACAACAGCGCTATATCGACCGCCTAGGGATACAGCATAGGGCCTATCGCTCCGGTAAACTCCCCGGCTCGCCACTGCGAGTCCCCATCGTTTGTAAAGCAGCTGCAAGGGAAGTCGCCCGGGGTCCCAGCGGCACAATATTACCACGGTCCCCTCCAGGATACCTCAGGGACTGACCTTTTTTCCCGAAGGTACCTCCAGCCTCGTAGTTTCAAAGACAATTCGCCAGTCTCTGAAACTACCACCAAGATGGCGAGCCTACCAGAGCAGGTCCTAGACATAACCGACATGTCGCTGCAGCAGCAAGCCCGGAAAGTGGGCGAGGAGACCGATACGACATCGCGAACCTCAAGCACCAAAGGAACGGCACCCATCATCGTCAACCATAGCAGTGATGGTGATGCCGCTGCGGAACTGGGCATGTCGCCACTCGAGAAGATCAAGACACGTTTCGGAGACCGACCCGAGTGCTTCAAGAACACCCTGCAGGAAGTGTCCTTCGTATTTCAAGCAACAGTAGCGACGGCCACGACATCATTCCTGAGCGGCGTTGCCTTGATCATCACCGTGCCGGTCTCGAAAGATCTGGGCATGACGCAGGGCCAGATCTCGTGGATCAGCGCCTCGACTTCGTAAGTACTCTCCACCCAGAATTTCGCATAGAAGGTACCAAAGCTTACACATCAATCTAGTCTGGTAGCAGGAGCAACCCAGCTCGCATTGGGACAGCTAGCAGACCTGTTGGGCCGGAAAGCCATGTTCATCACGGGCATGGGCTCGTTCAGCGCATTCGTACTGCTGGTCGCCTTCTCGCAGAACCCGTTCTGGATGCTCATCGTCTGCGGCATCCTCGGCCTCTGTTCCGCCATGGTCGTGCCGCCCGCCATAGGCATACTCGGCGCAGCCTACACGGCGCCCTCGAAACGGAAGAACATGGCGTTCTCGGCCTTCAGCTCCGGAAACCCTCTCGGCTTCGTCTTCGGCACCATCCTGTGTGGCATTGCAACGCAGCTGTCCTCCTGGCGCGCAGCTTTCATCTTGCTCTGCATCATCTGGGCCGTCTTCACCGTCTTCGCCTTCTGGGCTGTGCCGAACGTGGAGAACTTCGAGCGGGCTCCCCTGAGGGAACGGCTGGGCACTCTGAAGAGTTTCGACTACGTTGGTACGATCCTGACGATCTTCGGAACCGGCATGTTCACAGCGGGCTTGACGTGAGTTTATCTTTTTCTTGGGTATGTCGAGCTCAGATGCTGACAAGACTCTAGACTGGCACCTGAAGATAGCTGGTCGAGTGCACACGTAATCGCTCTGCTAGTCGTCGGACTCGCCCTCTTAGCGTTCTTCGTCTACTGGGAGAAGGTTTTCCCGACCCCTTTAATGCCTCCGCATATCTGGAAGGACCGAAACTTCAGCTTGGTATGACTTTCCAATCCATCGCCATTCTCGTGTATCCTTTCAGATACGGTCGTGTTTTTCGTCTCTAGTAGTTTACGTCTCTAAAATGACCATGACTCAAGCAGTAGACGGTGCTTTAGGAACTTGATTTGTACTAACCGCTCACAGATCATCATCGTGGTACTCCTCGGTACGATGAGCTTCACAGCTACTGGCTTTTGGATCGCCTTCTACATGCAACAGATCCAAATGCTGTCTACCCTGATGGTGGCTGTTCACTTGCTACCGATGGCGATAGCGGGTTTGCTCTGGAACATTGTCGCCGGACGCATACTTCACCGCGTCAACAACACAGCCATTATGGTATTCGGTGCTGCGTGCTATGTTGCTGCCGGCCTTCTGTTCTCATTCACGGGGCCCGAGAGCAACTACTGGGCGTTCATATTCCCGGCTCTAGTGTTGAACGTGGCTGGCGCGGACCTGCAGTACAACGTTGCCAATGTAAGTCCTTCTCTCTGTTACAACTCCTTCCCGGACTCGAGCTAATGGTCTATAGATGTACGTGATGCAATCGCTGCCCAGACACCAACAGTCCCTCGCCGGCGGTATCTTCAACGTCGTCATCCGACTGTCGAATACCGTCGTCATGGGTGTGACGACAGCTGTGTTCAGCTCTATCGAAATGACACCGGCAGGCATCGCAGATCCCATGCTCAAGTATACCAGGACCTTCCAGGTGTGCGTAGCGTTTTCTGGGGCCAGTCTGCTGTTCGCGCCCTTCATTCGTCTGGGGACCCAAGGTAACGCCCCAAAGGGAGACGCACAGGAGGTCGGGCAGTCGGAAAAGCCAGCGGCTGAAGAGCTCCATGCAGGCGAAATTGATCGAGAGGAGCAAGTGTCTCGGAAGTCAGCTTCGAAGGATGATACGATATAGTCGTATACTGGTTAAGGGGGATACTCTCGAATGCTGCTGAAGATGGTAGTGATTAGTTTACACCTAGTTGATACCCGGAATGCGATGCCTTTGAATGCTGACAATTGAATAAATCCATCTGTGCCACTCCGAGTTCGGTGCATGTAATCACGGTAACTAAGAGGTATGCCGACACGAGCGGAGTGTAGGAGCCGTTCAGACAACATTCCGGCTCCACTTGCCAGCGGTCCCGATCGGGAACCAGCAGACTAAGCCGAGTAACTCGGCCTCCAAACGGTGCTGCGGAATTATCATCGCTTGTAATACATGTATTACTGCTAATCGGCGGTCTGTAATAACGGCCCCGATGACGGGGCCGAACATCGGTGAACAGCTGACACAGTACGGTATTTATGCCGCAGTGTGCAGGTCTGCGGCGGTGTGACTCGACCGGCGTCTACGACGTATGACATGGTGTCAGAAATTAGCCTGCTCAAACTCGCAAGGTGTCCGGGTGTAGAAGATAGTCGTTACAGTCACAGCGCTCACTTCATAAGCACCGTCGAACAGCCTCAAATACTAAAATAATAAGAAGGATTGGAACGTTGTTACTACCAGCTTGCACAGAGACGGCATCAGCTACCAGGACTCGGATACGACAGCTTCCAGCTCACTCACGAATAATACCTATCACGATCACTACGTGGTCTGTAAGGGCTCGCCGATTGGAGCGAACGATGGCGTCCAAGCATGCATGGAAAGTCGATGTGAGTTCTTCTCGCGGTGCTTGTCCCAAACTGGGGTATGACCAGGTGAAAGCTAATCGCGGAGCAAAAGCTCGTCCCTTGGGACCACTCGAGTCCGGAACACGTAGAGAGGATGTATGACCAGCGTGTGGCCTGCGGGTGGAGGGCAGACGAAGTGGCGTCGTGGGTGGAATATGCGAAGAAGGGCGGGAGAATATTCTACTGGGTCGTGGGTCCTCCACCAATCGACGACGAAATAGATGCAGCGGACTGATGGACCGGCAGCTATTCTCAGATGCCCTCCCAGATAGGGAAGTGCTGTTGAAGAAACACGTTGAGGATTACCCCAAGGTTGGTCATGACTAATCTGAAGTTTGGAACCCAAGCTTAACGGCCCGCAGGAGGCACAACCACTTCGAGATACTGCACCCGAGATCCGACTCGTCCCGCGCGAACCGACTGCAAAGGAATTCATTCCGATTGGCCACGTAGCGCTCGACATCCACAGCGCCGAGGACGACGCGAGCCTGGGTCTGCCGTCGCCCGGAACAGTCTGGATCCACGGGCTGTACATATCGTACGCATTGCAAGGGGGCGGGTATGGTACTGGGGCCATGTCGAAGGTGGAAGCTCTGGCGGCACAGGAGCCCATGAACGCGACGACGACGGCGTTGGACACGGTGTCGAAAGAGACGGTGGACGATCCAGATATCGTGAGGGCCTTGAATGAAGAGCTGACGAGCCCGGTGGTAAGTCTATATTCCACCTAATGTAGGTATTATGCAACGATACTGATATGCAGCTTGGCAGACGTCGAAGGAGGGATGGTATAGGCGGCAGGGGTACGAGGTGTACAAGAAGGGCATTGGCTATACCTTCCGAACGAAAGCCGGACGCAGTATAGATCTGATCGTCTCTTATATGAGAAAAACACTGGGCTGATGGGACGGAACCTCAAGACTTGGATTGGTTTCTCGTAGTCCATTGCAGTCCATATCGGTGCTTAAACAGATGGCATACAGCCTTGCAACTGGTGGATTGGGCGTTGATAGTTCGAGAGGTAGCAGAGCCAGTCTTCGCCGTTTCATGGTTGCTACTTTCTCTGTTCGACGCTGAACTCGTGATGATTGGACGGATATAGTCGTGCTCAATTCCCAGCCACACCAATGCGTGTGCGTCTATTCTGCTGCCAACTGTCGTAGACGCGGGATGTGACACCTGCGTAGCATTGCATTGGGAGCACCTCAAGCAAATGAACAGATAGGCGCGTCGCGGCGTGTCAATGGTTGAACTTGCGGCGGGTGTGAGAGACTTATGCGAGACAGCTCATCGAACATCTGGAGGTGCGTCCACGGAAGGAAGATGCAATCTGGGATTCTGGGGCGACCTCTCACAGCGACCCGATTGAAGGGGGGTCGATTAGCAGTTGGAGGTGCCCCGTGCACCATCAAAAGCACGGGCCCACTTTGGGGGAAATCACTGGACCGACGTGCAGAAGTCGCGATCGAGGATTCGAGGCTTGCGAGCTGCGACGACTGTCCTCCATTCGGATACTCCCCCAGTCCCACCCTCGTCTCGCAACCATTGGACAACCACGCCGCTGCCTGCACCGGGCACCCAGAAGAATCCTCCAATGCCGCGTGAGTCCATGTGGCGACCCAACCTCACCGTCGCATCGGGCAGGATGGCAGCATAGTACATAACAACACCGCCGTGCCTCTCACCCACCCATTCCGACTGGCATCCGCGGTCGAACACGTACCTCCAGCTACTGCTACAGCTACAGCCCCGAACCAGCCAGCATCCACAACCCGTCACCGTACCAGCCAAGTCACAAACAAACGAACCTACCCAGACCTATAGACCTGTATCGACGCGAAGTAAACAAGCGTCGCTTGTCGCCTATCTCTGCCTCGACCCCGACACGTCAACACATCGTCCGCCCCAATGCCGCCTGGTCAACTTCTGAAAGCTTCGAGGACGAAGATGCAGGCCTGGGTCACTAACAATGGGCTCAGCAATAGCCAGCCTTCCCCCTCGGCCTACGACGGTTCAGGAATTCCGCAGAAGCACCAACATGCCTATGACTTGGGCCGACAACAATACGAAGCACAGCCGACACCTCCTCTGACACAGCAGGAGTCGCCCCCTCGCTCTCGGGCGCCCATCGTCAATGCGAACTCGACACGCGCCGCCGCTGTCCAGGCAGCCCGACTACCCGTTCCAAGTCTACCCGTTCCAAGTGGTGCGAGCCATGGTCGAAACACGTCGCTGAATTTGCCACGAGGCAGAGCAATCTCTTCGGAGCCGCTCTCGAGCTCCGCCACCAAGGGACAAAAGAAGTTCTGGGAAGGGTCAACAGTAGATGGTTCCTTGTTTAGTGAGACAGCTAGTAATGTCGACGCGAGCACGGCAGCCACATCGCACCGTCGCGTGGCACTTCAGGCACCGCTCAACTACCAACAGCGAGACCCTCCGCGTCATCGCCCGGTCCCGGTCCAACAAGAGGTCAACAGAGTAGAGCAGCATCCCCCGTTTGTCATTGGTCGTAACGGCTTAATCGACGTGATCGCGAACCCTCTCACCAGAAGTGCTTCGACACCCGACGCTAGAAGCCAACGTGGTAGTTTTAAGGAGGCTACCCCTGAGCCAAACCGTGACCAGTATTATGACCAGTATACCGAAGACAACACATCTGAAGCATCTCCGGAGAAGACACCCTCCGCCAAGCGACTTCATCATCCGAAGGCCTTCGCCATGAGGACAGCTCGGCCTGATTCGATTTCTGAAAGGACCACCTACCCGCATGGAGACACCGGGATGTCGTCGTCCCCACAGAAGCACCACGCCTATGACGTTCCTGATGGTCCCTATGTTGAGGTGCCCCCGGAACAGCCTAAGGCGCCCGAGCACTTAAGGCTGAAGGTGCCAACGCAGGAAGCCCATCGTTCGACCGTCTTCGCCGATACCGATACCCCCATGGTGAGCCACCCGGACGAATCAGACAGCGAAACCATCGATCAGCCACCGACGCCGAAGCCAATCCCAAAGGCAAAGCCTCAAGTGAGCCGACAACCTCAAGTGAATAGGATACTCTTCGGTAGGGATAGTGAAGGGCAGATCGGTCTTCATCAGAGCGCCATGCCTCGCGCACCCGTTGAGAAGCGTCAGCCAGTCGCAAAGAAGCGTCACTACGAGACCGATTATGACGACAGCGCTCTGGCAGCTATGAACTATGCGAAATTGAAACAGGAGGCCTTCGACCATGACCCAGCTCAGGCCGAAGCGCGGTCAGTCGTGGGACCACCTCAGGGTACCTTGCCACAGAAACTGGACCACTTTTTCAACAAGGATGAATCGAGTCAGATGGAGTTCTTCAGCAAAATGCCCGTTCGAGAATGGGAAGACTCTGGCGACTGGCTACTGGAGAGATTTGGGGAGGTCATGAACCGACTCAAGGCTGCTCGCAAGGACAAGCGAGCGATGATGGAGAACTTCGAGGACGAGATTGCTACACGAGAGGAGCAAGTGAGAGGCAAGATCGACTATGTCGACACTAAGTTGGTGGCACTAAAATCTGAAGGCGAAGGCATGATGAAGGGAGTGGAGTACGAATGAATGTACGAGCATACAACATGATGACTTTTCCGATGGATCTGCTGCAAGGATTTGTCTATATAAGGATGTGGGCTAGCTTACGAGAAGGGAAGCTCTAGATGGTCGGACTGGGCTCTCCGAGACCACTATGGTTGGTTGACGCATGAACTGGAGTTTGGCTTTGCTTTCATGACGGCTTTCGCGGAACGACGGAACGTTGTAGGGGGCATATGCATTCAGCGCGGAGCTAGTAAGATACCCCTTGGCTCTCACGAGCATCAAATGATAATCGATTGTTTCACCCTTCTATCCTTGCCAACAACGAGTCGCAGCTGGCATCTCGGCTTATCATCCGCGAACAGGCCGCTCCGCAGCCTGTCGGTGAACAGCTCGTAGGCGGGGTAGTAAGCATCGACGAACCGGACGACCTCGTCGTCGGTCATGCCGGCGCCCCTCTCGGCCCGCAGCCGCACCTCCTGCTCCAGCCGCCAGTCGTAGACCCACCCGGTGTCGGCGGCGTCGACGTGGACGAAGGCGTCGAATGTGTTTGTTAGTATGTTGTAGTCCGCCAGGCGGTCGTTGATGTAGACCAGGTGCTCCAGGGCGTGCCGGCTGCGTGTACGTTAACATCCTGTCTTTAACCCCGTACGGCCATTCTCTGGATGAAGAAGGAAAGGGAACAAAAGGCTTGTTCCCAAACACAAGGCCCGGGGTCTTGGGATGGGATGTTTTTATACGTACCGCAGCGTCCGGCTGGGGGCGTCGTTGCGCCGCGCCGCGACTTCGGCGGCGGAGGCTAGCGGGCGGAAGCCGACGCACCAGCCTTCGAGGATTACTACTTGGATGGACGATTGGTTGGAATTGGGTTGGTTGACGCGCGGCCAGAGTTCTGGGGATAAGCGGTCCCCGAGCCCGGAGTGGGCGGACTTGTCGTATTGCGGGATGCTGGTGGGGGCGTTGGCGAGGAGGGCGGTTAGGACGGTGGTGGCTAGGGGGATGTCGTGGGTGCCTGGGTTTTGGTTAGATATAGTTGTTTTACTTACTCGATAACGGAGTTACAGGCTTATACAAAAAGCTTCTTATACGCAAGACTTCTCTTATGAAAGCCTTCTCAAATGGAATGCGACACTCATGAATACCGACAACATAAAATCCCCGGAAGAGAGGCAAAAAAAGGGTGGCGCATATATGTCCAAAACCAGGCAGCGGGAAAAAAGGGGAGATCAGAACCCAGAAACATAACATACCCGGCTCCCCCCGTACCTGCACCAGCGCATTCCCCGGGTGCGCCTTTGCCAGCGCCTCCTGGTCCTCCCGCGTGAGGTAGAAGTCGTCGATGCTGCAGACGAGCGTCTCAAGCCCTTCCTCGCGGCGCAGCGTTGTTGCTAGGTCTTTGACCAGCGTCGTCTTGCCCACGCCCTGCACGCCGTTTAGCCCGATGATGAAGGGTCGGTTGTTGCTGTTGTTGCTGGAGAGTAGGTGCGCGCGTAGGTGGTTGAGGATGAAGGGGATGACGAGGGGGGTTTTGTCGTCGTGGATTTCGGGGGCGGTGTTGGTTTTGGAGGTGGGGGTGGGGGTTGAGGTTGAGGCTGACATGGTGGTTGTGTTTTTGGCGAAGAGAGGAAGAGGGTGTGTGAGTTGTGTTTGAGAAAGAGAGAGAGCAGGTATGTGAGACGGCAGTCCGAGATTGAAGTTTTTGTCTTGATCGACCCCGTTTGTTTGTTGATCTGACTGGAGGTGCCCGTTTGCCGTTGAGGCGTGAGGTGACTGACGCAGCAGCAGTGAGTTCGGCTTCAAAGCCGAGTTCGCCCCGCCCGGCAGCTCTACCCCGGATTTCGCGGCCGGCCGCTTTGTTCAGTCACTCCGGTACCTCGAAGAGGGTTTCGATATATTGACAGAGATTATTTCGATTGCCTCTTCTGGTATTGGTATCCGGTGTGACAGAATCCGAAGAGTGCAAGGATTTCTCAAATGGAGGACAGTCCAATGTTGGCTTATACACAGAAACGTGGCACTTTAGTGCTCCGATGTCCACGATGATATCCAGTATTGACCATCATCTTGAATCTCAGAGCCAGCTTTAGGCATGAAGTTTCTATATTCGGAACCGTAATTCCTGGCTACATACCGTTCTCGACATGATTAATTCGCCGCGGTGTCAGTGAACTTCTTTGGTGCATACTGCGGGGAGTACACCAAATAGACGACATCACAGTACCCATGGCCCTGTCACCTTAACACCGCACCCTCTGCAGGTTTACCCGGGAATCGCCATGCAACCGACAGCAAGACATCACTCACCTAACTTTTAGTAGCAGAAATACTGCTGAGTCCCTGGAGTGAAAGATGCTCATGTGACACTGATTGAAAATGAAAAGCAAAAATAGGTTACACTTTGACAGTGGCTGTCAGCACTTGAATCGTGCTGCTGACCTCATCCGCAGCTCTTCAGCGGCTTTGACATGTGAATCTCCAGCGGCGCCGCCCACGTACATATTACATGGCCCTGGAGGGAGGTCTGACCGAGTCGGGCAAGGTCGACCCGTCGTGCTCGGACCACACTGGGGTCATGGGTCCGGATGGCGCCCTCGGCATTCCTAGAGCTGTCATCGTGCTGCCTCGGCTGATTTGTGATCTACCTCATGGCGGAGGTCAGATGCGGCATTCAACGGAAGCGTAATGCCGTCGCAACGCAGCTCCCCATCTACTTCTTAACACCATCCACCTCCGCAAAACCACCTACACTCCTCCTCACTGAACTCCATTTCGATTGGGGTATTGATCGTGTGCTTGTCAATTAGCTTTATTTCTTTGATATCCCTCACTGATTGTACAAGTTCACCTCACCATGGCTGGCGAATTGCGCTACGACGACCAGGTCGTCGTCATTACCGGCGCTGGAGGCGGCTTGGGCAAGGCATATGCTACCTTCTTCGGCTCAAGAGGAGCCAAGGTCGTTGTCAATGATCTTGGTGGCTCTTTCAAGGGCGAAGGCAACTCGACCAAGGTGATTATAACTCTGCTCCTTGACTGTCCATGTTGACAGACTCCCTTGCTAACCTGCCTCGCCAATGGTGACAGGCCGCCGATGTAGTAGTCAACGAGATCAAAGCCGCTGGCGGCCAGGCCGTGGCCAACTACGACAGTGTCGAGAACGGCGAGAATATCATCGAGACCGCCATCCAGGCATTCGGCCGTATCGATATCCTCCTCAACAACGCCGGTATCCTGCGAGACGTTAGCTTCAAGAACATGTCGGATCAGGACTGGGATCTGGTCATGAAGGTCCACGTCAAGGGCGCATACAAGTGCGCCCGCGCCGCCTGGCCTCACTTCCGCAAGCAAAAGTACGGTCGTGTAATCAACACGGCATCCGCTGCCGGCTTGTTCGGCAACTTCGGCCAGGCCAACTACTCAGCCGCCAAGCTGGCCCAGGTCGGCTTCACCGAGACACTTGCGAAGGAGGGTGCCAAATACAACATTATCTGCAATGTCATTGCACCCATTGCCGCGAGTCGCATGACCGAGACCATCATGCCTCCTGACATGTTGGAGAACCTGAAGCCCGAGTGGGTTGTCCCCCTCGTGGCTGTCCTGGTCCACAAGAGCAACATGACGGAGAATGGTGGCATCTTTGAGGTTGGTGGCGGCCACATTGCCAAGTACAGATGGGAGCGGTCTAGTGGTCTTCTGCTCAAGGCGGATGACAGCTACACTCCCGGTGCTGTCCTGAAGCAGTGGAGCAAGGTCAACGACTTCTCGAACCCTCAGTATCCGACCGGTCCTAACGACTTCATGGGTCTCCTGGAAGAGTCGATGAAGATGGGTCCGAACGACAAAGGGGAGAAGCTAGACTTCACTGGAAAGGTGGCTTTGGTCACTGGCGGTGGTGCTGGTATTGGCCGAGCTTACTGTCTTGCATTTGCTAAGCATGGCGCATCGGTAGTGGTGAACGATCTGGTAGACCCTGACACTGTGGTTGGTGAGATCAAGAAAATGGGCGGAAAGGCTGTTGGTGTCAAGGCATCCTCGGAAGAGGGTGAGAAGGTGGTCAAGGGTGCAATCGATGCTTTCGGCAGACTTGACATCGTTATCAACAACGCTGGCATCCTGCGAGACAAGGCCTTTTCCAACATGGACGACAACCTGTGGGACCCTGTGATGAACGTCCACCTCCGCAGTACTTTCAAGATTACGAGGGCTGCTTGGCCCTACTTCTTGAAGCAGAAGTACGGTCGTATCATCAACACCACCTCCACAAGTGGTATCTACGGTAACTTTGGACAGGCCAACTATGCCGCAGCGGTAAGTTAGTATGAACAGATCTGATTGCGCTGAAGCTGATTGATCATCTAGAAATGCGGCATCCTTGGTCTCTCCCGCACGATTGCCATTGAAGGTGCCAAATACAACATCTACTGTAACACCATCGCCCCCAACGCAGGGACTCAAATGACCGCCACTATCCTCCCTGAAGAACTAGTGCAGGCTTTCAAGCCTGACTATATCGCGCCCGTAGTGCTTGCTCTTTGCAGCGACAAGGTTCCCACACAACCGACTGGCGGCTTGTACGAAGTTGGTAGCGGCTGGGTTGGCCGCACAAGGTGGCAACGAACGGGCGGTGCTGGTTTCCCACTGGACGTCAAGTTGGTCCCTGAAGAGATTGTCAAGAAGTGGTCTGACATTGTCAACTTCGACGATGGGCGGACAGATAACCCAGAGAAGTCTTCAGACTCGATAGAAAAGATCATGGCCAACATGTCGAACAAGCGAGGGGCATCCAAGGTATGAGCCCTCCTCTTCCTTGGTGCCCTTTAACCATACTGTATATACTATGTACTAGGCTAGCAGAATGAATGATCCACGTTAACGACTTCTATCATTAGACGTCTGATGCAGGTAACCAGTCCGGCGGAGGTAACCAGTATCTTGAAGCTCAAGCAAAAGCAAAGTCCGCCGAGTCACAACCTACCGAGTTCACCTACACCGAGCGTGACAGTATGCTGTACAACTTGGGTATTGGTGCCAAGCGCACAGATCTCCCGTACGTCTTCGAGGGTCACGAAGACTTCCAAGTGCTGCCCACGTACGGCGTGATCCCCCAATTCGACACCCAGATGCCGTTCGACTTCGACGAGGTGGTCCCCAACTTCTCGCCCATGATGCTACTCCACGGCGAGCAGTACCTCGAGGTCAAGAAGTGGCCGATCCCGACGGCAGCGCGCACACAGAGGCATGTATAAAAACATCCCTATTTCAGACCCCAAGTCACCGGGTTTGGAATACACTTGAACCTTCTGCTAACTTCTCGACAGTAAGTAATTCTGCTAGGCGATTCCAGAGACATAGGGTACGGTAACTAACCAGGGACGTTCTCATACACTAGACTACGGCAAGCTGCTCGAGGTGGTGGACAAGGGCTCGGCGGCCATCCTGAAGAGCGGCGTCACGACGACTAACGCCGAGAACGGCGAGGAGCTGTTCTACAACGAGGCGACCGTCTTCCTCCGGGGGTGCGGCGGCTTCGGCGGGCAGAAGAAGCCCGGCGATCGCGGGGCGGCGACCGCGCCTAATGTCCTGCCGAAGAGGAAGCCGGATGTTGTTGTCGAGTCGCCGACTACGGCTGAGCAGGCTGCTATCTACCGGTTGAGTGGTGATTACAAGTAAGCGATCTATCTCCCCAACATCCTTACACCTCGAAACTTTTCACGGTACAGTCACTGACCTGCACACCGTCAAAGCCCCCTCCACATCGACCCCAACTTCGCCAAGATGGGCGGCTTCAAGGAGCCCATCCTGCACGGGCTGTGCTTCATGGGCATCGCCGGCAAGGCCGTCTACGAGGCCTTCGGGCCCTACAAGAACATCAAGGTGCGCTTCGCCGGCTCCGTGCTGCCGGGCCAGACCCTCGTCACCGAGATGTGGAAGGAGGAGGGCGGCAAGGTCGTGTTTCAGTCCAAGGTCCGCGAGACGGGCAAGTTGGCTATCTCGGGGGCGGCGGCGGAGCTGGTGGATGGGGGGAAGGGGGGGAAGCTTTAGGGGGGTTGTTGGTTGATGGGCTGGTGGGGTTGATGGTTCATGTTATATGTTGTGGCATTGGGTTCGTTGACCTTAGTTTCTTGTCGGTTTCCGGTTTAGTATGAATAAGAAGTGTATACATACTCTTTGGTTTGTTACTTGGAGGAGTGTACGCGTCGCTTGTATAGTGAATCGGGAGCTATGATTACAGCTCCGGAGTACGAGTGGAGGTCTCGCGTTAAGAAGCCAAGCCGGCATCGGGTCTATAGTGGCATGACTGCACCCGGCAAAACATAACGGAAAGAAGTCGTTGAGGATGAATGGTGGAGGCGGAACTGACCCGTGTTGGTCGGACCCTGGCCGCCCAGGGTTGCCTTCCATGAAGTGCGTGTGATGGCGAATAATAGCGTCCGCCATGATGCTCGCGACTGATCACGGGTTCTGGGAATGTAGCAGCAATGATCACGCTAATTCTTCTACTGACATGTTCCTGGAGAAGCTCTCAGAAGACGACTTGCCAGGTCCTAGGCGCTTCCCAAGCCGGCCGTGGAGAGTATTGTTAGATGTAAGGGGGCGATCTGAAGTCACACAGGAACTCACCGCCATGATCCGTCGTCAGATGTGAAAGCCATGCAGTATACTCCCACTGAGTCAGTCACCCCGGGCACGGGACCGGGGCTGACTTGTGATGAAACCCATTGATCAATACGTGCGGTAGAGGGAATACGTCCGTACGTGTTGGGGGACTCCGTATCGGTATACTAATCCATGGACGAGCGATGTACGCCGTCCTGCCCCGTGGGTGAGCTCATGGACCGGTTGATGATAATACACTGAACCTCCAGAAGTCTCCGTACACCCCTCGTTCACCAAGCGAAAGATGTATTTACTATATTTGGGATAAGCAGTCTGGAATAAGCATCAAACTGACTAATTAGATTAGATCTGCTTATTCCACAGTGCTTATTCCATTAATACGAACATCGCATTAACATTTCAGAGTTGACGGGAGCATGACGGACGGAGAGTTATGAGGGGTGAGTGTACAAGTACAGGGTCACGGTACTCCTTCAAGCTCCCGAAGTTCGGGACTTGCTGCATTGAAGAGTACGTAAACTATCTTAAGCTCATCTCAGGAGCTATTGGACCTGGTACTTCGTATTCCAGGCGACCTCCAGTAGTCGCAGCATCCACATCATCATCATCAATCTCCAAGCTCGCGGGCTCGGCCATATCGTCGATGGAACTGCAAGTCGAGACCAGGTTGCTGTTTGCTGAGCTCATCCGCATTGCCGTTCTACGAGCTTCTGTAGCTACATCACGAGGTCATTGGTGAAAACCACCTTGTCCCGTTCGTACCGCACTGTCCATCCGACCTCGGCCACATCAACAGAGATGCTCTCGTTGACCGCCCTTGTCATTAGCCCCTCCATCTGCATTCCGCGCAGCTCCGTCATCCGATCTTCCCGTCTCAGTTTGCCGAGCTGCTGGCCCAACCCCACCTCATCGTCGTGGATCGTCAAGAGCCGCAGGCGCTGTAGGCTGTCCGGGAGCACCTGGTCAAGCATGAGTGGGGGCTCGAAATCATCATCTTCATCATCCTCATATTTGTACGGCTCCAACCTGCCGACGAGCATGTCCTGTGGGATCGCGAGCTTCTTTAGCCTCGTCAGCTCGCGCAGAGGCCCAATTTTCCCGCCGACGAAGACTAGTGCCCTTGGCGGTGTAATCATAGAGGACCCACATGGACCTTCGCGTCGCCTCTACCCATACGATGCGCAAAGTCTGGAGGTCGGGACAGCGGGAGAGCAAGTCATTCAGGCCGTGCTCGTCGATGGCGGTGTCAGTCAAGTCAATGTGTCGGAGGCTGAGTCGCGGGGCCATGAGGGGGAGCTGTTTCCACAACGGTTCCGGCGGGCCGATTTCCCAGCCCAGTGCGCAACCCTGGAGTGTCTCGTCAGTTGGAAGCAGCAGCTGCTGGAAGTCTTTTATCCTCATAAAATTATTCGTGTCCCAGTGGCGCAGGCGCAGCAGGCGTAGAGGTGGCACGCGACTCTGTCCCAGTAGCCCGCTGAAAATTTCTCCCAGCATCTCAGTCCCGCGGCGGATTTCAACCGCTTCGAGGTTGGGGAGTAGGAGGACGAGCAGCACTGACTCCCCGGTCAGGTTCGTCTCGCCCACAGCCGTGTCGATGTCCTGCAGGAGTCGGTGCCCAAATTCAGCGGGAAGACGCAGGCGAGGACGGGCGATCTCGAAGGCCTCGCGCAGAGCATTCTCGGAAACGAAGGGTGTCAGATCTATGGCTTTGACCAGGTCACACAGGTACACATCTCTGCTCAAGCTCCGTAGAAGTCCTGCCGATGTCTTGGGTATGGTGTGGTAGAGCTCTGGTAACGCCAACCGCCTGAATAACTTGGAAGCCCGGCAGATGGACGATAGTGTGAGCTGTCGACTTCGCTCATCATCAAGCGCGACCTGTTCGCAGTTGTCGAAGAATACTTTGCGCCGCAGATTGGGCCGGAGAAATGAGAAGATGCACAGCAAGATCTCATTCGGAAGATGCGGCATAATTACTTCGTAGGGTCGGAGCTCTACACGATGGTGCGGATTCTGGGAGGTCCTTTTCAGGACTCTGAGGTTATGTGAAGTTAGCGTTGCTTTGGACTGCCCTGACTAATAAAATTAGGACTGGATATGTGAGCGATCCACCTTCACGCCATCTCCACCACGTGACATTTTCACGGCGATGAGGTTCAACAAGCCTCTTTCCCAACGCCGTACTGTCTGAGGGTTGGCCGGCAAAGTAGGTATGATTTTAATTAGCTTACTGGGCCTAATATGGGGCAGATATGACATTGCCATGCGCAAACATCGTCGTCCCACTGATTCGTTCGAAAATTCGGCTGTTATTGATATGGGCCGCAGCCTCATATAATGGTTGCATGTATGATGCTGCCTATGGGTATGAAACGTATCGTACTATGCACGCCTGTACCCATGAAACCCTTTTGCCCCTAACCATACGCCGTGCTGTATGCAATACCCATATCGACCTCGCATCTATCGGACCGCAATGTACACATAATCGAGCAGACCCGAAACTTCAATCCTGAACTCCTGTTCGTCTCGTGCGTTCACACGAACAACGTCTCAATGATAAGATCAAAAATTTCCTCAACGCTCGGTGGTCCGGCAGTCGGAAATACTCGGCCAAGAACTCCTTCCTTAACGTTTAGGTGGCCTGCGTCATCCTCGAGGTACGCTTTCTCTGCGTCAGAGAGCTCACGCCGCTCAGTATCTCTCCACTTTCGCTCTACTTCCTCCTTCGCTCTCCGTAGGGTCACGTCGGTGTTCTCTTGCTCCCAAAGATTGCACTTGTTGCATTCCTTGCACGGGCTTCCATCACCCTCGACGCGGAAGTGTGGACAGAAGTGTTGGTATCCGTCCTTGCCGATATCCTTACGGCAGCAATAGCACATCTTGTACCCGCAGGGACAGGACAGCTTGTTGCATCCGGAGTTTTTGATGAATGATGTGTTGCAGCGCGGACATACGCGCTTGACCGCCATAGACATCGCCTGCTCGACCTGCGTGCGCAGCGCAACCAGACTTGACTCGTGACAGACATGGATATCTATCCATGCCTTCGAGCAGGACAAACAAGACGGGCGCGCACATATGGGGTTTTGGCATATGAACTTCAAGCCGCGACGGCGACGCTGGTATCGACTGAAAGCCGCCTTGGCTTGCTGGGACACGTAGTCCCTGAAGGCGCGACTCAAGCAAGGGAGAAGGCAGATGAGCCCAGCAAGCAGGATGGGAAGAGAAAAGGGAAAGAAGAGGAGACAGATGATGATTAGGATGGCGTTAGGAAGGTTACTCATCCGGAGCTTTGGCCTCGTCATCCCGGCTGGCATGTATAGCTCATCGACTTCTGCATAATTGCAGAACGGGCATCGGACAAGTGACAGCCCACTCGAGATGAGATCGTGGTCTGCCAGGCGCTGGTCAAACTTGTGTAAGACCTCAGCCCCTTGCTTCTCTTCGCGCATAGCCTGTTGAATGTCGTCTGAAGATATGCAACCAGTACATTCGTCAGACGAAACAGCGAGACACCGGAGCGTGCCTGTATCCTTGTTGATGCTGCGTTGCCAACCTTGGCCGAATACTGCCTCCGTGATGGAGTGTCGGACGCAGCGAAAGCAGACCATATGCCCCTCAGTACTGCAGGTGGTGAACTCCTCGAAGACCGAATCCGTGAAACAACAAGCGCACTCGTATGTGGCCCCGCAAGCTTCAGCCTCTTCGGTGTAGAGGGACAACGCAAACTCTCTGTCGCTTTGCTCCTTTGAAGCTTTCTCGCGCTGTATGAGAGGCATTATCAGCTCTTGGAACAGTTCCTTGTCCAATTCCGCACTGCCAGTCGATTTCAGCGATGGTATTGCCGGTCCATCATCAGACGCTCTCCAGACGATCAAAGGATGTACCTCTGCTTCGGCGGAAGTGACGGGTTTCCGACGGAACAATAGCGACGAAATCGCAAATTTCCACGACCTCGAGGACAATTCGACGAGAGTCGGTCGAGCGCCAAGGTACCAGTAGTTCGACTCGGAGAGAACAGCGTCGATAGCGGACTTGGAGAGACCCTTGAATTCCTGTAATGCCAGAAACCTCACTGCTGCCTTGTACTCTGGCGACCTGAAAGCCTCGGCCCGCGATATTTCCGTTTTTTCGTCGGCGGACTCGTCGGCAGTCCTGCGCCGTCCCTTCACAAATGTACCAGCATTCTTCAGCAGCATGTCGGTGACAACAAATAGCTGAGATTCCTCCGAGAATGTCGAGAGCATCTCTCTGAAAACCTCAATCTGGATGTCGGGGAACAGTGTGGCAAGGGTTTCTAGGCTTTTGTTGAGGTCGAGTAGATGTTCGGAGGGCTGCTCAGCAGGGCGGAGGTGGGACTCGTCCGAGAGGTAATCGTAGCAGGGGGCATCGTGACTGCGAGATGGTGAGGTCGAGGGCGATGGGGATGTCTCCTGTGCTCGTTTCGACGACTTGGATGATTTGTTGGACTGATATGAGCCCTTTCGCCCCGAGGAGCTTCCCAACAAGCTGGAGAGGAACATGCTCGGTAGCTTTGAAAGAAGCAACAAGGAGGGAAGAAGAGGGAAGAGCGCTGGCATCAGCTTCTGGGAACGATTGAGCCGCTCATAACTCTTGCCTCGATGCCAAAGTGGCTTTTGCGAGGAGTCGAGATCTGGGAGTGGTCACTGGTGCGGTAGTCAGGTGTCAAAGACTCAAAGTCGTGACCGGCTGAGCAGTGAGAGGGTGTATTATTATTAGGTGCAGGTGGTACCTTTATTCAGTATTTAGGGAGATTCTGGATCGGGTTCCCAGATTCAGGGTCGCAGTCCGCGGACCGCGGGGGTGCGAAGTCGCGTGGCCATATATGCCCCTAACCGAGTTATGCCTATAGACGGACCTTCCCTACTCTCTTCCATCTTCTAGCCAATACGGTATTACACCCACAACTGTCACAAGTAAAGCTCAGATAACATCAGAAAGGCTCAGACCTTACTTGTAGATGATACAATGATGTCGGACCTATGAAACAAACAAAAAGGCCTCTGCTCAGAACATCTCGCACACCGACACACACGTCGCACATATCGAGCATCCCTAAGGTAGACGCGCCGAATGGAGAGTAAGTACCCAAGGTAAGCAATTCGTATAAATGTGATATATGACAATATGCCGCAGCGTTAGCCTAATCGCTATGCATGAGCTTCCAGAGGCTTGAACCGTTGAACGTTAGGTTCCCACTTCCGGCCGCATTGGCAGGGTCCTGAGTCCTGAGTCCTGAGTCCTTGGTCGAGCCGGTCGGCTCGCAACTTTGACGATCTTCTTATCGCCGACCTAGCTGCCTGACACCCTGGGCTGCCTGGGTACCTGTGGCTGGGGACACAACCACCGGCTTAACAATCACCGAGCCTTTGGTTCTCTTCACTCGCCGTCACACACCGACAGCAACATACTGCTCGTAAGCAATGGAATGAGACATCATGGACCAGTTCATTCTGACAGGAAGCCACTGGGATCCTACATTCCATACCCCTAATTACTCACAGCATGCCGACGACATCCACACCGAGAACAGGTGAGTTGCCCGCCGATACGAGGCTGTTACAGTCATTACTGAGCCAGCCGTCTGACATGTCCAGCAGTGATGATCTCCAATGGATCGACAACCTATCTCACTTCACGAAAGCCGGCTACCTGCAACTGTCAATCGTCGTCATATCAGTCCTCTTCGTCATCAGACACCTGCTTCACCGCTCATACTCCGAAACCAATCGGCCTAAGAGCAGTGCCTCGACCATCTCGTTGGCAATCGAGCTATGCAGCCAGCTCCTGCGCGCCACCTCGCTGGCCTTCATGATCGTGGCCGCCGTGCAGCAAGGAGGCAAATGGACCAATGTCGCTGCTTTGACCTATGCTTTCCTGTTGGGGCTATCGCGGCTGGCGAATGATATCAAATGGCGACATGTCGCCTTACACCACGTGAACTTTGTTCTCGCTGGTTCGCTGCTCGTCATTGCGGCGGGAGAGCTGCTGCCTTCCATCGACGCCGATCATGAGGCAAGCTTGAATCCGATGATGATATGTAGCATAGCCGTCTTAGCTGCTGCTGTTTTCGTGTCTCTAAGCACGCGAAGAGAATGGATTCCGCCGTCACTGGATCTTGAGTTGTCGGGGCTGATACCCACTCGAGAACCCTCACCTGAGGAGACCTGCAGCTGGCTGGAATACTACATTACCTACGACTGGCTCACTCCACTGATCTTGAAGGGGCTACGTCGCCAGATGACGACTGAAGAGCTTCCCAGACTTCCGTGGTATGATGAGCCGCTCTTCCTCCTCTCCCGAATACTTGAGGCTCGTAAGAAGTCCAAGTCTACGCTATGGACATTGCTACGCTTCTTGCCAGGGGAGTTATTCGGTATGACTTGCTGGGCTGTCTTTAATTTCGTGGTGGACCTCATAGCCCCTTTCGCCATTTATAAGCTACTGGGGTTTCTCACGAATCCTGAACGATCCAGTTACCGGCCCTGGGTTTGGCTGATACTATTGTTCGTCGGTCCCGTCGGCCGATCCGTATCATTTCAGCAATACATCTTCATCTCCACCCGCTTGGTCGTGCGAGTCAAAGCTGCGTTGACGCAAGAGCTCTACTACAAAGCCATGAGCTCTATGGAGTTGGACGACGAAGTTTTTGCTGAGATTGCGACGGCAGGTAAGGATAGTGACAACGCCAAGAAGCAGCAGACCACCACCTCGACAGGTCGACTCGCAAACCTCATGAGCGCTGATGTCGATGCGGTCACCAACGGCAGAGACGTCATTTTAGTATTCTTTGGGATACCTGTCGGAACCGTTGTCGCCCTGATCGGGCTTTACAGGCTGCTAGACTGGCCAGCTCTTGTCGGGATTGCCACCATGGTGGTTCTGTCACCCCTACCCCTATTAATCGCTCGGAGTATGGTTGGGATCCAGCGCGAGATGAAGAAGATCCAGGACTCCCGAATCTCAGTCATATCAGAATACTTGGCTTCGATCCGAGCAATCAAGTATTTCGCCTGGGAGGATGCTATCATCCGGAAAGTGGATGAAATTCGACATGGTGAACAGAAGAAGATTTGGAGTTTGAACATGCTGTGAGTACGAGCGACTATCACCACACGTGGCTGTCAAACTGATCATTCCGACTCTAGATTCGTCGCGCTGGGACAGCTAACGGAGTCCATCCCAACCCTGTCACTGTTGCTAATTTTTACACTGCATGTGCTTGTACGCAAACAACAGTTGACCGCAGATATTGCCTTTACATCGATCACGCTGATCCGAACGCTGCGCCGAAACCTATCCATGGCATCTGGCATGTCGCGAAATATTACAGCAGCTGGTGTATCTATCAAACGCCTTGATCGCTATTTCAACAATGTCACGCCCTTGAAACCTCATCCAGTCGGCCCTCTTCAGATTAAGAATGCCACCTTCAGACGTCACGAAAAGGCTACCTTTGCGCTGAAGGACGTCTCTATCGACTTTGTGGAGGGTGGCTTGAATGTGGTAACAGGTCAAAGCGGCAGTGGAAAGTCAACTTTGCTGATGGCGATACTTAGCGAGACTCTCGTCGAGGCAGGCTCTATCACGTGTCCGGAGGATATCGCGTACGCGTCCCAAAGCCCATGGCTACAGAACGAGACGATCCGCGAAAACATCCTTTTCAACAGTACTTTCGAGCAAGTTCGGTACGACCGAGTCATCAATGCTTGCGGGCTGCCGATAGACTTTAACGAGTTCGCCGAACGAGATGAGACTGAAGTCGGCGAGAACGGTGCTTCATTGTCCGGCGGCCAGAAATCTCGAGTAGCTCTCGCTCGAGCTCTCTACTCCAAGGCTCCCGTCATTCTGCTCGACGATATCTTCTCAGCACTCGATGCCAAGACGTCCGCATTACTCTGGGAAGAAGCTTTCTGTGGCGATCTGCTGAAAGGGAGGACCGTCGTGCTCGTCACTCAGCTACCATGGATTGCTCCACAGGCGGATCTGTCGATAGCATTGGAGAATGGAACCATCAAGGGCATCCAGCAGAACCTAGGTGTCACCCAGAAATCTGTGACACTGGACCAGATCCAGGTGGATGAAGGCAGTGTTGATACGACCGCCGAAGTCACTGCCACAAACGCCGCAGAGACCAACGGGACACAGGCCAATGGAACGTCCTCTAATAAGCAAGTCAAGGTTACTGAAGCTAAACGCCGCGACGAAGTGACGCAAGAAGCTCTCAAGACCGGGCAGACAGCCCGTCTCCAATGTGAGTAGCCTATTATGTTTTATTCCCATGTTCTCTCATTGTCCTGGGGATCGAGACGCTGATGGCTTGTTCCTAGTCTTCTCATACATGCGACTATTTGGCAGTCCTTTCCATGCCCTGCTCGCAATCGTCATGAGTACTCTCAGCACCGCCTCCTTCGTTGGGACCGGTCTCTGGATCGCCGTCTGGGTTGACGCCTACGGAAAGGACGACGCGTACGATATCGGGTTCTACCTAGGCATATACGCGGTATGGAGCCTTGCGGATACCGTCTTCGGCGGCCTGACGTACATTGCCTATGAGAGTGGAGGCTGGTTCGCAGCACGCACTCTACACACCACGTTCATGAAAGCCGTGATGAGCGTGCCCCTCTCGTGGTACAAGGCGACGCCAGTTGGCCGGATTGTCAACCGCTTCTCGCGCGATATGAGCTCGATCGATACTTCATTGGCGGGCATGCTCCGTATGAGTATCGAGGCCTTCACCAGGTTATGTTTCCAAATCGTAGCCGTTGGTTCTGTTCTTCCTATCTTCATGGTCCCTGCTGCGGCTTGCTGTACCTTTGGCATTATTGCAGGAGAGATGTATACTCGTACAGCTGTAGCCGTCAAGCGGCTGGTCTCATCGTCTCAGTCGCCACTGTTCGCTCAGTTCGCAGATAGTCTTGCTGGGCTTCCTGTCATCCGGGCCCGGACCGGCATGCCGCAGGTGTTTGGCAATCAGCTTGCGCAGAAGCTGCGGGTCTACGAGCAGGCTTCCGAAGCGCAGTTCAACTGCAACCGCTGGGTGGCACTGAAAATCGACATGATGACGACGTTTGTGACGGTCGCGGCGGGCGCGATAGCTGTGTCGCAAGCAGGTGTCGTGGCAGCTGGTGTTGTCGGGTTCTCACTGACCAACGCAACGGTATGTTGAATCCGTCCAGGCTCGACCTTGACAAGCTAACGAACCATCTAGACTCTCAACCAGATCATCATCTTACTTGTCCGAGCCATGAACGAACTCGAAGTCGAATTGCAAAGTGTATGTCCCAATCCCATCCTAGAGGTGGCCTTCAAAGGTTGCTGACACAGACCAGTTCCACCGAGTTCGAGAGTACGCCGCCGTAGAACCGGAAGAAAAAACGGATGAGTACAAGGATGCTGGCGCCTACTCTGATAGCCCAGAGACTATCATGCCTAAAAATTGGCCTCGGAATGGCGAGGTCGAGTTTCGAAATGTCACCATCAAGTACGACTTGGAAGGCCCGGAGATCTTGAAGAACATCAATCTCAAGTTTGCTGCCGGCGAGAGAGTCGCTGTGGTCGGGCGGACGGGATCGGGAAAGAGCACGGTATGTTACTGGCCCTTTCTACAGTCGACAGATTTCTTCCATGTTGCCTGGTGTAATCCCTGGTGAAATTGTACTGCGAACCTGTCTTGGGTCAACCCTTGGATTTGTCTGGTCCTTGAGAGATTGTCTCATCAAAAGACACCACTAACGCGTGTCGCTCACAGCTGGTCTTGTCGCTGCTTCGTTTCACCAACATCGTCTCAGGCCAGATCCTTTTTGACGGCATAGACATCACGAGCTTCCCCCGCAGGAATCTTCGAGAAGCCCTCACCATCATCCCTCAAGAAGCGGTGCTGTTCAACGGGGACGTGGCATCCAACCTGGATCCGACAGACGAAATTCCAAAGGAGACGATCGAGAAGGCCTTGGAGTACTGCAGCGGGATCGCATCCTTCCAATTCCACCGCAACGACGGACAAGCGCAGGACGGACACGGTCAGCCAAACGGCAACGGCGCCTCTGACTCCGCTGACGCGCCGACCGACCTGGGCATCAACCTGGCGACGAGCGTGAAGGCCAAGGGCGAGAACTTCTCCCACGGCCAGCGACAGGTCCTCTCGCTTTGCAGAGCACTCGTCAGGAAGAGCATGCTGCTGCTGCTGGACGAAGCGACGGCGAGCATGGACTACGAAACTGACCGGGGCATCCAGGAGGTGCTGAGGAAAGAGCTGAACGAGCATGGCAGGGATAGAACTTTGGTCACCATTGCTCATCGCCTGAAGACGATCATTGATTATGATCGCGTCGTGGTGATGAGCGCCGGGACGGTTCTGGAGTAAGTTATCTGACCACGCCTCTGTGACTACATAGTTCGCTTTGCTAACGATGCGTGCAGGGTTGGCAGTCCGAAAGAACTGTACGATGCCAAGGGACAGTTCTACGATATGATGCGACATAGTGGGGAGTTTGAGGACCTGGAGAAGATCCTTGGCGCGAATTCATAGGAGCGTCTGCAAGCATAGAACAAGAAGGCTTCTCGATAATGCAGTAGATGGTGATGTAAGAGAAGAGATAGACAGACATTAAGGAGGGTTGGGATAGATTGATAAATACACAAGTCTTGGTCATCCGCTAGTTATTTGAAGATGCACCTGCAACAAATCATGCCTGCTTTGGATTATTTCGGCATATAGTGCATGGGGCCTTGACACACCGCCGTTACCCCAACTACTGTGGCTGGGAGCATGTCGAGAAATCAGCTACAACAGCCTCATACCCAATTTACTCCCGTTCGCTGAAGTCTAAGCCACCAGTTTAATGGACCAAGCCAGATGATCACTGGCGGTTCGACTCCTAGAGACGTAAAGCCCCAAATCTCATTGTAGGTACACCGGCGGAAGGCAGACATTATTCGTGGGGCTGTAGCATGTGATCTATAGGCCCCTACGTAGAAAGGTTACTCAACAATAAGCAAGGTTCAGCAGGCTACCTGGCAGAGTGGTCTAATGCGATAGACTAGAAATCTATTCTCTTCGGAGGCGTCTGTTCGAATCAGGCGGTAGTCGATTTATCTTTTGCTTGTGCTGCATTTAAATCTGGTGGGTTCGCCCGCGCAGGTTCGAAGCTTTTGCATATTTATTCAACTTTTGCATAAAAATTATGGGAGTCTTTCTTTTTGGTCCGACCACATAATACAATGTGAATTCTGGCTCGGTACCAATATGCATGCAGTAAGTATCGGCCGGTTATAATTCAGGTTGCTCGCCTGCCATCAAGACCACCTTCGTTAAGAACACGACCGTCCTCCCCTTATTAATGAGCCTCGCCCTGCCCGTGGCTCCCATTTGAGCCGCTCGCATGCCATACGAACCGCCCCAAGCACCGTTCCGGCTGTCATGTCGAGCGAAATGTGCCCCCGTTGCCAAACCATCCTCCGCCAAGGATAAGGTATCGCTGGGTTTGATGTCGACGATAGCCCTGCCAGCCAATAGCTTGAGGGCGCTTGTGCCGGTGCTGTCAAGGTGCACACTGCGAGTGGCGGGGCCTCTGGTACGCGAACTGCTGCGTTGACCTGTGGGAATACGATACGGTAGGTTGCGAGTAACATGGGGATAATACCCGCCATTCCCTTGGACCCAGGCCGCTAGGATGCCGCTGTTGATATGAGCAGCCCAGCCGGCCGAGGGGCGCACTCGAGGGCGAGATCGTTCCGGTGTAGGTAGGCGTAGTTTTCGGTCCTGGAGGCATCCAGGCGGTGATGGAGCTCTGGCTGCCATCCTTTGGTAGATTCGTGGCTGAACCAAATCGGTCGCGTTCGTGCGAACTCTCTGAACCATCGGAAACCCCAGTTCCTCACCTGATTCTTAATATGGGAAACATTGACTGAAGGTAGTACTGGACAAGTGCTCGTCCCGACGTCGATTCACATATGAGAAGCAGCCTGACGGCCATCTTCCGAAGAGACAACTTCGAGGGCGTCGCAAGTTGGCCGAACGAGCAGCAACTTCTTGAATTGCCACTTGGTCGAACGGTTTCTGCTACATCGCAAAAGGTGCACAAGCCTCATCAGGCCGGCAGCCTTAATCTCATCCCCCGAGAAGAGGAAAGGCACAGGCATTTTCGCTCATTGCCCTCCCACATCAGCAAGGTCTGAATAACGTCGTCTGCGTATATCGAGGAGACGGCCATCTTCGGTTCGTACTTCATCGCATAGCTGTTGGCGGCCTTTTCCCTGGCAAGTACCTCGGCCGACATGAGCATGTGCCTTCGAACACTACCTGGTTGTAGTCCCCAGGGGTAGGAATGACGGCGCCCCGTAGATGGACATTATCTGCGACGTCGTTCATCGTAGCGTCGCCTTCGACTGCGCTACCGGCCCATAGAGGGCTCCTGATTTTCTCCCACTTCCTCCTAAGATACGGCTCCTCTGCTGGCACCCCTGGCTGACTCTCTGAGAGATCATCTTCAACAGTGTTTCCAGGACAGCTCGTCTTCGACCTAGAATGAGAAGACGACCTTCCGTTCTCGTGGATGTGCTCTAGGCCTGCCGAAGCGAGGGTATCATGTAAAGGATCGCTTCTGGGTTTCGAGTCTGCTTTCGACTCCATACTCGTCGTCTCTTCCAGACAGCATAGCCTTCAAGCTTGATGCCGCCGCATTCATCATCAGCGCTCTCCTATTTCACGACGAATCTATCATTGTCAGGGAAGTATGATTACCTCGGGGTCCATCCTGTTATATTCCATGGTCGTCTTTCTCTGCGCTCTCCGCGCTCTCCGCCACTTCACTATGTCGATATCGATCAAGATGACACTAGCACTGGCCTCAGCAATAGCGACAGGTCTTGTTGTGAGTTTTCCCAACCGCCCGTCGCCTGCGACTCACGACTCTGCAAAGGACCTGTATCAATCAGCACGAGTACAAATGAGGCGACGTGCGTAAAATTGGCCTGCACGCACGAAACCTCCACATGAAGCCCACCAGGGCAGCGTAGAAGCCGCCTGCAGTACCGCCCTCACGGCCGTTGTGCCCACATGATGCTCCCGAAGGAACGGGGACATCGTCACAAGATATGGTGCTGCTATCCGATGATGCTCTTTGCTGTTCAAGTCGACTAAGTTGTGCCGATATAGGATCATCTCATCCCGCTAAGGCCAGACTGTTGCCTGAACCCCGTCCCATGACCTCATCCGTGGGGCTCTTGTCACGAAGTAGGTCAACACCTTGATGAGCTTCCACGAACAGTAAAGGGTTGGATCTTCGCCAATGCGGAGCTGCCTGGACCATACTCACAGTCTGAGGCCAGGCCATCGCCAAGAAGGTCATCATCTTTGGACACGATCAACAACACAGAGTGATAGAACATGTCATCAAGGGTAGCCACGCTGTAGATGATCTATGGCACGCCCCTTGCTCACTGGCATGCTGGATGCGGCTAGGAGTGTGGAGGAAGGAGATGGTTCATGTTTAAAGAAGCGATCACTTAGCGTATCTCGAGCGTCGTCTTACAGCGCACCTCGTGCTTCGTTCCCATGATTAGACGTTATAGACACCTCACCTTCTGAAACGTTCGGTTCGTGCCCCCAACACAGGTGGACGTTGTTCAGACTCCTCCGGCTCGAAGTGGAAGGGGTAGTTTAGGACATACATACTTGGCATGTTCTGCCAATGGCCCAACGTGCACCGTACTAGTGACCATACCGGCTTTCCGCGTCGAACAAGGTAGATGTGATCCGTCACTCGTCATGAACCGGACAAGATCGGGAGGCACGCAATCGGGGGCTGGCAGGTCGAGCCTTATTCTCCGGGTGGTCCTTGCAGGTGACGCGTATGCAAGGCCAAGGTCCATGATGGTTGCCTCGCCCTGCCAACGCTCATCCTCTCGGCCGGGGGTCGGTGAGAAACGCTTCGGCGGTCACCTGGGGAGCCTCGCTCGGGGTATGAATTCTGCCGAACAATCCGAGGGACGTCATCGTCCTTCTCTCCCAGCGTTATAGGTACTGAAACGGTTGTCGGGATGTTATGCGTTATGCAGTATCCTCTGGCCATTCCAAGCAAACACAACGTTGGTTTGGCGCACTACTTCGGATGCGGCTTTGCCGGTTTGCTTGTTGGGCGCAGCAGTCGGAAAAGCAAAGAAGCCTTGACAAGGCTTGCTTCTGTGCAGGTAGGTTGCAGGCGTACTGTAGTCCAATAACCAGTGTCGTTGACGCCAGGGGACTGCAGGACGTCAAGCAGATGAGATATGACAGATTTCCATCCCGTGCATCTACCACTGCAGACTGTTCTTTGGTCGCCCCGCCGTTGGGACTTGGGATGTGCGGGACCGAACTCAAACGGGAGGTTACCCGCTGCTCAGACCCGGCATCATGGAGGCGGTCAAGGGCAGCTTTACCCGAGACGCATACGATCCAGGGCTGCTTGTGATAATAAGTCGTATTGCAACCTTGGACGTGCAGAATCTCTTGGCGGCACTGCAGGTTTCCGTGGTCAGATCTCCAGGGTTTCCTAGCCGGTTTGACGAAGTTTGTCAGATTCTGATATCCGGCCGCGGGGGTACAAACGAGACTGATCACTATCGTATATGCAGCAATCTCGCAGAGGCAGCGGTGATCTTGATTGCATAGGTATGCCAGATGGGTCGGGCGGCATGAGACTCTGCATCCCATCGAGCCAATGGCACAAGTCCATGAGCTGCAGGGCGACCAGTCCGGACACATCAGTGTCGACCTGCTGTCCCGTGATGTCCCGTGATGAGGTTGGTATGCAAAGATGCCACTTGACAGAAATCCTGAGAGGCATGTCACCGAGAAAGCTAGCATCCCCAGTTCGGCCAACTGAGGGGAAAGGGGAACGTTAAAGGATGACGATGGCGTGATGTGACTGCCTGGCAGTCGGGCCCCGGAACGACCCAAGGGAAGCGGCCAGATCTGCCCGGTTCCTTGCAGCGAGATAGTATCGATCTGGGTGTAGGGCTTGTACAGGCTTGCGTGTGTGAACAAACGGCAGACATGCAGCCTCAACTCCATGTCTCACTCCTGGATGTAGGGAATCTGGCTGCAGGATAATCTACCTAGAGTGTTACATGTAACGTTATTAGTGACGATCGGTTCAGCTTCCCCCCGGCCCCCGGCCCCCACGGATAAACCCACATAATCAGATCTTCAACATTGTTGCCGTGTTTACGCCTCCCGGATCTCGTCATCGCCCTCCTTGCAAGGAAGGGTAGGGACGCATGCCTGGAAGATTCTCCTTCCAGGCTATCTGGTCACATGCATCTCTGCATATGTGTAAATATCAGTAGGGTATACCTGCCTGTGATACAAAGGGGTACCTAGCATACACGGACTTCCTGTGTAGGTCCGTGCTTTGGAATTCGTAGATCTGGTACCTGGATGGATGCATCTCACTGCAGTACTACTTATTACATACGTGCCTCGTCAAGGAATGAGATGTCGTATTTCTCCCCACGTGAATGAATACCTCGTCCCTCATTATCTATCCACCTCGGATTCCTCGCCCTTTGTCCGCGGGCGCACCAGGAGACTTCCAGGCTGACATCACACCATACAGGCCTAGCTACAGTGAGTAAGGCCTGCCCCTTCCTGCCCTGCTGCCCTGCTGCTCCGCCCCCTCAGCCCCTCGGTGATACTGCCCCTCTGCATAAAGGCATAAAGACGCTAAACATCCCACCACAGAACAGCTCCGGTCCTTAACATTTCGACTCCTCCCAAGACTTCTACAACTACCTCTTCTCTCACCACCACTCTCACCAATATCCTTGTTCCTTGCTTACCAAACAACAATCCGTTCATCATGGCCGTCACAAAGACTACCACCGAAGAGGGCAACGGGCCCCAGGCCCAGCCCCACCAGACCGTCACCATCGAGTACACCGGCTGGCTCAAGGACACCAGCAAGCCTAACAACAAGGGCACCCAGTAAGTACCCGAGCTACCCCTCCATCCTCCATCCCACCGTCACGGCCAGGCATTCCGGCTGTGTGGTGTGGTGACGTCAAACGCTCTTGATCATGGTCAGCTAACCATCCATCCAACCTCGCAGGTTCGACTCTTCGGTTGGTCGCGGCGACTTCGTTACCCAGATTGGTGTCGGCCAGGTCATCAAGGGTATTGCGGCCCTCTGTTGCAGGTCGTTTTTGCGCAATGGCTGACCACTTACAGGCTGGGATGAGGGTGTCACTCAGATGAAGGTTGGTGAGAAGGCTACTCTGGACATCACCAGGTATGGCATGACTTCCAAGATCGCGCCTTGACAATGGACTGACATGAATTACCAGTGACTACGGCTACGGCCCTCGGTAAGCTCACCTGTTCAGTACCTCGATCAGACAATTTGAAACGACTCTCCCTTCAACGAGTGTGACCTGATCCCGACCTCGGTTCAATGTCTTCACTATCCACCGATGTCAAATAACATATGCGAATGGTTCACTGACTCTGATAGCGGCTTCACTGGTCACATTCCCCCCAACGCTGACCTGATCTTGTAAGTACCTTCCAACCTACACACGACGAAATCATTACTAATTCTTCGTCTTAAAGCGACGTTCACCTCAAGAAGGCCCAGTAGGATAAGGGATCCAATCCTGGCGGGGATGAAGCATGACGGTCATTCTTCGCTACGTCGAATTTCCTGCACACAGGATTAGTTAGGCCGGCCGGCGTGTAGGGAGGCACGGATCAGAAAATCGTTCATCCACCTACTGCATATCCTCGCTTGTACTCTGCTTCCGTGACACCGTGCTACCGATCCGGCGTTTCTAGATGCAACATATTCCACAAGCCTGGCTCCATTATCCCGACAGAGGTTCTGTGCTTCAAATACCGCCGAGAAGAATGTTGCTTTTTGACTTGCTTGTGCCTCCCAGGTCGCGCACTGGTCCACCAATTGAGGCTACCTGCCGAATCTCTGTTCCACAGCAGCTTTTGGCGAGGCCGTCGGCGCAGCGTGTGTTTGTCCTATGCGAGGTTGTCCCGACTTGCTCAGGTGCCGCATTTTGGCCATTTGTATCTTCGAAGCACTTCGTGAGCCACGAAATACAGCCCATGGAACATGTCAGCGGTTCTTCCTGCTGGGCATCATTACCCTCGTTTTCAAAATGACTGACAAATCGCCAGAATACCGGAGTTCTGTTCGTGCTACAGAATAGACTCGAACTTGCGCGGGAAACAGATGATACAGAGCGAGCCCCCCCCCTCTCTCGCCTATGGCATACAAGCGAGCACTCTGTTGCATGATACTCCCGTCGCACGATCTTTGTATACACATCGTACTCAGATCCTGCCAACTATCAATTGGTCGGCTCGGCACTTGGGAATGTACAGACAACAGTAAGGAAGGGAGGGAGCCTGCCTTTTTATTAGAGGAAAGACAGTGACCTCCTGCACGGACATAGATTGGCGGCTCGGTGTCTATCCCGCCGGATCTCCACGCGCTGGGAACTTTCGAGTCTTATTAGGCTCAGTGAGGTACATTACAATCAGCCTCTAAAGTCTCCGTCCGGGAGGCCTCATTCAAGTCTTGGTTATTAACGCTATTTATATCAATGGAATAAACACACTAGAATAAGCAGCTTTGATCCAAAAAACCAGCTCGAGTGCTTATTCCAGAGTGCTTATACCATTTATAGTGGATATACCCGTCGCATGCTGTAATAGAAGTGTACGGAGACTTTTGGCAGTTCAGTGTACCTTTCCGCGAGCGGGAATACTTGTGTCGTAATAGACACCGTCATGATATACTAAACGATCAATGTCAAGGACACGCGAAACACCAGGTACTCCGAATCGTAACCGCCCAACTCTAACCTCCACGATGAACAGAGGCGGACACAATCCGTGCATGGCTGAGCCATCGTAGTATTAGCCTCAGCGCAGCGAATCGATTCGACTTGCAATTCGTCATAGTGCCTGTACGCCCAACCCAGTCCTTTACGTCTCGGCCGTACCTATAATCCACGGGATACCCGTTACACTCACCCCTCATAAGTCTCCGTACCCGAATTGATGTTGATAAGGTTCCGCATCATCCGTAAAGAATTAAAATACTAGAACAATCATACAGGAATAAGCAGCTCTAGTTTAATACGTCACTTGCACTGCTTACTCCAGTGTGCTTATTCCGATTTGATAAATATACCCTGGATTGGTAGAGGGTGGTGTACGGAGACTTATGAGGGTTTAGTGTACATCCACCTTCTCTCTAGGCACGACTTTTGCTGACGTCGTTTCAGTACTGTCTTCTTCAGGTTGAAGTCTGGAAGCGTGTGTATCGTCGTGGCAAGCCACGGCAGCGTCAGCTCCCTCTCGCACGTAGTGAGTGAGTCTGGTCGGGTAGGTATAGGCTTCCGGACCACGGGCAGCCAGTCAGACGAGGCTCGTAGAGACGAAGAACGTAAGCTACCCCTAGCTACGACCTCTTCGCTTCGAAATAAGGTACCTTGCATGCTGCCGTCGCGATACCGCCCGCTTGCCCACGATGCCGCCTTTCGCGTCCACGTACTAGATCGTGACGGCTAAACACAAGCCGGTCGCATGTGGAAAGCAAAAGGACATGTCAAGTAAGGGCCGGCGGCCGAAACAATGACGCGATAGCAGCGGCGGTTTTCGCGCCATCTTCCGGCCGCACTCGTCATCGAGAAGGCGCAGTCGGTCGGTGCCTACTGGCTAGAGATGTAGTTCAGAGCTCCGGACCCCGTCCGGTGCTGGGTGTTCAGCAGTTGAGAAGAAGGTTGGGCAATCGCAGAGCATTCGCGACCGTGTGGAATCCTACTATGAGTAGCTTATGTTAGATTGCATGTGCTCCAACATCGACTTGACCAACCTGACATTATGTTCGAGCCTGTGGCCTCCTGTCGACTCTCCGCCTCCAAGTCCGTTGTCCGGGATTCAAGTTGGCAAGTGCGTTGATCAAGTTGGCAGGTGCGATGACCACCGGGCCCGAGGTACGACCGCTCGGACGACCACCGATCGTGATCAAAGTAGCCGGCGGTCGTGCAGAGTACTCGCTCCGTAACCATGTCGCGCATAGAGAGGGAAGTGGAGGCAGTATCGTCCCCAGCCCTCGAGACGCACATATCTCTGAATTAGCTTCTCACGGCGGCTGCGGATAACCATGTTTCCCTGGCAATTATAATATGGTCGAGGTAGCAGTGGCATTGGGGATTTTCTCACAGCTGCCTCTCTATGTCCTCCGTAGATGGGCGGTAGAGTCCAGCTTGCAGGTGCAGACCCACGGTCCGGCCACGTGAGATGAAGCAGTCTGGTCATCTACAGGTATTGGCAAGCCATATGTACGCTTCTTCTGATTAATAAAGTTTAATGAATTAGACCACAGACGGCCTATGGGATATTTGTGCCAGTCTTCTGCCTGTTGGCTACAAGCTGTGTTGCTAAACTTTGCGTGCTGGTGGTAGAGGTGTGGGCATACCTCGCAGAGTTGCGACTCAGGATGGGGCTTCAGTGCTAACGATTGATCGGTACTTAGTGCGACCGCCCAGCAGGTATATGATGTCATACCGAGCAAATTCTCAACAACCAGCAATCTGGCTCAGTGGTCTAGTCGTATGATTGTCGCTTCGGGTTTCTCCCTTTCGCTACACAAGCGAATTTGTGACAGGTATTTTCTGCCACTCTCAATCCCCGAGTGCGCTGTAACTAACTTAATCCAGGTCCCGGGTTCAAATCCCGGCTGAGCCCGCTTCTACTCTTTTTGCATTTTGCTGCTCCGAATTTCTAACGCCTTAGCAACCAGACTGTTTCCCTCTCTCACTACGCCTGCCCTGGCTGGCATTGCCAATGTTTACCTCTGTGGATTGATTTAACCCCCTTTTTTTTTTCCCCGCAGGTACCTACCTACATGGAGGTCTGGACGTGGGTGGCCTGATGCCTAAGGTTCGCATGAGGGAAGCGTGTTCGCATAATGGAGATACGGTGCCTCCATTCGTCTAGGATGCATCTACGCGCTTGCCTCTCTTTTACAGGATACAGTCACGAATCCTTTACTAGCAGTGAATTAAGGGGATCGAGTGCACGCACAAAACCCGAGAGGCCGGGAGGCCAGGCATGTCGCCCGGACCGCTCTCCGGCTATCGTGACCCCGGCGGCCCCACCATCTGCAGGCAGTTCCTACTCTGCGCAAATTCGACCCCGCTCTCAACCTGGTCCTATCCTTTGCCAACATGATTTTACCCTCGGCCAGACTCACTGCAGAACTGTCCTGCCCATATGAAATTGTCACGGGACGTCACGCTGTGCAATGACTGACCGTGCGGGTTCGGTCCCCGGCTTTATAGCACATGCGCCCCCGGGCGGGACGAAGCGGGCCAGGGATGATTTTATCGATACACTACATTAGGGCGGGGTATGGGTTGAGCAGCCACCTATTAGACGGCTGTACATCCATGGTCACATATACCACCCAATTACTACACTGTTCTGCTATAACCAGGTATACATCTCTAGTTGACGGCCAGGTCCCCGCTCACTTACCGTAGGTTACGAAAATATGGAAGTTACTGTCAGACTCCTAGTTGTACGGCAACTACTAATTAACAGCTAGTTGTACGGTAATTACTAGTTAATAGCTAGTTATACGGCAATTACTAGTTGTATAGCAGTTGTAACTGTCATGGTCTGGTACAGGTAGCCCATGTGGTGAGTCCTGGAGCCCGGACATGAGTACATGTACCACCATTGAATGTCAAGCTGCCACGCTTGATATTCGACATCCTTTTGGGAGGAACAGCCGTGGCATGGTGGTTATGGTGAGCGTTCCGTCACAGTAACTAAGGATTCCCACCTGCCTCGTATTAGATCCTGCCTGCCTCGTTGCCATATAATACGAAACATTACAACGCTTGCTTTTATCTTCTCGTAGTATTAAATGGCCTAGTAGTCAAGTAATCTATATACCGTAAATCTCGTATCTGTAAGCCCGTAGTTCGATCCGCCGTAATGTTATATAAATAATTCTTACTACTTATATATACTATTATTGTCGGATTCAGGGGGCTGCACTGCGGTGTGCTGCTGACTAGTCACCTGACTAGTCACATGACACGTGGTGGTTGCCATGACTAGCACCCTGACTCGTACGCTGACTCAGAAAAGGATGGTCGAACTCAGACAAGGATGGTCCGGAGCATCTACTCCAGCATGACCAGATGTGTTCAAATAGCTGTAGCTGCCACCCAATGTGGCAGACCTGAATATGACAACAACGATTGCAGCTACCGCTCAACACCCCCGGCTTGTCAACCTTCGGTAGTCTGACAATTATATAGTATTATGTAATTATATAATACGGCGACGTTCGGTATTTTATTGTTACTTTGTTTTATTTCAAGCAACTATTGTCACGATGCCTGCGGCGTTGTGGTGGAATCTGGTGTTGTATTCCCAAAATAACAAGGTGAGGAAGGAAAGGAATCCAGATGTGCGTACACCGGATGGCTGCAGCACATATGGTGGTGTCCTTCTTTATCTAATCTACACGTGACCTGATGACTAAGCATCTATCCATCCAGGTGGATACGGCTGTACACCGTCGCAACTATACTTTAAATACTAGTTATATATATAACTAGGTTATAATTTAAACCCGAATTTTATTATAACCATTTAAACATGCAATGTATTATGTAACCTGGCCTGATATTTTAATTGGTTATTAACCGACCGTTAACTATATATAAACTGTGACTTTTTTAACTAGTGCCCCGTCTTAATATAAACCTTTGTAAGTCCCCGTATACCACCCGCTAGCAAGTAACAATACTGTATATATTCCTTGAATTGGAATTAGCACCTGGATTAAGCTTTAAAAGTGGCGTATCAAACCGGAGCTGATTATTCCTATATGCTTGTGGTTCCCAGCCACTGGATCCAGCCACCAGTACCTTATCGGATCTCCTGTCATCCAGGGCGTTCTACGATAAGGTTACCTGGGATGGCTACCTCAGGTGACAGGTGCCAACCCACTGTAATTTAGGTATTTAGATACTTCTCGGATGGGATCCCTTCCCATCCGAACTTAACCAAGCACCTACCAGAATACAGATCATCCCAACCAAGACTTGTGATAGATCTCCGTTCTGGTTCCGCTATCACAAAGGCACATGCTTATTCTAGATTTCCAATTCCCTACGTGCGATCTAGAATCTTATTAACACAGCACGCACAGACTTACAAGGGCCGAGTAACATGGAACTACTGAACCAGTTGTTAGTAACAAACGGGTCGAGACTTTTCGTTGATACGGCATGTATCAATAGTCTCGGTGCTGCGTCTTTTCTTTTCGTTTTCAGATAGGCTGCTGTCTAGAGCCCCCTTGCGAGAACCCACCATCCGATATTCCACGGCCGCTCAGGCCGGTGGGCTTGCTGCGTACATTTTTATCCTCCTCCCTGCGTATTTGCGTTCCAAAATCACGTTGAAACATTGTACCAACGGCGCAACCCAACCGTGACTGCTACTATATGTTCAAACGACCAGTTGGACCACTGCATCATCTTCAGAGAACTGGCGATCGATAACAGAGACAGCTGCATTCCCAGACCAGCCAGGAAAGCAGCCGTTGCCAGGACGGCCAGGATATGCCAGATCGTGAACGAGCTACCAAACAAACTGAATAGCCTCTTTCCCCGCCCGATCCTCTGTCTGATCGACTCGTTGCGTATAGTCCCCACCTTCTGGCCAGGTCTGCCTTCTTTTCTCTGAGGAAATTCGTACAATTGGTAGACGAGAAGGATCAGGAACACGACCGTTGTGAACGACCAGATGAGTGGCGTCAAGACGTGGATTCGATGTCCTGCCGCCTCAATCTCCCGAGTACCCAGTGGAAAGGTGAAGCTGTCCGGACACACCGCCAGTGCTGAATAGCCTCCACAGGCAGGTATGTCCGACAGCTTGAACATGGACTGCTCGTACACATTGGGTGCGCCGAGGTCATCCGAGGCCCGATGCTGTGCATACAGACTCCAGAACACAACTGATGAAAGGGCATAGACGATCGATGTCACGGCCGTGACGCCCAGCGATACCGGCTCGTAGAAAGCCAGGAGAAAATAGGCGAACACCATAGGCAGGACGCCGTTGAGGGAGATCGGTGTCAGCATGAACACCAGGAGCAGGTTGGCTTCGTAGATGCCATAGGTCAGGGAGACGACCATCAGCGTTGCCGCGAACCAGCATTGGGCTTTGTGGAACTCTTCCAGCAGCACTACCCGAAGGCTCCTGTTCTCGCGCCCGTTGAGTGTGCCCTTTGGCTCGGTATGGTCATCGAGGGGCCTCTTTTGCGCGGATCCAGCTTCGTCTTTATCGGCAGGTCCTTTGCGCTTCTTTCTCGTGGACTATACCTCGGTGAACAGGAAGGTGGATACTAAGCCGGCGATGAACACGCATTGGAGTATGTACGAAATCCATACCTGCAAAGGCGTCAGTAAGAGCCACGTAAGAACGGAGGGTCGACGAACCCCAACTCCAATGACGTCTGAGTCAGCATAGGGCAAAGCATCATATCTGCTGTTGCAGAGCCAGCCGAGGCAGTCGTCCACCGCCGTAAGATTCGGCACGGTGTTATTGACGAGGAGTCTGACCGGCGAGCAGTGCTGATCGTAGCACCGGTGGGAGCCCCTGGCGTGCCTGCAGGTCGAAGACAGGCAGTCCGTGACATCCGACGTAACACTCATCAGAGAGCCCTCGGAGGCCCCTAGGAGGTCGTACTGGCCCACGATGTCGGTGATGTTCGAGGGCAGGAGCTCAGCGGTGAGCAATCGCGAGATGGACGGGGCGTTTACACACGCGGCGAACCTCCTCACGGGCCCTAGCCGTCTCTGCTGTAGTCTCCTTCCTGTGCATGGGACGTGTATATCGATTTCTGACTCTGGCAGCAGCTGTCTAGCAGACCTCCCGTCGTAGTGCAGCGGTTATTTGAGCGGCACCCCTCGTCCAAGATGCCCGTTCGGCCTCCTGGCGGGAACGCGGCTCTGCAGGCGGGTGGGCTCAGGTCGTCTAGAGAATAGCACTGTATGCCGTCCTTCGATCCGATGTCTATGCATGCGACTTCTGGCGGAGTGCTGGCCATCGTGTTTTAGGGGGTCGCTATGCTTCATGAACCCGGGAATTGAGCAGTGGGCGCGAGGAATGAAGTATAGAACAGGACAGAAGATGAGCCACTCGAGCGTTGTGGGCTATGCCTGATAACATTTTCAATGCTGCCTCCGCCAAGATGGTTTCTGAGGTAAGTGTCGCTCAGCTGAAGAGCGTGGCGCTTACAACACAATCACGGCCCAGTACATCCATTGCTGTGCCACCCCTGAAGGATGTTCATCTTTGCTGACTTGTGCGATGCATGTTCAAAGCCGAAGTAGAAGAACGTAGAACACTCGCGGTTGACTCACCGATAGTTTTTTCCATTGGGAGTTTATGGCGCGGATAAGAGCCACACATCAACGTCATGGAGATTTCAGGCCATGTGTCCTCAGGACATCGTGATTGCATGCCTCCGGAGTGGCGATGGCCGGCCATGGCGGCCGTCCCGGCGGCCCACAGGATATTAGGACTCAGGAGGCTGAGCCGGGCGACTCGGACTATGACCTCGTTGCCAGCAACCTGGCCAAGTGAACGGGTAGCTCGAGCTCGCACTGCGAGTACCACCACCTGGAGACCACGATTCTTCATCCGTCTGCTTGCTTCACTTGGTGTTGGGAGGCGCCCATGATAGACTACAGGCATCGCTGCGTTCGACAACATTCAACAATCCGTCTCCTTATGTCGCCCTCTCCTATTGCCAGGGTAACCGTATTCTCTACCCGGAGATCTGCATTGACGGGCGTAAAACGTACCTGAAAATAAGCCTATGGAAGCTCCCCTACACATGCGACGTGAGGACGAGCCTACGGTCGTCTGGGCGGATACCGTTTGCATCGATCAGCAGAACGATGGCAAGAAGACCATCTAGATCCGTTTGATGGACGCGGTCTGCCGCAGGGCGACACTTGCGGGTAATCTGGCTAGGTGAAGCAGACAAGACAGGCACGTAGCGCTCGCCGCTCAGCCTCTGGGAGAAGCCAGAAGGTCTCGAAGAAGTCGCGGCCACTTGCGAGGCCGAGCAAACACTGTCGAAGAGAGTTCAGATCAAGCCCTTGGGCCTCCCTAACTTTGACGAAGATAAATCAAGCCTTGCTGTATTGAGTCTGGGCTCGTCGCGTGCGGGTTATCCAAGAAGCCTGCCTTTGCCCAACAGTCTCGGGTCTACTACGGGCAGTATGTGACGACCGTACGTTCGCCATAACAAGCAGCCAGCTGCTTGGAGGCGCGCAACATGCGTATCCTGTTGAGTCGGGACCTACCAGAGATCTCAGGCATGTTCTCTGCCCAAACACCGGGCTTCCGTACTCACCCTCCATAAGTCTCCGTCCGCGCGCCTCGAGCGTCCTCCTCCTGATAGGATACAGGCAGTAAAACAAGCACCATGGAATGACCAGTTTTATTTTATCATGCCAAGGTTTAGGGTTATTGAAAAGCGACTATCTCACCGATATTAAGCCATTCCTCAACATTGAAGACTTCGATTAGGGGTGTGCGAAGGCTTCTGAGGGTTCAGTATATCCACTGCTGGAGCTGCCTTCCGAGACGCTGGGGTTTGGGCAGTGAATCAACGAGACGACGTTCGCGCTGCTGAGCCTTGCGCGAGAACCGTCGGAGAGTGATGCTTGGCCGGCGGCGTTCTGGAGTGATTAGCCGGAAGAGGAAGAAGGTGGCGGGTAAGGAACTTGACGTCGAGCTCTCGAAGAGCAGAAAGTTGCTTGCCGTATTCCGAGAGGGATCATACGCGATGGCACGATGCCGCCACCTATGCTGCCGAGGTTCTTGCTTGAGCAGCTTTCGAGGACTGATACTACGGTCCCGGAAGCAGATAAGCTGCCAGCAGGAGCCGAGGCAAGCGACACCAGACAGGAAGGACCATGGCCTGCTGGGGGATGCCGGTCGGCCATCGTGGATTCCAGAATGGACAGCATGGACGTCAAGCGACCACAGTGTCCGATTCGGCACAACCTTCGGCGGACCGGCCGGCAACGCGGGCTGGAAAGCTAGCAGCGACATCCATATGTCGCTCCCCGGCACGTTTGATAATGATTTACTGATATTGGGGGGGCGTACACATCGACACCGTACCTACAAGTCACGATCTCGGCGCTGGACAGCCACTGCGCGCAGCTGAGCCAGAGTGTGAGAAGAGTTCCAAAGGGACATGGTTCCCAGTGCTGAATAACACCCTACTTGCCATACTGAAGAGATTCTGAGGTAGGCCTTCGCCATCGCCATGATGGCCGGCATGCGTCAGCTAGGCAGGGGGACCAGGTGGCCGTCCTATCCGGCGGTCGGGGCACCATTCATACTGCGGAAGGTCTGCGACGGGCCCTTCTCAACCAATATGGGGGAAGGGAAGTTCGGCCCTCTTGATACAGATGGCGAGGGAATCACCGGAGATGGCCTTGGTACTATGGGCATGAGACGGATAGCGCGACGCACCTCATGGAGGTCGAAGCCAGCGAAGTGAAGCTGCTCGGCAGCTGGCCACGAGGAATCTGGTCAGGGGGTGCTACAGTCACCCTTCACGAGTCTCTGTCATGCCTCTGTCAAGTCTCGGATACTGTATGAATGCAATTCATATAAATGGAATAAACACCCTGGGATAAGTAGCTTCGATCGACAAAGTCATCTTTGGTGCTTATTCCAGAGTGATTATCCCGTTTACAACAGATATGCCCTTCGCTTGGTGAACGAGTGGTGTACGGAGATCATGGAGATTCAGTGTATGCTAACGGTCTGTTGCATGGAGAGGGCGTTGCGAGGTGCAGAGCAGGAGGCGAAGAGGTGGCCTACGAGAAGGAGCCTTATGTTATCATCTAACATTCCATGAACGCACATCAAGTACCAGGACATCAAGAGTGTGAAGCGAGGACGTTGTTTCTTGCCTGTAATTGAACTCGACGTCTATTCTCCGCATCGGCGCGACCCGCCGACTGGGTGGAACGAAGGCGATGAAGTCGAACCGTATAGCCAGCCACCTCACAATCCCCCTCCATGGCTTGACGAAGAAACCGCCATACTCGTGAATACTCGAACTCTGAGCCGTCCCTGCGATAGTCTGTGGTAGGACGCTAGGACTTACTGCCGCTCTCACTGCCTCATCCTCCGCAAAAGGGGCACTGCCTCATCCTCCGCAAAAGGGGCACTGCCTCATCAATTATCAGCACGTCTGAGCATTCGAAACGGGAAGCCAGAACCCGAAGCCAGTATCATGATCATATCATCTTCCCACGTTTTGGGATATCTCCTCTCCTCGGCCCCAGAATCTCAGCCCTTGGCGAAACGAAGCATGGTTCAACAAGAACCCCGAAGATGAACATCAAGATAAAGAAGAACTCTCTGCTGATAACTTTTAACCATCCCAGATCTCATCGTCATATGACTACACAATAATCCCTGAATAAATGTTAAATGGCGTCCGAGCCGATACATAACAGGCATCCAAAACGTCGCAGCCAGGCCCTGATCTTCTTTTAATCCACACCGACTTCTTCACACTCACTCCCTCCCATATATATACCTCTATTACCTCTCTTACGATAGATAAACAGAAACGGTGTAAACAATCTGTTGGCGTAACCTTGTAAATTAGGCTATCGAGACCCCTGAAGTGTGTTGCTAACGGTGTGCTTGCAAGTATCTTGATGGCCAGCAGGGTACATTTATTCAGGGGCACGACTGTAGGCCGTCGCGTTTGATCGCCGGCCGTATACTTTGTTTTCTGCTGATCACCCGCAGCGCAGCGCAACGCATTGACTACTTACCAAGAACGTAAAAAACATGGTTGACAATTAATCCGAGCCGCAACCTCCTTCTGCCAACCGGGCCAGACACGTGCAGCGTCCATTCACCTGTTCCAAACTTTCCGATCGGCTCGCTCGCTACAGACATACCTAATCGGCCAAAGAAGCGAAAAAGGGCTTCTAGAAGAACAGGTCTGCATCTGTCGGGATTTGGTTGTTCGCTGCCGGTGCCCGGCGGTTCTTCAATTTGTGTGAAACCGGCCGTTTCACGATCCCAGAGAGACAGTTCATCAGCCCCCACCAGCGAACCAGCGACGAAGCTCAAGACAACTCGTCTCGTGTGTGTGCAATTGAAGGTTTCGTTTGTCCGGCCGTATCGACGCCACGGAAATCCAGGGTGAGGTATGTATGTATGTAGATGAGACGAGGGGATCTCGGTACGATGCGTGCCAGGGAAGAAAACACACATGCTGTGATGACTTATCTTGACCGAGCACGACTTCAGCCGAAAAGACCGTCCGATTTGTGGCAGCCACCCGTCTTCGCGGAACTATCCGCCTACCTCGTGAGACGAGACTTGCGGAAGCCGGCCGGCTGTGACAGCAACTCATGATCAGATCATATGGCATGGCAGGCAACTCTTGTATCATCAAGATGTTCAAACATAGGATCTCATCTTTTTTTCGTCTCATACTTGCCCGTGGCAGAATCGCAGGTCACAATTGTGGAGGTTCTCTACCACCGGCCGGATATCTCCCGCCTGCCAATTCATCAATCTGAGGCATGGCACTTCCCACTTACAACCTCACAAGCGCACAAGGGTGGATGTCGTTTATCCAATGCCGTTTGGATTCTTGGTCGGAGAAACAGGCCACCCACTCCCAGCTGCCGGCAGCGAAAATGCCAGACTTGCACGACAGCTGGATCGCGTGAGGGGGGTGTGGTCGGGACCTGCAGGTTTGCCGTCTCTTCAGGCCATCGGACTGATCTCGCTTCAGTAAGGTACACTGAACCCTCACAAGTCTCCGTACACCACCTGTCCGGCAAATAACGGCATTTTATCGAATCGGCATAAGCACAATGGAATAAGCTTTGAGAGTTGCATATCGAGCAACAACTGCTTATTCCTGTATGACTATTCCAGTATTTCAACTTCCTTACGGGTGATCTGGATTCTTATCAACATGCACGTACGGAGACTTATGAGGGCTCAGTGTACCGATGCTGAGTCGCCGACTCCTTACTCCTTCGTGTCTGCTAGTCTACCTTTTTCACTCTGTAGGAGTCAAGTTCGCGTGAGCTTCTCGCGATTTCGGCTGACGGAAGGATGTAGCGCAGGCAGAGAGCCTGGCGTGGTCCGCAATAGCGTGTAGCCAGCCTGCTTTGTTGGCAACAGTGCAGGAATAGGGAACTGTCTACAGGATCGCTGCATGTAGTAATAATGGTAGTCAATCCTCCCCAACAAGACCCAAGTTGGTCGCTGGAAGTAAGCACGTCGTCTTCAATAGGCAATTTCTAATAATAACGGCCCCATGTATGTATGTAGTCAGACGAGTCAGACGCATCTCCATCACCAACACCAACATGTTGGCAACCGGCAACGTTGGCCTAGAGGTGTGTGTTGGCTAAAATGACCTGTAATGACCTGCCTGCAGTGACGAGGCGAGGCTTCCGACACAGCTGACGGCGGGGGACGTTGGTCGAATAAACCAGCCAATGTCAGCGAGGCAATACGAGAGGGAGATTTGAAGCCGTGAAGAGGAATCTGCAGTCAGATCTGAGACCACGGGTCGGCTTGGAAGCTTGGGTGCGGTGCGGTAGTGAGCTTTTACATCAGGGCGAGCTCAGGGCAACGTTAAATATTCGCAATGACGCCCGCTACGCGACTCGAAAGCTAATAAGAACGTACCTGCAGTTACCTCGGGCTTGTTCAAATGTTTAATTACACATTGCATTAGCCTCAGGTCCCGAAGCCCGACGGTTTGTTGTTAGGGCAAAGGCAATTTGAGTTTGGCTTCTCTAGCCAGGAACGAGCGTGTCAGGGGGAAGCTTCAGGAGAAGCTTCATCCCCGAAGTCGTTATCCGGCCGAGGGTATCCGGCAGTCTGGGAATGGCGCGAACGGCGCGAATGGCGCGAATGGTTTGTCACGTAGTAGAAACACGCCCCCAATCTCGGGCCAGCGGCAGTCCTTCTCGATGATGAATGATATGTCGAGTCTTGGGACTTGTTGCAAATCATCACGAACCGATTACTGGAGAATGCTCCGAACTTCCAAGTGTGAACTGCTAGTCGAATCTGAAATTCGAGAGAGGTCTGGGCACCAAGATCGTCATTGCGGGAAGAAGGAGAAGAGACGCTACTGTAGGAAGAGTGACAGTTACACGGATGACCCTTGAAGTTACCACATGTCGCAAGGGATCCAACTGTGACTTGTGTCCTGTGACTTGTGACTTGCGACCTGTGACCTGTGACGTGTAAGCCATGTCCTGTGTAGGATCGTGATGGGGATGCATTGGCGTCGTGTCGTGTCATGTCATGTCGCGGCCGACCGTCTTCGTGACACTGCTACCTATTCCCCCCCGCGACGGCTCGTATCGTGCTTCTGGGAGAGTTTCATGAAATCATCAGAGCCGAACAGATGGGATCATACTCATTACATAGTTCCAGTCCACTCTGCAGACTAAACCAGGCCAGCGACGCCTCCCTCGGTTGACAAGACGACGAGACGACGAGCCCGACAGTTGATCTGAGGTCGCACCGCCAGGATCAATACAGTAATAATGGTGGCGGTGTGTGTACCTTCGGTAAGGAACCAAGTTGCGCAAGTGTGTGCAGATTCAATGTGCATTCTTGACGAGACACAAGCCGAGGGGGGAGTAGAATGCCACATGCAGCCTTCCCGAAACATCTCTCAACGTTGCAGCTCCGACACTCTGCACCAACTACCAACTGTGACTGATGAGGTGCTGACCGTAGTCACCGTACAGCCTACAGGAGATGGTTGTATCCAGCGCTCGAGGAATCGAGTCACTTCCTGACCAGGCCATCCCAGATCCAACGGCAGATGCAGCTAGAACTTTTTGATGCGACGCCGCCTACCAACAGGAGGATCGTCAATAGTCTGGACTTGCAGAATTTGTTGCTCACCAAAGGAATGCCCTTCGTTTGCACGGTTGCTGACATTTGCCGTGGGATTCGAAGGAGGAGACTCCGACTTTTACGACCCATGAATGACTTGACAAATTTATGTTTCAGTCTGGATAATGAATGAACTGAGGGCTGTCTCGAGACTCGAGCTCAGTTATGCCAAGAGGTGAACCCTTCCATATCAAACTGGGAGTTGTAGTGATGGCATTCCGGTGTTTGTTTGACGGCGAAACAGAACATTGCTGATGAGGGATATGCCGCGATGATGGCATGCCGTGCCGTGCCATGTGTTCGAAGCGACCACAACGTTGTCACCCCCTTGCTTGCACATCAATGCCGACCAACACCTGACAAGCCTGACATCTGCGTGGAGCCAAAGACGGCAGCTCGCAGCGTCGAGAGGCACGATGCCTTCGACAAGCTCTACTGTGTACCTAGGTACTGGTAGGGAGGCTGTGCATACGCTGGGAGATTGCCTGTTGGGAATTAGACATGGGGCACCTGCACTGCGGTAGGCCCAATCAGAACGGATCGCTCTGCCCCTGACAGCCGAACCAACCAAGAGAGATCACAGCGACCAGGGTGGGCAGATGGCGCAGCTAGATCTAAATTACCCGCCATAACTCGAAGGACATGGTCTGTCAGCTCCCGAGACCTGACATACTGCTGCATAATGCCCAGGTGGAGCCTCCAGCGCTGACATCTTAAGTATCTTATCTTGAAGTATCTCGTCTTAGAGCGCGTCCAACTTGTCCAAGCCATGCCGGGGCCTCCCCTGAGGCATTCATTGTCGCTAAATGCACCATCCTCGATCCATGTCGTTTGCTCTCCCCGCCGCCTCTCCCTTTCATCAATCACCGGGTGCTAGCGTCAATTGCACGTTGGCGCCTTACCCGCTTTGGGCAGTCGGAGCGGCGTGGTGAAGCAACGAAAACGCCTGCATCAGGTCTGCATCGCGAGGTATCATCGCGGCGCGTGGTACAGCATGCATCCAGGTGTACACCTGCAGACGGGAGAGGGGAAGGCAGAGGCATTCAGTCAGTCAGTCAGTCAGTCAGACATTCCATTGACTTGAGTCTCCCATGAACTGCCAACTCGTTATCAACCAGGACAACCACCAACAAGCGCTGCTCCGGTTTCTTTGTTCATCGCGCATTCCGCCATCCAAATGCCAAATGGAAGAGGGACATAAATAGGCCAAGGAGTTGGAACTTGGCAGGTCGTCCACGAGGCTCCAGGCGGCAGCTGGCAGCAGGCTCGCGCAGTTCAGTAGATACAATGTGGGTGTGTGGCGGGCGCGCGCTCTGCACTATAATAAGAGCACAGGTACTCTACTTAGAGTCTACATACTCGTCTTACATTTCTCCGTACAAGTGTGTACCAGCCGGCGGTACACTGCCGTACCGCACCTAACAGTGGCACCCCTAGACGGCCCCCGGTCGATAGCGGCCCATATTGCTGGGGACCCCGGTCCGTCTCCTCTCTTTCACCTCTCGCCCGTTTCCTCCCCCGTCTGCCGTCTTGTTTCTGGCCCAGGCGCTGGCCCAGACGCTGTCTGTCACCTTCATTCCTTTCCTGGCCGTGCAGGTGCGTGCGTGCTGGGTGAGTGTGTTGTGTTCGTGTTTCCCTTTTCTCTTCACCTTCTTCCGCCTTCCCACCTCCACCTCCACCCTCACCTATTGTCCCTCCTTTCCCCCCATCGCCGACCTCGTGAGGTAGCCCCTTTCGACGACAATCCATTCTTCGGCGGTGACTACCTCCGTTGACTGAAGACTTCGCTTCTCTTGCGTCGTGTTACCTTCGACGTTCGACCCGATGTCAGCGACAATTCCAGGGACCCAACCACCAACGCAAATGAATTCTTGAGATTTCTTCGACCGCGAACACGCCAGGCCGACCATCGATATTCACTCGAGGCTTGATAGCCAGTTGACGATTATATCGTCTAGTCACTCTTTTAAAAACACGCAAACCTCCTAGGTATATCATTTGGCTTGTTCACAAGGTGAGTCGCTCGGGCGCATGGACTGCGAGGGAACACAGGCGAGGGAATTGGAACCAACCTCCAATTAACGGCCATCTACTGTGCATTGTTCATGTGCACTCTATCCGGCAACCAACATCAATCAATGACTGACGTATCCTTCGCTGCAATAGCATCCACTCGTTGACAAGATTGTCAAGTACATTCGTTCCCAACCTTCCTGACACTCACTGTAGGTCGGCAATCTCTATACCACGCTGCCACCCACCATGACTGACAATCTTCAGACACATCTTCCTCACGTCATCCACGATTCTTGGACTGCCTCGATCTCTCCGCATAGAGACGAACGAAAACACCTCGAAGGATCAGGACGACTGAAGTAATATCACGGACCATGCATACCCGTTCGATTCTTGTAGCCGCTATCGTGGCCGCCTCCAGCCTGGCTCTGGCGGAACCTGAAAGACCCAAGATCTACTTCCCACGGCAGGTCAAGAGACAATACACCAATAGCACCGGCACGATAACGAGCGCCGCGCCGCAGACATTCGAGAGCACATCTGCAGATGCCACTTCGTCATCCTCGAGGAGGGCTGATATTTCCGATCTCCTTTCCAGTTTGACGGGCAGTTTGGGGCTTAGCGATTCGTCCTCGGACGCGGCCGACACCAACGCCCTCTCGAGCTCGCCGGCTTCTACTACAAATTCGACTGCGGTAGCTGAGCCTGAAACATCAAGTACTGACACGGCGGAGACTGAGATCACAGCAACCACGACCGATGGCGCTGTTGATACGAGCACATCAGTCCCTCCGCTCATTGCGTTGCCGACTCTCAGCTTGAGCGTTCCTCTAGGCAGCAGCACGGACTCGGCATCGCCGACTGCTTCCGCGGCATCGTCAACTGCTTCCACGGCTGCGACAGCGACATCGAACACGGATGTCATCACATCTAGCGCCGGAAGCGTCGCGACTACGGCTGACACCAACACGACTACCCCCGACAGCACTGCTACTACGGCTGACAGCATCACGACTTCTGCCGGCAGCCTCGCGACTACAGCTGACAGCGCCGCAGCCACCGTACCGTCATCGTCAAGCTCCGGTGGTGGCTTAATCGGCGGCCTAACCAGCGATCTCGGAGGAGTCAGCAGTGTCGTTGGAACTCTGACGTCCGCCCTACTCCCGGCACCAACCACGAGTGCCACAGATGTGGTCGATACCACGTCGACAGCCGACAACGCGACTGAAACCTCTGCTCAGACAGAAAGCGCTACGCTGTCCACCGCTACGCCGACCACCGCCACGCCGACCACAATTTTGACCTCGTCCTCAGGTATTCTTCTGGCCCCAACCGGTGTCGTAACTCAATCGTCCGTTGTTTCGTCCGTTGTTGTACCGTCATCGTCAAGCTCCGATGGTGGCTTAATCGGCGGCCTAACCAGTGTTGTTGGAGGAGTCACTAGTGCTGTTGGAGGAGTCTCCAGTGTTGTTGGAGGAGTCACCAGTGCCGTTGGAGGAGTCTCCAGTGTTGTTGGAACTGTGACCTCCGACCTACTCCCTGCACCAACCACGAATGCCACGGATGTGACGCAGTCCGCGACTGGAATCGTGTCTGCGACGGAGTCTGCTACCGGAATAGTGTCTGCTACGGATTCTGCGCCTGCCATTGGGTCTGCTACGGCATCTGTGACTGCGACTGCGACTGACAACGGTACTGGAATCTTGCCAACGCTTCTCCCCACCGCCAGCTCATTCCTAGGCACGGCTCCTACGACTGCCACCGGCGCAAGTACAGCTACGACGGCCGACCCGATTCTGTCGCTCTCGATCCCAATCACGTCGCTGCTCCCAACGACATCATCCGGCATCATTCCGACCGCTTCGTCGATCGACAATGGCACCGATTCCAGCATTACACCCTCGGAGATTATCAGTGTGCCCGCGTCACTGACTCCTTCCATTGCGTCTTCGATTCCGTCGTCAGTGATTCCTTCCGGAACCGAAGTGGCCACGAACTCGACGGGACCAACCGTAGTGCCGACGAGCTCTACAGGACCAACCGTAGTGCCGACGAGCTCTGCAGGACCGACCGAAGTGCCGACGAACTCGACGGCACCAACAGGAGCGCCGACGAGCTCTACAGGTCCCACGGAAGTGCCGGCGAACTCTACAGCACCATTGGAAACTGCAAGTTCGAGCGTGCCCGTCATCACGTCTTCAGTTACACCTACTTCAATACTGCCAACTGTGAGCGATACAATCACGGCCAACTTGACTGCGCCATCATCTACAACGATTGATACGACTTCTTTGTCTGGATCCATTACACCATTGCCCACGACAACGTCTGAAATCGCAACTGTTTCCCAAAACTCGACTGACACGACGAGTGCGTCTGTTGAGCCCACAAGCACGTCGTCAGTACCCAGTACATCGTCAGTACCCAGCACCACCGAAGTTCTCGTTACGCCGACGCCGACGACCACGTCTTCGCAAGAAATCTTCACTAGCCTGCCCGCTACGGCGACCATTACAAATTCCGAGTCGTGGTTGCCGACATCACTTATTGTAGAACCATCTCCTACGAGCACCTTCAGTACTGGTGGCGCCCCAACCTCCGGCTCTGTTTATCCTACGACTTTGCCCAAGAACATAACGCCATACACAGTGATACCAGCTGCGCCCGCGGGGAAACAGGCGATCCGGATCTCCTTCCTTTACGGCCTAAACTACCAGCATCTGCTTGATTACAGTAACGCCGCGTCCCAGATTTTCATGTATCTTCCTGGCGCGCTTTCGTTCGCCACTGGGATCGCGGTTGAGGATATGTTGATGACCGAGATCGTGCGATATGACACCATGTCGTCCTACGGTTATATCACGTCCCAAGCTATAATCTACTTCCCTGAGGGCAACATAACGACCTTGGCGGGTGACGTCAGAACACCCAACTCTCCTCTGTACCAGAACCCGGTGCCGATAGTGTACAACTTGACCAGCCAGATCAACGAAGCCATCTCCATCCTCCCGGACCCTAACCAGAACCCGGATGGCAGCTCGACCAGCGGTAGCAGCGGCGGCGGTGGCTCGGATGTACCCAACCACAACGCTTTCGGCTCAGGCTCGGGAGACCAAACAACGGGCGCGCAGAAGGGAGCGACGGCTGGTATCGCTGTTGGTGCTCTCAGTGTGGCGGGTGCTTATGGTGCTGCCATGTTCATCATTGCCCGCAGGTACAAGCGCAAGAAGCAGAGACACCAGCGAAGCAGCTCAGTCATGGCGTCGGGTGAGATGCGACAGACTGGCAGCCCGGCTATGATGGGTGGTGCGCTGCTCAGCCGCGACTTCACGAGCAGCCCCGGCTACGGAGGGGTTGAGCCAAACACACGAGACAGCCAGGGCAGTGGAAGGAGCAATGGCAACAACTCAGCGCGGACGGCCCAAATCTCGGCGCCGGTTGCGGCTGAGAACTCTCTTGGCTGGAACTGAGCGCACTTGAACGACTGCACGTCCGATCCCTTTCATTACATTTATACTTCGATACCCTTCCAGGCGGCCTCGCTCGTCTGTCGATCCGACATGGAAGACAGGGCGAGCGCACTGCTTGGAAACGCGATTACATGAGCGCTGCCTCATATTTTCTTGTTATTTACCTTCTTCACATCGCCAGGATCTCAGCCCACCTTTTGCTGGCTTCAGATCTGATGTGCAAGTGCTTCTTATCTAATGCCTTTTGCTTGTACCTAGGGGAGGGGGAGATTGGACGGAACAAGCCGAGCCGGATTGGTGTAACGGCCGAGGGAATAGGGATGTGGTGTTGGTTGAAGGTCCAGTCTCTAGAGGGCCTGCGGCACCAATGGACGAGGATCTGTACATTATGACTTACGCCCATGCCAAAGATGAATGCGGTGAAGAGATGTGGCCCGGACGTTTGAAGGTGGTCTGAAGCGGCCCTCTAGAGCCATTTGGCCAAATGCAAATACCATGAATAGACCAAAGAAATATCAAAAATGCACAAAACAAGTACAGTCGCCCGCAACGTTGTGCGATCAGAACAATGTCAGAACAGCTGCAAGGCACCTGGTCCGAGGATCCTCTACTATCACCACAATGTAAAGACGTTGGGCCAGGGCAGTCAGGGGTTGAAGTCAGTTGGGGGCTAAGATCGGCACCCCTGTCGCTTGTCCTGGCGGGTCGCGGCGGTGCCACCAACCCCAGCTGCCCAGCCAAGCTTTCTTGCTTTCTTACTTTCTCGACGCTTTGAACTCTAAATGATGTAGACTACCTACATACTTTACCTAGCCTTTCCCTATATGACCTCACCACGTCTCGCGCGTAGGTAGATAGGCAGGTCCCTGGACCCTGATGCGGGCGCACCGGAGTTTTGAAGCATCCTAGCTGCTGCTAGGAGGTAGCCATAGCCAGGGCCCATCGTCATGGCACGAGCTGATACCGAAGCCGACGCCGCAGCCGGGCCTGCTGCTGCTCCTTTATTACTACGCGACGACCCCTCCTCCCCGTCCTCGCCGGAGCACGACTCGTCTGCACCCATGAGCAGCAGCGCGAACTTCACGCCCGGCTGCGATAGCGACGGCGATTCGGATGGTCCTAGCTACGACGGGCTGCGGCACGCGGATATGGGTGCATACGGTCTCGGACTCGAGGGCGATGAGGGCGATGAGGAGGGCGAGGCCTACGAGCTGCAGGATCGCGGGGCGGCGGCACGGCGGTATACCGGTGCTATATACGGGGATGAGGACGAAGAAGGATATGGGGATGGGAATGAAGGTTATGCTGGCATGAGCAGCAGTAGTGGTAGGGCAAAAAGGAGGAGGGTCAGCACAAGCAGCACCGTCGCCAGCTTCATGCTGTACACGCCGGACGAGGACCGCACTGTGCGCCGGAAGTTCGACAGGCGGCTTGTGGTGTTTCTTGGGTTCTGCTATCTGCTGTCCTTCCTGGACCGGTCGAGTGAGTTTTGAGCTTGTCTTGTCCTCCTCTGTGCTGCATCGCCGTGGGATCTTGCTGTCTGTCGCTTGTTAGGCTGGGAGACGACGGCCTCATCCTCCTTTTCCTCCTCGCCTCCCAGCATCCCCCCCCGCTCGACAGAAAATAAGCAACCCTCACTAACACCTCTGGCCCCCACGCAACAGACATAGGCAGCGCCCGCATAGCCGGCATGGAATCCGACCTCCAGACGCGCCCGCCGCGCCCGGACTTCTTCGAGTGGGCCCTGCGCGCCTTCTACCTGTCCTACATCGCGTTCGAGTGGATGTCGCTGCTGTGGAAGATAATACCGCCGCACGTCTACGTGGCGCTCCTCGTGCTGTCGTGGGGCGTGTGCGCCTCGCTGCAGGCCGTCGCCACCTCGTACCCCGTGCTGATCGCCCTGCGCGTGCTGCTCGGCATCGGCGAGGCCGGCTTCACCGGTGTGCCGGTCTATCTCGCGCGGTTCTACCGCCGGAGGGAGCTGGCACTGCGGACGGCGGTGTTTATTAGTGGTATGTGATGTCTTTTTATCTTCTTCTTGTTTGGCGTCGTCTTGGGGGCGTGGAATGGGTGCGATGGCATTGGCAACAAGGGATGTACACTGAACGTACACTACCCGTCTCAGCAAAAAACGGTATATTCATCAATTCGGATTAAGCACACCGGAATAAGCAGTTTGGTATCTATTGACCATGCTTGACGCTTGTTCCAGGGCGCTTATTCCAGTATTTCCGACTATCTCACTGGTGGTCTGGAATTTTGCCAACATGCGCGTACGGAGATTTATGAAAGCTGGGTGTAGCGATGGCCCTAGTCTCGTCCTTTTCAGGGGCTGGACTCAATGTGACCATTCACTGCGAATTGGGTTGTCCTTGGCCTGACTGATATACCCCTGAAATGAAGATTTCGTTGGTCTCTGTCTCCCATGTCTGCTCTGCCGCCCATGCCCCTTGTATCAAGTTGTTTTGGCGATCTTTACTAACGGAGCATCTTCAGCTGCACCTCTCGCCACCGCTTTCGCTGGCTTCCTGGCCTGGCTCATCCTATGGCTGGGCAAGAACGGACCCATAGCGCCCTGGCGCCTCTTGTTTCTGTGCGAGGGCTTTCCCTCCGTGGTCGTTGCCACCATTGCCTGGGGGGTGATACCAGATTCGCCCGATACAGCCTACTATCTGACAGCGCGCGAGCGACGGGTCGCGCGTCTGCGGCTGCGTCATGAGCACGAGGGCGAACTTCCCACCTCCAACAACGAAGAAAAGCAGTCTCGCTCGAGCTCAGATCGCAACGCCTCATCAGGCCTCAAACTCCGCGACGTCCTAGCCGCCCTCCTTGACCCCAAAGCCTGGATCACGGCGGTCATGTTCTTCCTGGCGAACATGGCCTATTCGACGCTGCCCAACTTCTTTCCGACCATCCTGCGTATGTACATTTTCGAGTCTTTTATTGCCCGTTCTCGCCGTGTCTTAGGGGCGAATTTCCTCTTTAGCCTGTGTCAACAGCCCTTGCCCCCGAGATGCATTCCGGCTCTTTATTTCTCGTCGAAAAGGAGTAATCACTGACTCTAATTTGCTACCAGAGGACATGGGCCACAGCGCCGTCGAGGCGGAAGCCCTCACAGCGCCGCCCAACCTCATCGCCTTCGGCATCGTGCTGCTGACGGCGCGCCTGTCGGACCGCACGCAGCAGCGCGCCCTCTTCGTCGCGGCGCACGCCCTCGTCTCGGCCGCCGGCTACGCGGTGCTCGCCCTTGCGCGGCCCCTCGCCGTACCGCCCATGCTGCGCTACCTCGCCGTCTACCCGGCGGCGACCGGCTTCTTCAGCGTCGTCGTGCTCGTCATCGCCTGGTCCGTCAACAACCAGCCGTCCGAGGGCCGGCAGGGCGGCGGTTTCGCCCTGCTGCAGGTCGTTGGGCAGTGCGGGCCCTTGCTCGGCACGCACTTGTATCCGGACCGCGACGCGCCCTTCTTTGAGCGCGGCATGTGGGCTTGTTGCGGCGCCATGGCGGGGGTTGCGGTGCTGGCGTTGGCGTTGAGGGGATATTTGGCGCGGTTGAATCGGCGGCTTGATAATACCCGAGACGGGATGGGAGGTGCTGGCGCTGGCGTGGGGGACGAAGCTGGGAATGAGGAGGAGGCGCGGGGGTTGGTGGGTGACGAGATGAGTAGGAGTGGTGGGTTTCGGTATATGCTTTGAGTATGCGTATGTGAATACTACTACATTACATGTTAACTCATATTTGCTGTGACTTGGGCGATTGTGACTGATCACGTTTTTTCTTTAATTCCTCCATCGAGGCTCTGACCCGGTGAAAGAAACGGTTCCATGTGCATGAAGCGAAGGAACAATCCCTCTTGAATAAGGCAGTATAGTGTGGCTTGCCGGCGATAACCTTGTGCTCAACATTAGGCGTGAACAAGTCTATCATGCATGAGTTATTCTACTTGATCTGCTACCTGCCAACCTACTTATCCCAGGAGAGAAGACGCAGATATCTCCTAACCGCGTGGCAACTAACCGCTGGGACGCGCAACTGCTCTCTTCCGACTAGCTTGGCAGCAAGCAACAAGCAGCATCCAAGCTGCTATCACGTTCCTCTGTTGATGAACAGAGCAGAGACACGAGATAGTTTTCTAGCAATGAGCAGCAGTATGGGGAAGAACATGACAAGATTATGGATGTATGCAACTACAATTCACTCTATCTATCCTATGTCTTCGTGCGCAAGAAAGGATCAAGCAAAAAAGGTCAGGGGCATAAAGATGAGAGAGCAAGCGTGCTAAAGACCATACATACATATAATGACAAACAAAACACCTTGAGGTGGAAAAGGAAAACGCCAGCGAATGAATGGGGTGTGAGCAAAAGGGAGGGTCTGACCGGGATTTGAACCCGGGGCCTCTCGCAAGCTGGCGCCTTTTGCATTAGGGCGAACCCTAAGCGAGAATCATACCACTAGACCATCAGACCTGATGATTGGTTATTGGTTGATGCTGGTATCAATCAATATATCCCAAAAACCGTTCTGTGGGGCTGGTAAATTTGCTCGGGCGGCGCATACTGACTTGCATCGGGCTATGAGACGACGCATACCCACCAAGGTAGGCATCAGGAACCAGAGCATGCATTCCCCACGGCCTGGCGCGAGATCGAGTGCTGCTTCCCATATGGGATCGGAATGCCAATTGCCCCGGATCGGCTTCGTCGCTCAAGTACAGCCACGTGTCCTCCCCGGCTTGCCATGAGGTCAGGTAGTATGGGCGGGTGGCCAGAGCACCATCGCTAGGATTCACTCAGGAGGACCACCATCTCATCTCAGGTGGGTCTTCTAGTAGTAGCGACTCGGCAGTCAGTCAGTTGACCTCTGCGAAGAGACTGGCGAGGCAGATACACTGGGCATTGACGGCAGCGAGTAGCAAGACGAAGATCCATCAGGCCTTCATCGCAGAGACAGGCAGCACGGCTGGCAGACCGGCTGACTAGTAGAAGCACCAGTCTTCGCGGGGAGATCAGCAATACCGGCCGGTTGGGAAACGATGGCGAAGGGTGTGAATCAATTGGTGGTTGTAACGATGCTGGAGAACAGATCTCCAGGCGGTTGCCAGAGATTCTGATACAACAGATTCCCACTGCGCGCTGCACCTTCCCACAGGTGCCGTTCCGGAGCTGGTGAAATACTAATTGAAGGCGCCTGCCAGAAGTATATTTAGCTGGCATAACCACCAGATCGCTGTATGTTCCTTCCTGGCATCTCGGTTTGAGCTCCTATCAGAGATCCCCCACCTCAGGATCTCAACCTTGACAAACAACAACCCACATACATCATGGTCTGGTTACACGCTCTGCATCACCGACCTAGCCACCGTATAGGTCAGATGCTCGATCGCAGGGCCATCCTCCGGCGAAGCCTCCAAGGCGACACGAGCATTGGCTTGAGCGACGCTGATCTGGGACAATAGGCCTTGTGGACGAAGCATTGGATACGGCTTAAATATTCTAGATTATTCACTCCAGTGTGCCTGTTCCAGCGTTATTAAAACTTGGGTGTTTGGTATGATCTTCTCTTCACGCGCGTGCGGATCTATCAGGGGTAACAGCAAACATAAATTGACTCTCAAAGACGAACTCATTAAACCCATGGCTTGCTGTGGGCAGAAAAGAAACAAAAGCGCGATTCTCAAGAATCGAACCCGTAGCCCATCTCTTTCCCCTTTCTCTTAACAAGTTCTCACTCAAACGGCCTTTCCTTTGCCCTTCCCAAATCCCTCACCCTCAAGTGGCGGGAACTCATCATCCTGAGTCTCCAAACTAGCCATGATCGAATTCCTGCTCTCCTCTTCCGCGAGACTGAGCTGTATAGCCAACTCCAAATCATCATCCGCAACAGGAGAGACCACAGCTGCGCTTGACGAATCAGCTCGTTTGACCATGGGCGTATGACTTGGAGAAGGTGAGCTAGATGAGGATCTCTTGCCCCTCTTCTCCTTGAATGTGATTGGGACATCGTATTCTGCGGAACTATTGCCCCTGGGTGATCGACCCATATCATTGACACCTTCAAGCAGAGACAGCCGGATTGCCGCTTGAATCTGAAGCTCATAGTCACTCTCGTCGGTAGTATCGACTGGAGCACTAGTATTAGCAGTAGGCGGGCTGAAACCACCAGTCACACTCGGTTCGGGCGTGACGGTATCCATGCTACCGGTCGTAGAGGTTGTGTCAAAGTCAGCAGCGGAGCCCGTATCACTAGCACTTAGGCGCCGCTGTTCGTCCGCCATGAAAGCTTCCTGCGATACGATCTCGGCATAACGAAGAGCTTCCTCTTCAGTCAGGTCACCAAGTCCAACGCCAAAGCGAGACCGTAGGCGGGCCTGTTCTCTGGCCTTGTGCTGCTGCTCGGTACGTAGCTCTTCGGCTTCGGCAGCAATGTAGCCCTTGACGCCACCACCGTGTCGTCGGCCGCTGGCACGACCCTGCATATCAGAGTGTCGCAGTCTACGCTTACGGCCAGCGGCTTGGTTTGAAGAGCTATATGCCCAGTAACGCACGAATGTGCCAAAAGCTACGACTCCATGTAGTACCGTGGGGTCAGGATCTAGATAGATAGCCCCCACAGCGGACAGATTCGAATTGCGCAGGGTTGGATTGACCGCTAGCAGATGGCGAGGCATTCGGCCTGGTGAACGTGAGTTCAGAGTTCGGATTGGATCCAGAGTCGAAGCGAGGGGATCCCAGGCTTGGACAAGCCCATCACTGCCACCATGTACCAAGTACAGAGCCGAAAGCGCCAAACATGAAATCTCAGGGGACTCGGTCTGGATGATGCGAATTGGTTGAATGCCGTCGCCAGTGTGTTTCTCTCGCATGTTCCAAAGCAACACCTTGCCTGTATCGGTGCCCAATCCAAGGAGTCTTGCTCGCCGACCCGGAATGTCTGAGCGTGCTTGTCCTGTTGGCGTGGCGGGGATGCTCGTGGAGGAGCCAGCAGCATCTTTCAAAGGGTCTTCAAAAGATGTGACCAGAGCTAGAAGCGAAGTGTCGACACTGCTTGCAGTAATCTTCACCGTGCCGAGCTCTTTGGAAAGACAAGCGGTCTCAAGCCAATCGTCCATTCCAGGCTTAACAGCGTTGGATTCAGCTGGTGAAGAACGCTTGCCTGATGCAGACAACACCCTTTTGAGTAAGGGGGAGCCAGAGGAGTTTGGAGAAGATGACCTAGCACTGCCTCCACCAAAGATAGATGGGGCAGAGGTTACTTCTGCTGGAATCTCCGAAGCGTGAAACGGAGTAGCACCCGGCTGGCTATCACTAGAGACAGTTCGCGTGAATCGTCTCAGAGCAGAAACCTGGTCCTCCTCTAGGGCGCAGTCGACAACAAAGATACTTTCGCCAGCGTGATGCTCATCGTCGGCGGCAAAGTCGACTTCAAGCCTTCGACGCATGTCCCAGCCATAACAGACCTTGCGGAAGTGCGAAGGCCTATAGTGAAGAAATCTCTCGATCTCCCGAGCTTCTGCCACCATCTGATCTTTCTTCAGGTCCATGTCAGTCGAAGGAGACCTGGGCGAATACGCACCCCGAACGGCATTCCTTCCGGACTCATCTGGACGTGCTTGGCGTCTGGTGGCTTCCACGAGATACCAATATGTCGTGCGGCCCGCGTACCAAGCGAGCTTGGTGCTGTCATCGGCTTTTGACTTTGTGGCGAGAGGAGTAGGGGGCTTAGTCAAGTAGAAGACTTCACCTAGAGCATTCAAGGCAACGGCCCATACTCGGTTCAGTGACTTCCTCTTTTGACTGTAGTTATCATCGACCTTAAGTGCGATGATGGGTACGCCTGGACTAAGCACCCAGCGAGCACTTATTTCGCCTGCCGTATATCGTGGACCAGACGGGTCGTAACCCAGCGCGTATGCGGTAACAACCCCCAGGGAAGATCCAGCCATGATTCCGACCACCGACTGGGTCATGGAGGGAACAGAGGATGACTTCGCAACCCATACAGAGCAGATTCCCTCCGAAAGCTCGGGAATCTTCGGGATATCAGGATGAGCTTCAATGAGGCCCGCCTCTTCGCCCAGATACTTGCCCCTGTATTCGCCGGTCGCACGGTAGAAAACACGACCGCCAGGGAACCCTTCGCCGCCCACAAGTCCATATGGTTGACTAACGTCCATCACATTTGGAACAGCTGCGGGGCCCTCGCCAACACCATAAGGCAGAAGCTGCGGCATGACCTCGTCCAGCTGAGCGAACGCGAACGGGTCGTCTAATCCCCATTTCTCGACTTTCCCGCTTGTAGGGTCACTGGTGCTGCCGACTCCCACGTCTGCTGCGCCATGTACCACGCGAGGTGGCTTCTTTCCGTTGGTCCTGAAGGTAGCGTGAACATGGGTCACCATCGATGGCAGCTTGGTATTATAGGTCAACACCGCGCTTCCCTTCTTGCCCGACTGGCTATTTCGCGAGGAGGATCCAATACCTCCTGAACTTGATCCCGGCTTGCCTCTAGAGAGGCTACGAAGGAGTCGAGTTCTTAGAAGATACTCACTGCGCCAGGATGCATGCGGAGTGAGACGAGTGAAATATCGAATTTCCGAGCGAACAATGTCCGAATCATCCTGACCCCAGGTTGCGCATTGGTTTTTATCAGAGGCCGCGAGAGCATCCTGGCCAGGAAAGAAACGCTGGAATGCCATGCGCCAAGCATGGGGCGTCGTGACCAAGGTATAGAACTGCTTCGATACGAGAGCTACGGACGCGTGCGAGTCGGGGTGCAAGTGGGATAGGATATGCGTGAGAATCTCTGTTACAAGGTCAGAATCTCCGTACGCCTGAACTAGTTGGCGAGGGAAGATCACGTACCATTGGGGAAGTCGGTTATGTGAACGCGGTCGAACTCGGTATCAGCGCGTTTGACGACCTTGAAGCCTAGAGCTTGTTTAGGGACAGATGGTGTCAATGCATTCTCGTATGCGGATATTCGTTCGCCCAAGGTTTTGGACCATCCAGCATCGGACTGGGCCTGGACGTTCAGTCCGCGCAGTCGTTCTTCGAGGGAATCGGCACTGACGCCTTCAGCAAGGGCGCCGAAGCCGCCGTCGCGTGGGTTAGACTGCGGTGACATGCTGCGAGTTCGCTGTTGCTGTAGAGAGCCATGGGTTGAGCCGTTCGCATCATGCTGCTGGAAGCCATGTTGGTTGGAAGGGTTTGGGGACTGAGAGGTGCTTCGCTGTTGAGTCTGTGTTGAAGTCTCGGGAAGCTCTTGCTGCATAAAGTAGTGTAGAGTGAATGTAGAGGGTAGGTGAACTGACTGTGCTATATCAGGTGGCACAGTCGACAACGGTGATGCTTGATGAGCTGGAGGGAGTGTAGAGGCGCGTTAGGAGGCGTGCGATGCTGTGCTGTCAGCGTCATTCAAGTCGGAGAGAGTGAGGAGGCAAGAGGAGAAAAGATGGAGATTGGGAATCCGTCGCGGTTTTCCTCACGTAATTTGCTTTGCTAGTGCTCGGGCGTCGGGCTGCTCCCTCCAGCTGTCATCCATGCGAATCTCCGGCCTGCCAGCCACAGTCACCTTACCTCCGACTAAGACCCGACGATTCCCCGAGATGGGAATCCATCCACGGGATAACGGACACCCTTCCACAATGCACATTCACAACACCACTCTTTAACATGAGAGGCTGTGGATACATACGTACAGGCACTTGCTGACACTTCCCACGAAATCAAGGGAGAACAGACTCAGGCATAGGGGCAAGCAGTAGGACATGACGCAGGGCAGTCTCCGGTTTAAGTAAAGACCCCTTACGGATGACTCCCTTCCCCTTTATTAGTCGGTGTATGCTTCCATGTATGAGATAACCTTGACTCCCGGTGTCACCTTTCCACTTAATGGAGTCAGCCAACAGCAAAACCGAAGGCCATGTATGGCCGAACAAATCAATGCTTACACTCATACTTCACAGAGGCCACAGTCTGATAGCAAAGTTCTTCATGATTTTTTATGTGTATTATTTGATATTCATTATGTTTAGATGCGTGACCAACGTCGCGTCTGCCATCGTTCATGTTTCGGCCACGGCATCATCGCTGGTCGATGCTCTCGGATATCTACCATGACGATGAAGCATGGTGCCCTTCTTGGCGTATTGGCCAGATCTCCTTCGGCCAGACTCTGCTGGCTATCGTCCGTCACCGCCGTGATAATATGATATTCGATCAATGACTCTTATCCAGGTCCTAGGCGCGTAATCCTTATGCATGACAGTCCTGACGGAAATCATCACTCCGTGATAGTCGAAGTCCCAAGTAATCAGGTTCCTGAACGCCGGCGCTGGTATGTGTGAGATCGAAAAGATACAATAAATGAAAGGGTATGTATGCGTCAAGCAATACGATATGAAATCGCAGAAAAACCGTAGATTATGAATGGCAACTCATGTTGTCAGAGTCCATGTGGGATCTCGGGCTTCCCGAAAGGGCAAGGGGCAAAAGGTCACCGGTCCTCTTCCCAGCTGTATCGCTTCTGTGCTGGCTGGGGTACGTGGACAATATCGAAGCCATCCATCCGCCCGCGAGTGTGGGCTGCAGCCCGAGCAGCCCGAGTAGCGGCCTCCCGAATTTCTTCATCGATGGTGAAATTGCTTCCTAATGTGTCGATTGCGGACTCGCGTCTCGACTCTTCGGCAGATGGAATGGTTGGCATAGGAAACTGAAAGCCATCGGGACCCATAACCCGGGCCACCGAGGAGTGGTGTCGTGAATGAATAGTGTCTGGTAAGGGCCCGAGACAGATGACCCGTGATGGATCGATTGGCGTCCTTTGATAGGCGGTTTGTGGTAGTGGTGGGATTAGAGACGCCTCGTGCGACGAGGTAGACGGGTTAGGTGACGCAGACCAAGGCATCGTAACTGGGTCGACACTTGGCAGGGATTCAGCCGTGTAAGTCATGCTGGGGGTAGAAGTAGAGCCACCCATGGGAGAATGAAGATCTGGAGTGTAAGTCGACCAGCCGCTGTGAGGTGTCATTGGTGAAGGGACTCCGTTGCTGTACTCTTCTTGTGTCGGACTCGACGCGTGAGACGGATGGTCTCGGTGACGGAATGGATTGTCCATGTGACGAGATGGGTCTTCCGCGCGGCGGCAGGGGTCCACTATCCGGCGAGAGGGCCCTTCCATATGGAGAGATAGATCTTCCACGGGATGAGTCAACCGACGAACTGGTTCTTCCATATGACGCGATATATCTACCATGCGATATGATGGTTGTTCCGCATGATCCGATGGGCGATAGTGTGTCACCCAGCTCACATCCTGATACGTCTTGTCCGACAAATCTACCACATTGGGTGTGTATTCAGGAACCGGCCCTTGCCTCTGACTTTCAAGCTGCTGCCTCACTAGCTCGTAAGAAGTACGCCTGTGCTCTTCAAAGCTGGCCGCGAAACCCGCGACGCAAGTGCTCGACATCGTATCGGTGGCATCTAGCTCAACGGGCGCTGGTTGGACTGGCATCTCATAGCGCTCGTGTTGCCAGTCCGCTCCGACTTCGTATACTTTGTCGCCGCTGGCCTTCGTCTTTTTCCAAGAACACTTCTTCGTCATCCTTGATAACATCCTCCTAACGGGGATCTTTGGTCTTTCTGGTTCGGGTGCGTACACCCTGTCCTTGAGGTCGTCGTCTTCCTTTCCTGCTACCGGTTGCTTCCTTCTCCTCCGACGCATGAACCATGCTGTGGCAAGAATCGCAACTACCATAAGGCAAACACCTACGACAAGTCCCACCAGCTGAGCGTGAGCCAGGCCCTGCTGCCCACCAGGCTTGGTAGTTGGACCAGGATACTGAGAATTGGCGGCATATGCTATGGTTTGTATCGATGTATCTCGCAGCGGGTCTTCGGGGAACTTGGCTTTATGAAGCGAGAATGTGCCCGTCTCGTAATTCGTGATGATGTATGCTTCCTGTAGGAAAGACTTCCCAATGATGATTTGGCTTTCGTTGTCAGCTCTCTTTAAGGGGAAATACGGTACGGCCGAATCACCGTATTGGAAAAGGTTCATGAATGGGTAGCGGAGATTTTGGACGAATGCATTTCCAGAAATCGTGATATTCACGACACCCGGGACGTCGAGCGGTTGACCAAAGTCATCCTGGTTATCCGCGCTCGACAGGGTAAAGGTAAACGAGAGATCGGCTGATGATTGGTAGCGTTCCAAGCTGTCGTTGTCTTCGAACAAGTATAGTCCGAAGCTCTCGTTCCAGGTAAGATTCAATGTAGAAGCAAATCGGTCGCAGATAACTGACGGTAGCCAGAGATAGGGTGTCGAGCTGTCGATCAGCGCTGTTACAGATTCGTTGAAGAATGACAGGGGGGTCGACGTCGAGTTCCACGATGTCGGTGCCTTGTCAGCATCGGATACTGACGCGGTGATGGCCCTGATCAATGTCTGGGGCTGGCTTGCTGATGCGTTCAAGCTGAACTTGGTGTCGTGCGCTTCGAAGCGATTCGCGTCATAGCCTCCCAATGTCAGGGACATCGGAATACCACTTGATCCGCCTATTCGCAGTTAGCTTAGAGACATCACTGTACGCTTCGCTGCTGACAGTTACCATAGTAAGCTCCAGCTGTATAACCATAGCTGTGGCTGGGTATGACGCCGTCCTGTTCAACCAATACAGCGATTGGACTTTGGGCGATGACACCCTGAAAATTACCTGGTGTGATCCCCAGCCCGAAGAAACCGGTGTAGTAGTCGGTGTCATTTATGGCAGCCACGATTTGCTTGTTGAAAGAAGTTTGCCGCTGTCGTATGCTGTCATATACCGCGACAGTCTCCCTGGCGTAGTCTCCATTGCCCTCAAGCCCAAGATAGCTCAGACCAAGCTGCCATGCACCCTGAGACGACCAACTATGCGATGCGCTGGTGTTGTAGACACCTCCACGGGCTTCGGTGCAGAGAGAAGCTAGAAGCCATGCTGTCAGAAATCTGATCAAGACACGTTTAACGTTGGCTTTGGTTGGTTGGTACTTACATGCACCACAGCCTCCAGTCTCTACGACCCATATCTCAGAGAGGCTCGTGCTCACTGTGACATCGACTTTCTGGGCCGGCTCACCCACGAGGAGTCCAGTCGAAGACCAATTGCCATCGATGCCGTACCTATATCATAATTAACTCGTTGTCCCTTCGTCTCATATGTTGCAGGTTTTGACATGCCAGTCCGACGATGGCTCGAGCCACAAAGCGGTTATATCCTCGGCGCAAACTAGAGCGGGCGCAAAAAGCGTCCCGATGATGAATGCGAGGGGGGTCCTCGACATTGTCCGGTCGTCGCACCACCTAGCGGTTGTATAGGCGCGCGCGAGGTTAACAGAGGTCCTTTCGATCCTTCATGAGTTTCGCCAGTTGGTGAACATGGACGATATCCAGTTATTCCCGAATTCAAAGTCGACGCGCCCGGTGGAATAGCTTCACAGGCGTTTCGTCACGGTCTGGCGGGCGCATCTGAAGCTTTGTCCGGGTGAAGGCGCACTGCATGGAGAATGTCGACAAGACGAAATCTGCAAAGCTAGGTACGGCAGAGGGAGGAGAGACATCCAGGGCTGCCAGGGAGTCGAGGATTGCCGAACGACCCAGCAGAGGGTCCGGGGCCGAGCTGCAGGCTTCGGCTATCAGCGCCGCAGTCGTCAACAATCGAATGCTGTGTGGGCTACGTAGGCTTTCCTGGGGCGTGGGCAGGGCCGGCAGGCTGTATCATGGCTGTACCACGTGTGTACATGACAGGGGAACCTTGTAGCTAAAGTGGCACTCAGGTGATGGTGCCAGGGGTAATACTCACACGGGCCACACTACTACATAAAAGTACTGTGTAGTGGCATACTGCGAAATAAGAATCCTCAACCCTAGGAGGGATCTGCAATCGCGCTCACGCGAGATTCTGGCCAGGAGTGCCAGGACCAGAGCATCGGATACCTAGGCGAAGGACCTCCTTCACCTGAACACTGTACGGTGTACGTAGTAATTCTTCGCTATGATCACTTCTAAGTCAACCGTCATCCAAAGATGCTCTCTCGCATCCTGTCTCCAGGCACATCATGCGAATAACAGCGTGGCAACAGAGGGTCAGATGCTTGAAGTACGGTATGAGCAACCCTGGCAGTGGCAGCGCGAGTGGATTCCAACAAGAGCGAACTTCTTCACCGCACTTCACCGGTTTATAACAACACCGTGCATATCAAATTCGGGTTTCGATCCTGTCAAATTTCAATCTCGTCATCTGATGTGGTTTTTGATCTCTTGAGCTGCAAAGAGTTTCGAAACTCTCCAGGCCCTGTCCAGTACTGACGAAGTACAGTGCGTTGGTACGACAAAGAAGTCGCCAGCTTCAAGGGACTGGTACCGTTGGTCAGTGTGTAGTGGACCAGCCGGGAAGATATGTAAGGACCTTTGCATAGCGGTCCACGATATAGTGTTGGAACTTTGGATGTGGAGGACGCACGGGGCACTCAACGACCGTGCCTTCACATCAGTCTCGGCCGGTATGACTGGTGATGGTTGAGGAAAGGCAAGTGAGGATGACAAGATCATCAAGCTCGAGGCGCACATTGGAATCATGGTGAGTGACCACCTGCCCAATGGCTGGCTAATGGCCCCGCTGTCGACGATTGATGACTGAAGAAACGTGGGCAGCCCTCATTATGCAGACCCTAGCAATACCCAGTCAGCCCAGTCTGGCCAACAGGAAAGTCCTACGTTTCTGGATAAATAAGTGAGACGGCCGGCTCTGTGCCTTTTTGCCGACGGGAAGGCATGTTTCTCTGCAGAGGATGTTCTCGTCATGCCAGGTTGCGAGCCATGTGCTGAAGCTTTGCACGGATGATTTCTATTCTCACTCGAGACTGCTCCCCTTGACCTAACCAGTAATGAATAATGGAGTGAAATCGTACTCGGCTTCCACGTGTCATCGAGGACTGGATTGTGAGATGTCCACGCATCACGCCAACGTGGTGAGGGGGCATGAATCGGAAGTATTCTTCCATCAGCTTATTAGAGTGTGAGGGCCCCAGAACTGGGCCCCCGGGTCCAATGCCAGCCTCCAGGACATCTTCGGACGTCGATGGTCGATGGTCGATGGAGACGTAGACATGACTCCTGTCTTGTCGTGGGCCAAGGCTGGGGAGGTATTCGCATCTTGGCATCTACTGCCGAAACTCGCAACTGTGGGCAGACCATCCATGTGTACCTACTGTACTGGTAGCGGCCGTTACCAGACCAGCTGGCTGGGACTCTAGTCTGAATGCTCCGGTTTGCCCTCAACGGCGGTATCGATAAGAAGCGTGGCATCACCGGCCAGTGATACCAGTGGACAACAAGGACTTTGGCATTCTAGGAACTGGTATTCATCACCGCCTGGAATCCTGGATAGGGAATAATGCTGTAATGACACCATTTGATTATGGAATCTGCCTTGTTTGTGTGTCAATGCTCTGCGTAACGTGATAATTGAGTGGAAGCTCGCACCTCAAAGTGGCCCAAGCAATATAGTAGTGAGCCCTATCGGGAGTCCAAAATTACCGACCTGAGGGGCTTGCAACCCCAACCTTTAGTGAGATTAGACGGTGCGCTCCACACAGTGCTCGTGCTTGTTGTTACATGTAGTTACTCTCGCACCTGCTCAGTGCTCACCTCTTGCCAATTGACTGAAATATTGTCCATGTTCTTCATCAATGATGGTTTCTGCTGCGCGGCTTGTACCTACACCTCCCGCTATATGTTCCCTTTCAGGCCTCATCCAACACAGGCCATATCAAGATATATACCAGAGCATCAGCGTCCGAGCCACTTCCTCCTGAGTCCTGAGATCACTGGAGGGCATATTTCCTATGCCGCCGCCGTAATCCCTCGGCAACTGACCGGGCTTTGAACACTATCCTGGCCTACGCTAGTCTTAACCCTTCCCTGCTCCCTCGTGCATATTTCTTATTTGGCGTCTTGAGTCGGCCTGCCGCCGACCAGGCAGCCCAAGTGACTCGTAAGTCGTGAGCCGGCCCATCAAGACCCAAGGCGGTGTCGATGTGTCTGATGATCACTGCTTACCTACACACTCTTCGCAAGCCGCGACTCTCAAAGACCCTGTGTCGATAATGGCAGAATGGATCCGTCTTATTACGGTACTTGCAGACGCATGCCGATCCGGCGATTCCCTTGCTGTTCCTGGATTTCTATCCTTCAACATCCCGCTATACTCCACCTCCCGAAGCTTGACTCTCTGATCGTCGCCCTTCATTGCCGGTTTTGTTGACAACAAGTGCGGACCTTTGCAACGCCCTACGGTGTTTCTTGCGTGATGTTATCTCTTACGACTTTATATCGATTTCCACCCCAATGCGAACCCGTCGTCTTGGTACAGTCTTTTGGAGTGAACCGTAGGCGTGGCCTTGCGTGACCAGAGCCGAGAACACCATGCCGACTACCACATCCGTGCTGTGGTGTGTTGCTTTGCTTTGGAGACATGTAGCGGCAGCTGGGTCTGGTACGTGGCTTATTCACCGTAGCTATGTACAGCCTGCAGATGCTGACAACTTCACAGGATTTCGTGCGGATCAAGTCGACAGAAGGATACCGTCCCGCAACGACACGACAACCGCGTTGATCTCCGCCTCCCAAGCGAAGTCTATTCTTCCCGAGACTACAACGTCTTCATTAGACCCAGATGGGCTGGCCTACTCGACAATTGGGAGCTCATCATACGCTGTTCCAGATTCCACGAGGACGTCAATGACAGAATATGAGTCTGCCGCCCCGAGCAATACTGAGGATGCCGACTCGGACCCATTTGTGTCTATATCAGACCTAGGGCGCATTACTACCTTAACAAGACCGACGTTACAGTTGCCTTCACCAGCAAACAGCAACTCGGAGGTCAGCACTACACCAGCCATCACTAGCTCTTTGTACATTTCAAATCCAAGTCACACAGCGCTGCCATCCGCTACCATACCAAAACCTTTCTTCAACACGGCTTCGATACCCTCGAAATGGAACTCTACAACGAATGTTACAGCGCCGCCTCCTCCTCCTGTGACCACCTTCACCATACCATCACCAACGTCCATTACTGTGTATCCGAATACTAGTGCGAGTGAGTGCTCATCGAGCATTGGCCAGCCTATTACAGTCACATCATATTCTATCGTGTACACTTCAACTACGACTTGGGCTGAAGACCCATCCGACTATACACCACCATTTCCTACCATCAACACACCGGGACCATGCACTCCCAAGTCCAGCCCAACCGGCTTAACCACTTTTACGACAACTGATAATGCCCCCAACCTTGTGAGTTCGTCCGGGGCGCAGGCTGTGCCCGCACTACACTTCGCGACAATAATCTACGTCACGACGGACAAGAACCCTGCCGTGGTGTTTCCGAGCCTGACGCTTCCCGACTATGGCGGATCACCAGCCTCGGACTCGAATAATCACAAAACGGTGTCCGGAGACAGTGCTGTCACCACGCCCGAGTATGGGATGGTGATGTCGTCGGTCGAAGACCACAAAGCGGCTGCTACTCCGGCTCCAGCTCCAATTTCGGTTCCAGCTTCGGCTCAAGACCTTGGAAGTGAGCTCGACTCGGCTCCAGTGACTGTCGTGGTGGACCCGGGCGAGGTGCAACTCAACGACCAAACGTTCACCGATAATCCCGAGCAGAAGACGTCCACTGTGGTTGTAGGGACCGATACCTTTGTCATCGATCCATCCAAAGTAGTCGGCGCTAGTGCTACCATCACTCGACCCCCTAATGTAGGAGGTGTGCTCGTCGCCGTACCAGCGACAACGACGATCGAGGGTATAGAAGTCGTCTACGGATCATCCGTGGCTACTATTGACGGCACAGTCTATGAAGTTGGTCCCACGCCAGTGTCAGTGGTTGTCAAGGGTCAACCCATCGTACTTGGAGCAGGGGCAATTGCGTTCCCCAGTCAAACTCTCAACGTCAACACTGGCCCAGGCGCAACTGAGACAGGTGTCTTGGGTGGCGAATTGATTACGGCCATTGGGTCTGACGTCGTTGTCATTGAAGGCACAACAACGACATACGGAGCGGACCCGAGCACGGTTACGGAAGTTGTCGACGGTGACACGATCTTGATCGGGCCGTCGGGTGTGATTGTTCATGGCAAAACTCTTGGGGGACCTACAGCAGCATCTATTGCCACCACGTTCGAGATGGTGGGCGGCGCGACGATTACGCAGCTCGGCAAAACGGCCGTGGTAATAGGGGGAGTCACATATAGCGTCGGCGCCGGCACCACGGCGACAACGACGGTCATCGACGGCGAGACCATCACCATTGGGCCCAACGGGGTCTCGATATCGACACTTACGCTTGGCGCGCCCTACGCGTCGACAACGACCATCGGCGCAAGCCAGGGCACCAACGCAGCCATGAGGGTCCCAACTGCGACGGGATCCGCTGAGAACAGCGGACCAGTCACGAGGCCAGACCGGGGATTCTGTTTAATGATTTCATGCATAGCGACAGGCGGGGCGTTGTTGGGCTCACTGATCTTCTGGGTTTGAGATTAATGGGCAGCCTATAGGGCTTACGGCATCAGACGGAAAGGGGGCCAAAAAGGGTTGTATATAATGTAACAACACCTAATAGAACACAGGGGCGGGCCGTGTTACGATACCCAGAGCCATAGCGAGATAGGAGGGCCATGTCATAAATGAGCGGGCTCTTGTATAATTACCTACATACATATTACTGTGCATCTAATCAACGATCAGTGGCTACAAATACGACAAAATACGCCGTGGAAAAGGGAATGGTGTAGGAAGATTGTTTCCAAACTGGCTAACTGGCAGACGATAGTGACATTGCCGCGATCAGCTCTAGGCGTCCCAGCTCATCATTCCTAAACAAGCATACCGGCGTTGATGAGGCTCACCTCAGCAGCAGCACGTTGCAGTGCCAGCAGCTCATGTCTACACGCGACATGCAAGCAAGGATGATGATAGGGCATTGAAATCCCTGCAGCGCGATGAACTGTTCAGGACGAACTTCAGAACTCTATTGGACGCACGAAGCAATGGAAGGAGGGCCATCCCGGCACTGCGATGTAACCCCGTCAGTACCTCTCAGGAGTCAGCCTCGGGTTCTCACAACGTGCGAATTTCGCGTCCCTGTCGGTCCCGACGCACTCGGGACCCTGGCGAGTCCTACCAAGCATTTGGGGCTTAAACTCGGTGCTGGTTCGTGCCAGGCCTGCTGCGCTGTGCCTCGCGCGCCGGCGCGCTCGTTTGTTTTGCGATCTTATCAGTGCATCGATTCTAGGACTGGAATGAACTGCCGTGATCACGGCATTCGCCTCCCTGGGTCAAATCTCTTTCTCTCGCGTCTTATCTCGTCGCATGACGACAGCAATCAATAACCCTGGGTCGATGTGGCTCACAGTGAAAACCTTTGGACTCCCCTGATATCTGTTTCGGAAATACAACGGAAAAATGTATCGACGTCCAAGGCGTGCAGATTGGTTGCCAGGCAGACTGATAAGTTCCCCTGCCCCTGGTGGTGGATATGGCCATACATACACCGCTGCCACATGGCAATGGTGGCATCCATCCCACCGACTGATGCTGGGTGCTCCGCTGCATCTCAGCTGCGCCGTATCGCGAACTTCAACAAAGACGCAGACGGGCGGCACGGGCAGACCGCCTCTTCAGGTATTTGTTGTCGTCGACCCTCACCCAGGGACAATTGTCGTTCTTCGCACGACTCACGAGGGCATCATCTAGATGATATCCTTGCCTCCGATCCAACCGCGCGCCTATGTACTCTCAGACCTCAGACTCGTGGGCCAACCTCCCCTCTTCGAGCATCGCGAACACTTCGCTTCTCTGACCGCAGCCGCGCGTAACGAGCTTTTACGGACACCGCTCTTCTTCGCGCTGTTAGACGCCGCACCTTCGCAGATCCGACCGCCTGCACGGATGACTTTGCTTAGGTTCATATGTGCGTAGAAGAGCTTCGCTTGCAGACCTCATCCGTACCGCACCATCAATACGTTGTAGGTAAGTGTAGCGAACAGCAGCATACCCACCTCATCAGGTCATATCTAGCGCTGCGTAGAATGCGACAACCCAATGGAAGCTCGTCCCGACTCTGCTCAGGTCGTTCATGCCGGCCAAATGACAAACCGTCTGCATGGCATGCCTTGTGAGTTGCCTCGCGTGAGATATATAGCCCATGGGTTTTCCGCGCCGGGTATCCCATAATCTGCTTCTGGGGTCTACTAGCATAAGGCTTCGCTCGTGATAGAGAGAGAGACACCCCAAAAACAGGATTTTTGCTCTCAACAATTATCGCTTGATATGTCCCTACTCGGCTGGAGGGTCACACTGATGAGACTCTGCAGCCAGTAGGTGCATAACGTCGCGTGGGATGCTGGGGTGGGTTGCAGAAGCGTGCGTCCCGAGGCTCATCTGTCTGTACGTCTGTCTGCCTGCTGGCCGATAATCCGGGATCAATACGATGGGTTCACTTTCAAGAGGGTCATAGGTTATTTCCACTCAAGCCGTTATATCAGCCTGCAGCGGGAATCTCAAGATCCGGTGATGCCGTGTTGCGCCCAACCCCTCTCCCACCACCAAGAGAGGTGACTTCCAGATTGGCGATGGACACGCGACGCAATTGCCCCGACAGAATGTAACCTTCATACAACCTTCATATTACCAGCATTGTGGTCGATAGATTGGCCATCTCCGAGAGCCACCCATCCACACAACCCCCTTTCCCTTACTACCATGCAGGCCGCGTCCGTCTGACTTGCATATCCCGCCCTCAAAGAGCAGAACACCTGCAGTGGAACATGCACGGCTCCGGTGCATCCTGCTGCCTCGCCTGAGTCCTTAGGGATCGTGCCGGAGCTGAACGAGCTGATCCTAGATGAGCACGTGGCTGCAACGTCTCCCTCGTGGAGTCACCGTCCAGGACGCCACCCACGAACTGCTGGCAACCACTTGCCATATTCGGGACAGTAAACGCCTCCATTGTTCTGCTTGAAACACTACACACGCCATCCATCAGGAGTAAATTCCAGAAAGATATCCTGATCGTCGTTGTGTGTATTGTCCACTTGTGTCAGCCGCATACGTTGCGTTTCCTGAACCAGGTCGCAGTGGCCATCTCTCGCTCCTTCGGATTGCAAAGATAGGAGTTCATGGGGGCCCTTTCTTACTGCATGAAACGCCGCATCGCGTTGCGTGTGTCAGCGCTGCGTATGCTTACGAGTACAGTACGCGTAGCTTTCTTGCTGTCAGCAGACTGAAACCCTATGATTCCACCGATGCCATCGAGGCGAATGTGCATATCTGTTATGGACATAGCACCTTTCCAGTGCGGCGAATGGAAGTGGGAAAGCTGTCCCTGTTGTATGAATAACTTACGAGCAGTATTAGTTCTCATGTTCAACCAGGAATTGTGCTAGGCTCGGCACTGGTCAGCCTTTCCTAGTCAGGTGTATGCCCCCTGATCTCGATGGGCCATCCAGTGCTACGAACTCCAGGTTCGCGACAGTCACTAAGCTATGGCTTCTACGACAGATAACCAAGTCAAATGACTGGCGGCTTATAGATAGATCAACTAGTAAAGTCTCGTCTTTGATGGGAGCCTCCTTTTCCAAGAGTACACACAGAACGAGTCGAGCATCAAGACCACGGAAACGACCACTAATTAGTTGCTGATACTCCACAGCATCTGGAGATGAAGGCCTTAGCAGTGACTTCTATCATGTCTCGTGATTTGGGTACATTATCCAGACACGGACATCAAGTGAAGGAGATAAAGAGAGAGAGATGTGGTGGAGTCTCTCATCAGCTTTGGACTATATCACGTTCTCAGCGTACGGCGAGAAATGGGGGAGAAGGGAACGATGAGGAGCCTCATCTCTCATGTCTTATGTGTGGTGCTTCCATGGGGTGTGGTGGTACACTGAACCCTCATAAGTCTCCGTACACCACCCTTCTATCAAACCACGGTATATTCATCAAATCGGAATAAGCACACTGCAATAAACATGAAAAGTTGCTTATTAGCCTAGAGCTGCTTATTCTTGTATGCTTATTCTAATATTTCAAAGATTGTAACGGGTGATCTGTAATATCATCAACATGGCACGTACGGAGACTTATAAGGGCTGAGTGTAAGTCTCCCTCGTCAACAGGCTCTTGTCAGCAATATCGTATCAGAAGAGCCGCTCTTACGTATATCAGGCCACTTAGGTAGTCTATATTGCGATTTATTTTGCTAGATACTCCTGTTTGCTTGGGACACAGCAATCGCTGTCGACATGTTTCTATTCCTTGCCTTTCCTTGCCTTTCCTTGCTCACTCCTGACTCCAAAACGGGAAATCCACCTCCTAGCTCACCGCAGGCACCCTCATCGACGACCGACACAGAACCCAAGTAAACACTTCCGCTCTGCTCCAGAAACCGGGCTCTGGTAACCCACTGCCGTAGGTGCGAAAGCCCACAAACTGACCGCCCTACTGGAAGAGCCGAAACAGTTTGCGTCCCTGGGGATTCTGTTGCTGGCGCTTTGCGTCCGCCATGGTTTTCATGCCCGTCAATGTTTCTATCAGGAAATGCTCCATCAATTTGATGACCATGAAACGCGTGCCGTCATAGTACAGAACGAGCGACCCTGTCTCGTACAGGATGCAGCCCACGGCGCGGTGGGTGGGCACCCTCTCCATGCTTTTCCTCATGGCACTCTCGAGCGCTGTCCGGCAGACCGGGGAAGTCCACATCCGAGCAGGCGACGTAGAGCTGGAACACCCTGTCGCCGCGGGCCCTGTCGTCCGGGTCCGGCACCGAGAACACGCGCGCCTCGAGTTCGCGCGGCAGCCAGGATCCCGAATCGGGCGGGAGCTCCTACGTCTCCAGGCCGCCGAAATATTCGCTCAGGAGCTCCTGGGCCGTGCCCCAGAGCATCTCGCGATAGCGGCTGCCGGTCTTGGAGGACTGCAGAGCCCATAGGACGCGCTCGATGCGGCGCTTCCCGGTCTCGTCCTTCGTTTCGGCGTATATGGGCCAGGCGTAGTCGGTGAAGAAGATGGCGCCGAGCGACACGACGATGGCGGGGTAGACGGCGCTGGCGCGGAGCGTCTTCGTTCTTCCGTCCCGCCAGCCTGAGCGACCGCCCCCGTTTGCTGCTGCCGACGGCGCGAGACGCGGGGTGAAGAACGCGTGAGGGCTTCGCGTTGCAGGGGTTCTCCAAGCTGCCGGGAGCCTGGTTGATGACCGGCTGGTGCGGCTCCAGATACGGCTGAACATTGTTGGAGTCGCAGGAAGTTGAGTGAAGTATATTAGGATTATGGCTTGGTATCTGACGACAATGAGTCGAGACTCTGCTCACGGTTCAACAGCAGACGTCGTTCGAATTTCGAAGCGTGCGCTCGATATGTCTCGGTCCATTGGCCAATGGCACGTCGGCGATTCGACGCCGCGATGTCAACCATGTTTGCTTTTTGTTGCGGGGTTATGTAACCAACACAACGCCGCCCAGACGATCCTAGGAAACGCGTGGTACTGGTAGACGTTCGCGTCATATCGCATACCTAATCAGGGATACGGTGAAGAAGAGTTCACCCCCGAGTGCTGAAGAGCAGGGCGAAGGGGGCAGACACAGGTTTCCCGGCTACCCTCTATCATCCACCGTCAGAAGTAGACGCGAACCTCATTCCTCCAGCGTCCGGTCCGTCCTCCTCTGAACCTCCTCACAGGCCCTGATACCCATACAACTCTTCATTAGTCTATGTGCCCACCACGGACTCGTCCTATCCCGGGACGTTTCGTCAGTTCCTGGCAGGACCGACTGCACGATCTCCAGGCGGGATATTTTGACTTCTCCCAAGGTTTGATCCTGCTATGGCGCTTGGCGAAGAGGTAGGCTTGGAGGCCGCTGTCCCCAAGTACCGTGCATTGCGGCGGGCAGCAACTACCCCTTCCTATCAAACAAATTCTCTCTCGCAACTCTATCTCGTAAATGGCTTTCCGAAATGCCCCCGTCTGAACTTCTCATCACTATCGAGGAGCACGCTACCTTCTACCCTCTTAGTGACGATCGGTGTTCCTACAGTGAGTGACTTCCGTCAGATCCCGCTCATCCTGCCCCTTTAAAACTTACCACTGTCGAGTAATCCAATACCAGCAAGGGATGGGGGTCATGGTCGGATGTATGTTCTCAAAGAAGAGCACGTCGTTGCCCTTGCTAGCTCACCTGAAGAACCCATGATCAAAAGTGATCAATCCCGGCCAGCTGACTGGGCGGGGGTTCCAAGAAGGGGGAGGGCCACATCCATGGAGCCGCCACACATCGTCCGGATACAGGTAGCAGATAGTCGTTTCGCAGCAACAGTGTCTAAAAGGCACAGCTGATAGATAGGCTTTGCGTCACCGGCTTCCGATGTGCTGCATGTGTACTTGCGGACCAAAGGGGGAAACATAGGGACAGGCTGGTCGCTTTGGTCTTCCGTAAGGACCAGTATGTAAATAATCTGTATGAACCACTGTCACCCTTCATCCAGGCCCTCCTGGGGGGCTCAGATCCGTACCTAGGCCCCTAATCTAGGAGCCCTAGGGGATACTATCTCAGTTGAGGTATTGAGGCAACGTTGGTGCACCCTGCAGGCTGCTGAAGTGAACGAGTGACTTGAAGAATAAATTCGAGCGTGGGATTTAGAAGACGAGGCCATAGATCTTGTCCGAAGAACATAATCTGGCATTATACACTGTACCAAGTCACAAGCCATTGCTTCTGCCACTGTATTTATTTGGCCGCCGCTTGTGGGCAGTGACCTAGATCATGCGCAGACAAGGTAACGCGAATGTAGCAGAGATAGTTCCGAAACTTTGAGTAGGTACCGTGTCTATCTATCTAAGTCCTGCTAGGACCGCACAAAAACCCTCAAGTGGCTGACACGTTCACTCACAGAATCAGCCGGCACCATCGATATCCCAGTGCCCACCCCCTGGTGTAAGCAACCACTGTGCTGCTTATACGACCACGAGTTCTTCAACCCCAGACATCCTCGTAATATGTAATTTGGGATGAGATGATCCTCTTGGCCTCTTCAATATTGACCGCCGCCCCGCGAACCATGACGTCGAGAAGAGCCTGTCGAACAGCCGCAGGCATCTTGCCCGAGCTGCCAGCCACGAAGACGCCAGCTCCTTTACGGAGCATGGTATAGACAAGCTTCCAGTGCTCCCGGATTTGGTCCTGGACGTACGTCTTCTTGATCGGGCCTTTCTGATGCCCTTCTGGTTGATCTTCCGGTGGGTCTCTGGAGAAGGCGGTGATTACTCGGATTTCGAGTGACTCCCAGTCTTCCTTGAAATGGAAGTCCGCATGGCGATTCCGACCGCCGTAGAAGAGTACGACCTCTCCGCACGAACCTCCATCGTAGCGATCCCAGAGTATAGAACGTATAGGCGCGACTCCAGTGCCAGTGCCTATTGCCAAAAGTGGATTCCGCTTATCTAGCAGTTCCTCTGGCCAGTCACGCTCCTTGATAGTGATATTTATGGGTGTATCGCGGCCGAGCGAGGCCAAATAGCGAGAACACAGCCCTTGTCTTGTCTTCCTTAGTACCGTTTTGTACTTGATCAGGGCGACTAGGAGCTGAATCTGCGTCATGTCTGGCTTATCAACAGATAGAGTAAGCAATCCACCGCTCGCGATGCTGAATTCGCGACCCCGTATGACAGGAAATACAGACGGAATATGCTGGTAGGGAATTTGGACTGTTGGGAAATCCTGCAGAACCTCCAGTATGGATCGTCGTGGCCGAGACGTGTAGTCGTAAAACTCATCTGATAATGCAGGATTTGAGAAATCTCGCAGTCGCTCTTGATGCGTTGGGTCCTCCGTGTAGAAAGCGATGTCTTCGAAGAATACACGCTTTGGAATGGAGGTTATGTCGTAGTTGTTCAGCAATAGCTGGCGCAAGGTACTTAAAGGCATGGGATGGCAATTCTTCGGAGGGCCAAAGTTAACCTCGGGATACTCGGTGTGGTGCTCGAAAGGCTTGTCGGCAACGTCTCCCCAGCCCATGAGATCGATCAGCGCGTGCACATCCTTCGGGAAGTTCTTGGGATAGATGACAACCACATCGCCTGGCGTGGTGACGACGCACTCTTCTTTCTCTCCTTTTTTGGTGGAAACCATTCTCGAAGTGACATTGAGGGTTAGTAAGCGTACATCTTGCCAGTGGTTGTCGGGAGTGACGCGAGAATTGTCCTCTATTATGGCACGCCATGCGTTGGGGATCGGATTAAGATCCAGGGGCGGCTGTGGTTCTTGAATGCGACTGCCTGCATCGTCGAGAGAATATTTGATAGGGTCGTCTCTGAGTACGTTCGGTCGGTCTAGAATATCTATGCCGCCTGGAATGGCGTTGGCTGTCCCTTCTGAAAGACGCGCCAGTTGGGAATTGCTGTGAATGGAGGCCCGTTCTATCTGCAGCTCGAATTGCAGGTCGTGATTAGGGTTATCCACGTGACTGAACAGCGCTGCAGTTCTGTCGAGGACCGGCTCCGGATGATCCTGCCGGCTCTGACCTGCATCTTTGGGACCGGATTCTTTGTTGCGGCCCGGTAGAGGGGTGGAAACAGGCTGTTTCCCCACCACCTTGGCATCGTGGTTGTCAGACATTGTCAAATCAGGACATTCCATAGTTGGGAGAAGTTCAATGGTGAACTTGGGAGTGAGCTGTACATCCGACGGTATGGGCGAAATACCGTCGGGTAAAGGATGCTCTGTTTGAAGATGAGTCCTAAGACTGTTGGACCAATCCAGAAAGGCTCCGTCTATGCTGTGATGAAAGTCAGTTAAGAAACCCATACGGGTGAAGACTGTGCAAGCGCAGCAGAGCTGACTCCAGGGGCGAAAAAGAGCTGCTTACCCGTCGTCGTGACGTTCGTCCGCCTCGCCGCGAGAGAAGAACTCGACGGCACCGAGTTGCTCGAGTCGCTTGTGGAGTTTTCTGGCAGCCCAATTATACCTGTGATGGTACAGGGGAAAGATCAGTGATCGGTGACAATGGGGAGGTAGCGGTGATGCAAGCTCCCAGTGTAAAGGTTAGCTAGGTACGTACTTGGCATATGAACTGTCACCAAGGCCAAATGTGGTGAACCTGACGTGACCAAGACAGCCTTGGGGCAGTCGCTTGCGCAACGAGCTCTTCCAGAACTTGATTGCGTTGCTAGGTATGTCGCCCTGACCAGTAGTCGATATGACGAAGATGACGAGAGGATATCGAGATAAGGCGCCCTATAATGCAGTTGTGTACCATGTCAACAATTTGGGTTCATGCCTTAGGTCATTGGGGGGTGTGCGTGGCTGATTTGAAGGTTGAAGGAAAACAACCCGGAGGGTCTGCAGCACTGCGACCAAGTAAGTGAAGGAAGCCGCACTTCCGGGTGAAGAAAGAGGCTACCAGGTGCAAGTGCAGTGGACGTTGATGCAGGACAGCCAGAACTGAATGACACCTCAATGGTGGACACGCATTGCACTCGCACTCGAGACTGATCCAAATAGTAACTGTAGTAACTGTGCTTTTTTACTTACAAGCTCAACATCATTCATCTCAGTAACCGTTGTTCTGAAGCGCAGTCTCTCAGCGATGCGTCCGAGGTCCACGGCCAAGTTCTGGCTGTTCCCGGTCTCGGAGCCATAGGCAATAAGCATCCGCCGGCTGTCGAGTGGCTCATCATGACCATCTTGGAGAGCATGGTCTTCAGAGTGCTCTGGAGACTCGTACATTTTGGCCTGCAGGTCAGGCATGATGAGAACCGGGGCGAGCGAACGGGTCCTGGGCGGATGGTTGGAAAGGGGAGATGAAAACCCAGACGCGCATTTAGGTATCGGTATGATGACTCAACTTAGGGACGAGAGAATTCTCTCATCGTTCTGGTTTGGTAGGTTCGAGGCTGCATCCAAAGACATCGGTTTCATATGTCAACTCGCACTTCATACAGCAATTCAAGGCGTATAATCGTCCACAGAGGCATAAGATAAGAAGCGCAGCCAAGGCTCATAAGGCTGAAAAGGCTGAAAAGGCTGAAAAAGGATGTGACACCAGCGACACACCAGGATTGAAGAATATGCATATTATTATGTCATGATCGGTCGTCTAGACCTGGACCTTGACAGCCGAACTCGTTGATGAATCCCGACACTCCCGACCTCGGGAGCCAAAGCTGCAGTCCCGTCTGCGGGGTGATTCGGCGCTACCAGGAGCTATCTGTCAGATGGCTCCATATCCATCGGCATTGCCGGGAATAAGATGCTACACCAATGCATACAAGCACCATGGGTTTGAGACTCTGACGGCTGCGGTGCCGTGGCGGGACCTGACTAGAGCTGCAGAGAGTACCTGTAACCGTGGCTGCGTGGGTGGGATGCGTGTCAGGGTCTTGGATGATCCCCTGAAAGTATCGCGACATGCCAGTACGATCAGACGAAAGACGACAGGTCGAGTCACATGCCGGCATTAGTAATAAGGCTGGCGAGGGCTGAGGTAAGAGTGAGTTGAGCTCCGATGGCGCCGGCCGACCATCAATGTGGACTCCCTACCGACAGAATGGGAATAGCAGGACTGCAGCACGTCAGGTTGGTGCTTCGTAGTGCCCAATACGGGAATCAAGTTGGGCGATGCAAAAGTGTAAGAAATGTGGTCAATCCGCACGAGATTATCAATTCAAGCCTGGCAGTCGTCGCAGAACAGTTATCGCGACCTTTATCAGCACTCAAGCCTATGCGATCTAATGAGCATCGAGAAGCAACTTCATCAGCGCAAGGCAAAAAAGGGGTTGGAAGGGGGAGATAATCTTTGGAGCTCCGGTCGCATTGAACGGAAGGGGTGAGTTTAGAACAACCCCAGGCTGGCCTGCAAACATACCCCAGATGTTGAAAGTTCTATGCTGCTTCTAGAACACCCAGACACTATTGAGAGCTCATCACAGGCATGCCGGCGAATTGCAAGACTGACGCTGGCACTTGGCGGATCACGAGCTTTCCCTCGGTGGCGCAATATGCATCGAAAACATACAATACAAATCCAGCAGCTGACAAACCAAGCATGACGGGCGACGACGGGCATTGACAGAGACGGTGGCAATTCCACCCGACATTCTTGAAATGGCTCCAATTTGCTGTTGTCATGCGCGGTGGAAACCTCAACGTCGACAAGTCCAAGCACGCTGCCGGTTTGTCTGACACTGACAGCATTGATCTACCATGCACCCACGCACACATCACATACCTAGTATCATGTACGCCATAAATTTGTCGTATCGCAGCGTCCTGGAGGTGCAGGTCCAGCGGTAAGGTAGCTCCGGGGAGCAGATGATACCAATACAGATAATTCCGGCGAGGTGCGTCATCCGGCCGTGGCATTTTATGGCCACACCATATATTCAAAGCAGGTCAGGTGTGGAATGGCATCAGTTACTCCTGGCGGGGGTTTGCATGTGCCAGGTTACAGTGAATGCATCAAGCGTAGCAGATGAGATAGGTCCATGCGTGTAAATACATACGGCACCATCCAAAGCAAAATCCATTCACACAAGAAAGAACAAAGGACGAATGGGCAGCTGGTCAGTGGTCGGTCACGATTCACTGCAAGTGATACCGCAATTGCCCAAAACAGCCCGTGGAGCCCGCCCGCAGCGAATCGTAGGCGCGTATTTGGGGCAGCTTCGTTCGGCCTTTGAACCTCACTCTTTCTTCTACACACAACACACCACCCACTCTGACCAACTGCCACACATCCATCCTTCTTCTTCCCTACTTCTCTACTCATCGTCGATAAACCAACTGCGACCTCTTTCTCCTCTGACACACCATCGCAATCGCCGACGCCAACTGCATCTGCAACTCTGCAGCAAGCTGCCTGCCTCACAGGTCCCCATCTTCCAATTCCGTACCTGCTCACGCACACCAGGATCCCCACCGTAAACCAAGTACGTGCCTCCCTTGCCCCACTTCTGATTGGCTGCTCTGGCCTTCCCAAATCAACAACCCCCCATCCCCGCAGCCGCACCTGCCGTGTCCCTATCGGCCGAGGGCCCACAGAAGAAACAACCCTTAAAAATTTCTGGCCGTCGCAGAGACAGTCTGGTCCTCCTCCCTTTCTCCCCTTCACACCTCTCAATCCACATCGATCTCAAGCTCGCCTCTTGTGTCACTCGACCAACCCTCAAGTCCATCCCATCGATCTAGGGCACGCAGCCACCCTATTCCTCCCCCGACATTGTTCACGAGTTCAATTCTGAACCCTTCCGAAACGTCCACACATCCACCTCCAGCCATCAACTTCCCACCAGCTAATCTCCAACCCCCAACCCGCTAGACAAAATGGCCAGCGCCGTCGTGGAGAAAGTTACCGATGCCGTCAATGACGTGACCAACGCTCTGAGCAATACCTCTATCACCAGCAAGGACGAAAACAAAGATGCAGTCCATGCCAGTGCCGCTGAGGGTCGCCGCCTGTACATCGGCAACCTCGCGTACGCGACAACCGAGGGGGAGTTGAAAGAGTTCTTCAAGGAATACCTTGTGTGAGTTCCCATTCCGATCCCCTTCGATTTTGCATTCTCCAGCACACCCGCCTGTCGCGTCGGGCTGCGACCTGTCATTCTCTTGAGGTCCAGCTGCACCACTTCTTGAGCCATCTTGGTCATGCTTTCTGAGCCTCACCAACGACTATGATTGCTCTCATAAGGCTATCTCTCTGTTTACGAGCCGCAAAGGCGATCACCTCAAGGTTCTTCCGCTTAGGCTACGAACATGTATCCTTACAAGATGCTATACTTGCTCTTGCTCCACAATGAAGCTGCCACTTCACTCATCTGCTTTGTAGCTCGGGGAAGGAGCTTCCTGCTAACCTGTTGCACAGTGAATCCGTCTCCATTCCCAAGAACCCACGCACAGACCGCCCCGTTGGCTACGCCTTCGTCGACCTCTCTACCCCGTCCGAGGCCGAGCGTGCCATCGCCGAGCTTAGTGGCAAGGAGGTACGCGAGCGCAAGGTCAGCGTTCAGCTCGCTCGTACTCCTCAGCCTGCCGGTGAAAAGGCCGAGGGAGGTTCCAACGGTGAACTTGGAGGTTCCGGACGCCGATCTTCTGGTCGCGGCCGTGGTCGTGGCCGTGGACGTGGCGGTCGCGGTGGACGATCTGTACGTTTTGAACCAACGGAGCCATCTATCTCTGGATCCTCCGATGCTAACGTGGCTTATAGGACCGAGGAGACGCTGATGCCGCCGGAGAGGGCGCAGAAGCTGCTCCGGAGGCCACCGAGGTTCTGCCTTTGACCGACATCACTAACAAGGTCGATACTGAGTCGGACAAGAACAAGAAGGGACCTGCTCGTGAGCGACGTGAGCGTGGACCCCCGGCTGATGGTATTCCTTCCAAGAACAAGGTCATGGTCGCCAACCTGCCTTATGACCTGACTGAGGAGACTGTAAGTTCATTTCATATTCCAGATACCCCCCACTGTTTCTACCTCGATGCTAACTCGACGTGTAACAGCTCAAGGACCTCTTCAAGGACTACGAGCCGTCTTCCGCCAAGATCGCTCTTCGACCTATCCCCCGATTCATGATCAAGAAGCTTCAGGCTCGAGGCGAACCGCGCAAGGGACGTGGCTTCGGCTTTGTCACCCTGGCCTCCGAGGAGTTGCAGCAGAAGGCTGTTAACGAGATGAACGGCAAGGAGATCGAGGGCCGTGAGATTGCTGTCAAGGTCGCCATTGACAGCCCCGACAAGACCGACGAGGAGGCTAACATCCCCCACGAAGGTGAGGGCCAGGCCGAAGGCGAGACCACCAATGGTCAGGAGGCGGCCACTGCTACCGCCTAAATCGTTCCCAGCAACCCTCTCAACAGCACCCGCTTACAATTCCGAGAGAGGTGGAACCAGACAATCATGACTATTGCCATTGGGGAAACATCTTATCAAGTCGTGCGCGTTGCCTGAGCTATGGGCAATGAGCGGCGATGGGTGGTCAACCTGTTGATTTCATGATAGTTACGAAAACCACAGAAAAACAGCAGATATGGCTTCGGATATTATCGACTGGAGGGCTGTTGTGAAAAGCTATCGCACTGCATCTCCGATAGACGTCTGGGTCATCATGCTATAGCTTTTGGCACCATTATTAATTCTCATGAACACGTTTCTCAGTCTCTCGCGTATAGTTCTCGGATTGTACACTAGATGGACGTCTTACAGGCGTTACAGGGGACTGGGAAAAGTTCACGAGCAGAAATAGAGATACGATTGACTGACATCTTGTGATGGATGACCAGTTCGCTCGCTCGTACTGTACTTGTAGTATCTGAATGCTCTTGACTCAAATCTATACTGAAGACCATGACCTCCTTTCCCCTTTCCAAGAAGCTGCTGAGAACCTCCAGGGCACTTTACTACCTACCTCCTTTAGGTAGTCGCTTCGGGTTCTACTTCTTGGTGCTAAGAGCTATGTTGAGGGTGAGGCTTACTCTATGTCTAGTTTCCGCAGCCCCTACATAGCCTGAATCCTCGACTTTTCCCGACTCTATAAACGCTTGATCTTCCATACCTTCGTGTTGAATCGCTCCCATCATCCGGGTGGCCCCTGAATACATTGAATGTACATATGGTACACCCCCGCGGATGCAGCAAGACGAAGCATAATGTGAGTGATCATGTACTAATAATCACCGCCGGGTGGACTTCAATCCTGGGACAACAAGAACGCTGTTGTGTTCTTGTACGCACATATGTAAAGTGCGTATAGGTACCTACCTCATGTATGAAGGTACATAGTACCTAAACCATGAGGTGGCATGTTGTTTCTACTCCAGCTTACCTACACAGTGCCGATACAGTCAGGGTCGCAAGGGCCGCACAGTTCCTCTGACGGTGAGGGGAGCTGCACCTAAAATAGCTGATGATCAGTGAGTACCGCATGTCCCATTGGCTGTGTCTATTTACCAGGGACATGGCGCGAGACTTCAGTGTTGACTGCAGTTGATGAAAGTGACCCGCAGCCTGGAACCCGAACGATTCAACGAAATCTAGATCTTTTTGTGCCATTCACCCTCTGTACAAACGACAAAAAGCGCTGCGTGCCAAATCCGGGTAGTGTGGAGGAGTTGGCTCCGAAATCCCTAATCCCCTTGGACCTTGCACCCTCGATTGTGCCAGCGTGTACCAGCACGTACTGTGTACGGCATTGTTCGTGGGATCTTGCTCGTAATCGCCACAAGCCCAACCCACCGACGTGTCTCCTGGGAGGACTCGATCTTGACTGCTACAACCGCCCTGCCGCAAATTCTGCCCATCATGGCGTCAAAGGCCATGTGGGAGATCGATCCCGACACTCGCGCAAAGGTATGCACTGCCCCTATCAGTTGCCGGCGCCAGCTTTCCCGTCTGCTCTGTCGAGTCTGGAAGCTTTGTCTCCGCCAACCAACCGCTGACTGAAATTCCAACGAGTCCAGCTCCTCGCGATCCAGAAAACGAATAACAACAACAACTGCTGCGACTGCAACGCCCCGAACCCGCAATGGGCGTCCCCGAAGTTCGGCGTCTTCATCTGCCTCTCGTGCGCCGGCGTCCACCGCGGCCTCGGCGTCCACATCTCCTTCGTCCGCTCCGTCACCATGGACGCCTTCAAGCAGGCCGAGATCGAGCGCATGCGGCTGGGCGGCAACGCCGGGTGGCGCGCCTTCTTCGAGGACCACGAGGACACCAAGATGCGCGGCCTGAGCTGGGACGACGCCACCATCGCCGAACGGTACAGCGGCGAGGTCGGCGAGGAGTGGAAGGAGAGGCTGAGCGCCAAGGTCGAGGGCAAGGAATACGTGCCCGGCGAGCGCAAGTCCAGCAGCACGCCGCAGCCCACCGCGAGCAGCATTTCCGTGAAGCCGCCCTCGAGGCAGATTAGTAGATCTGGGACCCCGCTGAGCGGCAGCCGGACAGAGAGCCCGCCCGCCTTTGGGTCCGCCAGTGGTGGCAAGGCTAAGGTCGACGACAGATACTTTGCGCGCCTGGGCGAGGAGAACGCCTCGCGGCCGGCCGAATTGCCACCTAGTCAGGGAGGCAAGTACGCCGGCTTCGGTAACACGCCCGGGCCGGCGACGGGCTCAGGTAGCGGTGGGGGAGCGCCCGACTTCTCGGAACTGCAGAAGGACCCCGTGGCCGCGCTGACCAAGGGCTTTGGCTGGTTCACGACTACGGTGGGCAAGACGGCCAAGGGCATCAACAACGACTTCATTCAGCCTACGGCGAAGCAGGTGGGTTCTACTGTGCATGACTAAACGAATATCTCATCTTATTCGCTCCGTGACTTGAAGATCCTCTCTTCTAATACTTGGTAAACCCAGATCTCGGCATCCGACTTCGCGGCACAGGCCCGCATGGCGGCCGGCAACGTGGGCAAGGTGGCGCAGGCCGGGGCCGTGGGCGCGCAGGAGCGGTTCACGCGGTTCGTCGAGGGCCCGGACGGCACGACGCGCCAGCAGCAGCAGAAGTCGCCCGTCGACGAGACCAAGAAGGACTTCTGGGACGACTTCTCGGCCGTGGCGGACCAGAGGCACGGCACGGGGCCCCAGTACAGCTCCATCGGCACGTCGGCCATGGGCAGGGCGCCGGCCAAGAACAGCAACGCGGCGGCGCCGGCGGCGAATAAGAAGAAGGACGATGATGCGTGGGATGATTGGTGAAGATCTGGGCTGGAATGCTGAAATAACGGGTTCTTTGGGGGTGTAGGGGGTAAAAGGAAGATGCGAGAGCCGGGGAAGAAGAGGCTGGGAATCGACGACGATGAAGACGAAGACGACGCATTTACAATCTGGTGGTTGGAACCGGATACGTGACATGTTTGTTGTATGACTAGATGGCTGGGAGTCCTGGGTAGCGTATATACAATTCAGTTAAGAAGACCTCGGGAAAGCATCGAAGAAGCAAGTAGGAAAGCAAGCAAGCTGAGACCGCTCACTTTGGTTATTTCACCACTTGGAAAACCCATTCTGTACGGGGTTCATGGTCACGTCTGTCTAGGCTCCCCCGGATTATTCTCAGAAGATGAATCTGGGGGACCCAGTCAGACCAGAGCACTGCTATTCACCAGAGCACTGCTATCCCAATTTATTTTGTCAAGTGTGAACACAACGAAAGGGGGTGGCGGATTATAGGGAGTTGGTTCCGGGTGTTTCGTTTTGGCTCGGACCTACGGCCTTCAAGTCACGGCCTTGTGGCCATGTACAGCAAGGTCCAGCTTCGAGCCAGCTCCCTGATCACTGGAACTGTTACAATGCCAACAAGTTCATCATCTTCTCGTTGTCTCTGCGAAGGTTGACACCGTACCAGCCAATTATCGTGGTATGCTAAGTGGAGACCTGCAGGGGCCGAGGTCGACAGCCGGCTAGCGCCGGTTTCGCTTCGCTTTTTGCAGCGTCATGGAACTGGACCGAGCTCGGTATAAGCACATGCAACCAACACCACCACCTCTGCCGCTCTACTACTGCCCGTTGCCGACATAGCACAAGGAGTCGCCCTCTTTCGCCATGTCTGCCCTACGGATCCTCGTACCCATCAAGCGGGTGATAGACTATGCGGTAAGCCCCTCTAGAATTCGCGATTGAAACCTTGCGCTTTTATTTCAACGAGTGAAGCCAATCAGCGGCTGACCAGCGAGACGGCAACGGAAACAGGTCAAGCCCCGCGTCAACAAAGCCCAGACGGGCGTCGATACGGCAGGCGTCAAGCACTCGATGAACCCGTTCGACGAGCTCTCAGTCGAGGAGTCGGTGCGGATCCGCGAGAAGAAGTCGCACCCGGCGGGCGTCGACGATATCTGCGTGGTATCGGCGGGCCCGCCCAAATCCGACGCCATCCTGCGCACCGCCATGGCCATGGGCGCCGACCGCGGGATCCTCGTCGACGTGAAGGAGGGGGAGGAGCTGGAACCGCTCGCCGTGGCGAAGCTGCTGCGCGCCGTCGTGGATCGGGAGAAGAGTAATCTGGTTATTTTGGGCAAGCAGAGTATTGATGATGATGCGGCGCAGACGGGCCAGATGCTTGCTGGGTTGCTCGGGTGGCCGCAGGCGACGCAGGCCAGCGAGGTGAAGTTTGGGGATGAGGGGACGAGTGTTGAGGTTACGAAGGAGGTCGATGGCGGCGTGGAGACGGTTAGGGCGAAGTTGCCGATGGTTATTACGACGGATTTGAGGCTGAATGAGCCGCGCTATGCGAGCTTGCCGAATATCATGAAGGCTAAGAAGAAGCCGCTGGTCAAGATGAGCTTGAGCGATTTGGGGGTTGCGAATGAGCGAAGGTTGAAGATCGTTAAGGTTACGGGTAAGTCGTTCTTGAAAATATTGGGGAGGCTGTGGTTCGGACTGGACTTGTAATGCTGACTGACTTGGTGCGCAGAACCGGCTCCGAGACAGGGCGGTGGCAAGGTCGAGGATGTGGATGGGCTTGTTTCGAAGTTGAAGGAGTTGGGTGCGATATAACATACGAATATGCGGCAGCTTCGGGTCGAGGCTTTTAGTCTTGTTGCGTGATGAAGACGTGCTCTGGACTTGAGATGCAGCTGTGAGAGGCTGTCACGAGGTCATTGGTACATATGATCATTATGAGCTGTACTTTTAGAGATCAGAGGTGACCCGGATCGAAGTCTGAAGGCAAGACAGTTCTGGAGACCCAACTGTTGTCTTTCTTATCAATAGGCTCGTGAGCTACGGAGAAAATTACAGTATCACGATACTGAGATCACTTTAGGCGGAGGACGGCACAAGAGATGATGGTGAGCTATGTTCTATGTCGTGAAAAGGGGGGATTCAGCTGAGAGCAGGCCTGGGAGTGATGGAAGAGTGTAGGCTATAGGACTTGTATAGGCCTCGAATAAAAAAAAGTTTGCAGCGGCTCAAGCCATGTCAAAGAGTTCATATATACCTGTGTGGGCCTCTTATTGGAATGGATTACGATCCATAGATGACGGCCTTTTCGCCCAACACACTTTGCTGTAAACTCTTCTGCAAAGATGTTGGATACCAACTGGAGGGCTTCCCGTCAAACCCCAAGCTCATTGTGCTCTCTCGTCTGATGTAGTCGACATACCTATGGAAAAGCACCCCTTCAAAGCAACAACCACATTCCTTCTCAGTCCAGCTGTGCAAATACCCAGCACTCAGGAATACTTGAGATGGGATAGTGCAGCAAACTTTGCGCATATCTGACAGGCAGCAGGTGCGAGAGCATCCGTCAAGTCTGACGTCTGGTTTGGTTGCAACGTAACCCCCAATATATAATTTCGTATGCATGTGCAGCCGCCGATGGTACCGTACCGGCTCCCACAGCCTTGGGTATCTCATGGCAAACGACTACGAAGTCTCCGGGCCAAAGCAGCAAACGTGTACAGCTATGCTAAGCTGTCTCGAGTCAACTGTCTATCATGAAAAGCGGTGACTAAATAGCTTGAACATCCGTATCTCCCCGGACTAGCACAGGTACGGCATCCGGACATCGTCTAGATTCGCCTCAAGGTGGTTTGGGCCGCTTTCGGACTGGACCTTGAGAGGAATGGATCTGAAGATACCTTATTAGCCAGCACAGTGGTTCCGAAATAGTGCGGCTCTGATTGGCTGGTGGCTGACTGACGCCCTGTGAGCATTGCATAAGCGGGGCTGCCTGCCCTGAGAATTTTCCCAAGGACGCACCCCAGGCCATGAGTCGAATGGTGAGTGGTCAATTCGACCCCCGCCAGACCAGGAGATCCGTCACTTTTTTCCTTGCCTCAAAAATCCACAGGATTCCCCATCTGCCAGTTCTTTATCTACCGTAGCCCAGGAACCACAGAACCCTCCGACTTTCTCACCGTCTTCCTACAGCAACCATCTCGACTTCTCCCACCGATTCTGGTTTGAATCAGCACCGTTTTCCTTATGAACGGGCGCTCGTCAGTCTTCACATCACAGGTACGTATCCAATTGCTGCAACGTCGCGTTTCTTTCTGTTCGGTGTCTGGTGGCTGTCGCGGGAGCAATGACCTCACACTTCACTTCCCCCTGTACTCCTGTCACCAGTATCCCCCCTCGTCGTGGCATGCGATCGCTGGCATCATGCTTCGTCCTCCTTGCTATCGAGCTCGTCACCCTTGACACTCTCTTGCTCGACCTCGCCTTAGTCATGGCTCTTGCTAACAGCTTATCTCTGCAGGATTATATCTCTGGTCCGTTCTGATGCTCCACGACCTGACTCACCGCCTGAACACTAACACAACATAGACCACTTGTGGCGGTCTCTCTCCGCTTAAGGGGGCCATTGAATAGTCTACAGCTATATTCCAACCTCACAACCTCCCTGAACATCATGTTGTCACGACTGGCCGTCAAGGCTGCGAAGCCCACAGCCTTCGGTGCCGCTGTTGGGTTCAAGCCCCAGATCCGATTCCTCTCCTCAACTGCCACCCTGGCTTCACAGACGAGCCCGGGTAGCAAGGGCAGACAGATGCCCTCGACCAAATCTCGAGCCACCGCACCCGCCTCTGGCATCGGAGCCACCCTTACCATCCGTGTATGTCGCTACAGCGTCTGACCTCATCGCCGGTTGTATACTGACTTGAAGTCAAGGATGGCCCGATCTTCCAAGGAACTGCTTTCGGCGCGAACCTGAACATTTCGGGTGAAGCAGTCTTCACTACATCGCTTGTTGGCTACCCGGAGTCAATGACCGACCCTTCATACCGCGGCCAGATTCTGGTCTTCACCCAACCCTTGATCGGCAACTACGGCGTTCCCTCTGCTCAGCGTGACGAGTGGAACCTGTTGCGACACTTCGAGTCCCCTCATATTCAGTGTGCTGGTGTCGTAGTGGCCGACGTCGCCGAGCAGTATAGTCATTGGACTGCTGTAGAGGGCTTGGGAGAATGGTGTGCCCGCGAAGGCATTCCTGCCATCTCGGGTGTGGACACGCGTGCTATCGTCACGCACCTCCGAGAGCAGGGATCTTCTCTCGCCAGAATATCCGTTGGGGATGAATACGACGCAGACGAGGACGAGGGCTTCGTCGACCCGGGCCAGATCAACCTGGTCAAGAGGGTCAGCACCAAAGCTCCCTTCGTGGTCGAGGCTCACAACCCCAAGTACCACATTGCCTTGATCGATTGCGGTGTGAAGGAGAACATCCTCCGAAGCTTGGTGAGCCGTGGCGCCAGTGTGACTGTGTTCCCTTACGACTTCAAGATTCAGAAGGTGGCCGAGAACTACGATGGTGTCTTCATCTCGAACGGTCCTGGTGACCCGACCCATTGCCAGGCCACCGTCCACAACCTGAAGATGTTGATGGAGACATCTCAGGTGCCGGTCATGGGTATTTGTCTGGGCCACCAGCTTCTTGCTCTGGCCGTCGGAGCTCGCACCATCAAGCTCAAGTACGGAAACCGGGCACACAACATCCCGGCGCTGGATATGACGACTGGTCAATGCCATATTACCAGCCAGAACCACGGTTATGCTGTTGACTCTAGCACTCTGCCAAGTGACTGGAAGGAGTACTTTGTCAACCTGAACGATGGCAGCAATGAGGGTAAGTGTCATGATATCTGTTGTTCTGGGGATTCTCAGCTTACATAATGCTAGGTATGCGCCACACTTCCCGCCCGATCTTCTCTACCCAATTCCACCCCGAAGCCAGAGGTGGCCCGATGGACAGCTCCTATCTGTTTGACAAGTACATTGAGGATGTCACGGCTTTCAAGTCGTGCCAGTCGGTATACAAGGACAACCGGCCATCCCAGTTCATGCTCGACATTCTGAGTAAAGAACGCGTGGGCGTGCAGCCGGAGAAGTTGGCCACTGCTGCCTAAGGTGATCTCGTTGCAATTGTGTCAATTTTGGCGAATGGGAATAGCTGGAGAAAATGTTTATGGCCCACAACGTGATGATTAGCAGGTTAGATAAACACTTGTTCGGCTGAATTCATGCATACTACACATGGGGTCATCCCTGACCCTAGAATCTTATTGCCCTTCTACTCCAGACGTGTGTGAGGGTATGCCATGTGTGATGATGGCGGTATGAACCAACCGCGCCACCCAAAATCAATAAGCGCCACTATGCAGCCAAAGGTAAGGTACCCTTGTGCTCTTTCCTTCAAAGTGTAATTGCAAGAAATAGAACTGATCGTGATGAGTCAGATATATGAAGCAAGAGGTATGGTCATCGGGGATCTCCAAATACATGTACATTTCTACCAGACTCGCCAAACACACGTGGGCTTCAGAGTCAACTCTTCGGCCATATGTATTGTCGGTTTCCTATCAGATACCGAGTCCAATCAATCATATTACAAGTGCTCGTTGACAACAGCTTTCTATAAGTTGGGCGAAAGCTGCCACCCGGGTCCATTAGTTCCAACAACCAACCGTCGCGACGCCATACAATGCAACTGGGGAGCAGCAAGCACCATAGACATACGGAGAAAGGCTGCTAGCTATGCATACTGGACAGAAACCGGTAGTTACCGTCCCTATTTGGACCAACGGTACCTTGATGCTCTGAAGCCTTGTACATCACCCCTGAGTGATTGGAGGCCAGGCCATACACCCACCCGGCAATGAGTGCGAGAATACGTTGACATGTACTGCAGTGGCCTTCCTTTCAATGTTGTTCAGGGCTCGAGCAAGCGCTTCGGCCTGTCTGTTCTTTCCTGAAGGTGTGACGCTTTGCTCAATTAAGGTAGGTACCCTTTGAGCGTACCTGCCTGCCTGGCACCATGAACGAAGTGGCATTCGGTTTCCGACGATGAGGAAGGCGCCCGGGCAGGTCGTTGCGAATAGTTAGCTAAAGTATGCATTGGTAGAAGCAGCGAGTCGGCGATTGCTCCACCTACCTAGGTTGTCTCTTGCTGTCAGAACCTTGGAAGGGCTGCTTACGGAGGGTGGTGGTGCGAGTTCTTGTTCCCACCACTTGCTTGCCTGAGGTGGGCATTGGAGTGGAGAGCTTGCACCCAAAACACATACAGCAGACCACACTTAATACTCGACACTGACATATATCAATTTGTCGTCGCTCGTCGGAGTATTCTTGTGTTCTTGTCGGATTGCTCACTGCTAGACTTACTGGCATACTGGCATACTTCCACTACGGGTCCGATGGAGGTCGAAATTTCATCATTGCCATCGTCAGTGCTTTCTGTCCCGGAAACAAGGCATTGGCATTGGGGAACTGCTTGGAACTATGAGGCTCGCCGGCAAGTCTTTCTCGTACCAGATCATCACCACGGCATGGATGGGCTCCTTGGCTAATGACTTATTGATCCTCAACCCAGCAGATTGAAAGATGGCATCGATCTGTCTTTCTAGTATTTCCCACAACCTTGAGCAATGTGGCGATTACCGTCTGTTGGGGCCAGGGCCAGGAACAGGGCCAGGTTGCCGAGTTCCCGCTGACGCCTCTTGGTCATTCGGCGTACTACTGGTGAGCGCATTCCCATTCACTGCATGTTTGTCAGCGACATGGGAAGCCTCCCTCTTCGCCGGCGCGGCCTTGACGTCTTCGACGGTAGGGAGCCGTATGTCGTCCCTGCGAGCACTCATCAGTGTCTGGCCCGCGAAAGCACGGGAGCACACGGCTGCTGGGGTACTTACAGTCTCGCCTTCTTCTCCACGTCCGTCGTTAGCTCCAGCAAAAGAGACTTTTGGAGCTGGAGTTGGCGGACAACCTTGACGGCGTGAAACCCAAAGAAGCTTCCTCCCGCGTAGCCGAGATCGAGCAGCAACGCCTGAACGGCCTCCGTGTCGTCAACATAGTAACGTCCACATCGCTGCCAAAGCCACTTACGGGAAATGTGCCCCATTGCGCCGTCAGCATCGCTCTCGGGTAGCTCAGGTGTGGCATGGCGGGTGAACATGGTGGACTTTGGCCGCGGATGGTATGTCACAAGATGTGGGAAGGGATAATAAACACCAAACCAAGGAGTAGCGGGCCCGTGGTCCAGTACGGAGGAAGACAGAGGGGGAAGAAGGGAAAGCGGCGGATATGGCAGTAGGTGAGAAGTACGCTGCTTGATATACAGCCTGGAGCAAACGGAATGTCTCAACCCCCCTTCCCTTGAAACATGTAGCCGCGTTGATTTCTTTGTTCTGACTTCTGCGTTTGCGGTGAGGGTCGCCTTGCGGTTCGCTGCTCGTTTTTCAGGGGTAAGCATGTACACAGTATGTGAGAGTACCAGATGATCAGGCTCTCTCTCAAGTCCGTGCCTGCCCGTAGCCGATCTACGCTTTAGAGATGATAGAGGCAATGTGTACCCGTTACACTGAACCCTCATAAGTCTCCGTACACCACCCGTCCAGCAAACAACGATAACTTTATCAAATCGGAATAAGCACCATGTAATAAGCAATGGAAAGAACATATGAAGCTAGAGCTGCTTATTCCTATATGCTTATTCCAATGTTTCTAACTATCTTACTGGTAATGGAGTCTTGCCAACATGGCGCGTACGGAGACTTCTGAGGGCCGAGTGTATGTCTGCTGGACGATGATCTACGAGAGAGCCCCCTGCCTATCGAGCACACTGAGATGCCCAAGGGAAGCTCCGAAAGCAGCCCAGGGTGTAGGACACCAAGATTGTATTTCAATGATGAGTCTACGCATCGCGAAACCCAGACACTGGGACCAGAGAGCAACTGGATCCTGATGAGTTACAGAAGCAATACATATGTCACAAAGAACAGCCAACAGTTGACTGTAGTATCGGGGATAACCCCTGAGAGTGTCTGCTACATAGGGGGCAGCTAGCAGCCCTCCGATGAACCTACAAGGACCATCTTAGATCACAAGGGAAAGGATCAATGAAGATGGCAGCCGCCACATCGTGACGCCGTCTCTTTGACAAGACACCCTATATGGATAGTGAACACATTCCGTAAAAGGGCCTCCGTCCCACAGTGTCTTTCCCTCTCAACGCCTACTAACTCTCGCACCATCTTCCGTTTTGGACGCCCAGAAGAGATGTTATTATCTCAAGGCACCCCTGCATGTACTCGTCTACATCCCTACAGCCCATCTGTCAGTTGCGGTACGTGGAAGCGGTGTGTGGATAGATAGCTTGATCCTACTATGTGTCACTCACTTCGTAGCAACCAGTCCAGCGGAGCTGTAGAGGCCTCTGTTTCATTTAAGCTGGCCGTATGGCGCAATGGTCAAATGCGCCTGGTTGTGTTCTCGTTGTGCGGTGGGCGACGAGAACAAGTGGGTTCGAATCCTGCTATGGCCCCCTTTCTGACCCGGCTTGTGCGAGTCGATAACCAGCACACGACAGTGGAGAGGCCCCATTTTATCGCAGAGCCCGATAGCCAAGCAGCTTGTCTCCACAATACCCACTCCTGCGAGGTTTTCCCCCTTGTGGTTTCCCTCGCCAGCAGATAACAAACACCTATTCCACCCACCAATGCGACATATATCGAACGGCTACTGGAACGTTATGTACACCAGAGAACTGAGGTTCACTGGGTCGCTTTGTCACTAGATAGGAGGTTTTTCTGACGGAATTGTGCTTGGGTATTGACTAAAACCATCTGAACACTCCAGATTGGTACCGCTACAGCGAGGATAGGCTCGTGCGCGGATCTGAATGTATCTAATTTGACACCTCTACAACCTTGCGATGCAATGGCTCTGGGAGGCGTGGTTTGCACTACTGAGGAGCTACCCCCCACGTTAAATACAAAACAAACAAACATGTTTCATTTAAGCTGGCACTGTGTCTTGTCACTGTCGATATGATCTGTCGTACTGACCATTTTGTGAGCAGATAAGTTAGTGGGATATACATACGACATGTTCATTTCATTGCGTGTGCTTGAAATGACTGGCTGATGTTGTACTTATGCCACCACAATTATAGTCTGGAAATTGACTGGCAACTGATACCCTTTACAGTGAAGCACGGCTCATCGTATGTGTTAGTAGCCTTGGTACATCGTAACCCCTATGCTGAGCCCTTTCATGTCGTAGCGTATCGTATGTATGATCCCTTTCGCTTCAAAGTTGGTTCTACTTGGTACGGAGAAACGTTAGCAAGGAGGAGTGAAACCCTGGCATGAGGGTCTGGGGTGGGTTTCTTGACACCCTGGTTCATGAGATGCATAAGCGGATGACCGGGGGTGTGTGGGAAAATAGGATCTGAAACATCGCATTGCTTCCCTTACCCTCAGGTAACACAATAAAAACAGATGACATGGTCGAAAGACTTCCTAGATATGTCGCCTCCAACTACGGCACAAGATACGGATAAGCGGTGCGCCGCGTGCCTATTCCGACTACAGCACGAGGTACAGAGCCTGAAGGAGGACACGAGCTTCTCAGGGGATTTCGAGCCAAAGGATGTCAAGGACTACGAACACTGTGTAGACATTGAACTACTCGAAAGATCGTCAAAGCGAGGATGTCATATGTGTACACACATCAAGACGACGTTGGTCGACCATTACGGAGAGGGGCAGGTGGACGACATCAATTGGGAGCGAGGCGGTTTCTTTGTTGGGCCTACGATGGAGCCTTGGGATGCGTTCATGCTCGCCGACGATGACAGCCGTGACGGCGAAGAGTTCCATGGGAAAGGGGAAGCAGCGCAGGATCAAACTGTCCTCCACCCCTTTCTCGGGCGGTTCAGCCATCCTAGTGGTGACACGTCGAGCGCGAAAGCTCTGGGCCGCTTCCAGGGATGGCTCTCACGATGCCTAGAGGAGCACACGCACTGCGGCGGCTCGGACGAGAAGCCGATGCCCCATCGTGTGGTGGAAATCCTGGACTACGAGACCGCCCAGGTGCGGCTTGTCGACACGCGAGGGACGCATGGCAAATATGCCTGCCTTAGCCACCGGTGGTGCCCGGAGACAATGCCGGCCTCGCTCACCACCAGGAGGCGCCTTGTGTTTGAAGACCAGATCCCCGAGAGCTCGCTCTACCCGTTGCTCCGGGAGGCCATCGCCGTGGCGGGCCAGGCGGGCATGCGGTTCATATGGATCGACTGCTTGTGTATAATCCAGGACGACCCGCACGACTGGGCGGTCGAGGCTAGCACGATGGCGTCCATCTACGACAACGCATTCCTGACCATCGCTTCGACGGGCTGCGAGAGCGGCAGCGGGCTCTTCGCGAAGGATACGCCGTACGACGCTACCGAGATCCCAGTGACCCCCGAAGCATCCATGTGCATCCGGCCGGTCCTCAATCACCCCCTATGGAGGACCAAGCACCGGGCCATCGAGATCTCGATCGACGAGACGGCCTACCCCCTCGTGAACCGCGGCTGGGTGTACCAGGAGCGCGCGCTGTCGAAACGGACCATCCACTTCACTCGGACGGAGCTCGTCTGGGGCTGCGTGCAGGACACCTGGTGCGAGTGCCGCAGCACATACCCGCTCCGTCCCGACCAGCGTGCCGACCCCAGCACCAGAACTGCTGCCATCGTGCCAAGCCACCATCCCCAGGATGCCGCAGAGACGTCCTGGGACAAGATAGTGGCACGGTATACACAGATGGACCTCTCCTTCGCCGAGGACCGCCTCCCCGCCCTAGGCGCCATGGCGAGGCGGTACGCCAAGTACCACAGCCTAAACTACGTTGCCGGGCTCTGGCGAGAGACCCTGGCTCGCGACCTCTCCTCCTGGCGCCTGAATCGCCATGGTGGTACCGTCGTCCGGCCCAGGCCGCGGCCGCTGCCTGCGCCCACCTGGTCGTGGTATGTACATTTTCGAGTCTTATTGCCCCCTCCGGCCGTGTCTCAGGGGCGAATTTCTTCTTTTATCCTGTGTTAAGAGCCTTTGCTCCCGAGACACGCATTTCGACTCTTTGTTTCTCGTCGCAAAGGAGTAATTACCTAAATGACTCTAATCTGTTACCAGGGCGTCGGTCGCGGGCCACGTGGCGCTCGACTCGGACGCTGAGGCGGAGGCGCCGGGTGAGTTCCTCGATATTGTCGGCCACGAGGTCGAGCCTGTCGACGGGGGCGACGTGTACGGCCGGCTGCGAGTCGCGCGGCTCGCTGTCGTCGGGCCCGTGGTAATCGGCGTGCTCGCCGAGGCACCGCCGCACGCGACGGGCGGACCGGGTCCGGGGAACAGTCTCGCCCCCGAGGCGCCGAATCAGGGCTTCATGCGGGTTGGGGATGAGGTTTTGACGTTCCGCGCTGACTATGACTTCACTGCGCCGGGCCCGGACCGGCTGGAGACCGGGATGGAGGTAGGCTTTCTGCTCTGCCATCGGTGGAGGTGCGCTCATGGTCTTGTGTTGCGGTGCGTGGACGGGGAGCGGGAGGGAGCGGTGTACGAGAGGATTGGGACTACGGGGCAGCTGATGTATAACGAGCATTTTGGGATACGCACGCCGGACGTGCCGTGGTGTCTTGAGCGGGCGGAGAGGATTCGCATTACGTTGGTATGAAGAATGTAGGTACAACGTAAGAGGATAGCTTTGATTGGCCTCTGCCATACCCGGATCTCTCTTAGAAGGTGCCACCAGACCCGTCAACCGGGTCTCTGATGCCGTTGTAGCGGCTTCCAAGGCTCATGGCGGACTGTTGATAGACGGCGTTATTCAATATCGCCAGCTTCGCGTCCTTGTCGCTCTGCTGCAACGTGGCGTTCCCATTGACGGTGTCCGTGTACGTCTGGCGGCAGTCGTACATCCACTTCTGCATCTTGCGCTCCGAATCAGCGAGGAAGTGGTTCATGAACTCGGTGTAGGTCGTCGTCCACCCGTTGAGCTTGGCATCGTTCGCGTAGTCCATGATCCTCTGCGGGGGGTACTGGATGCCGAGCCTGTCTGCATCTAGTGCTTGCCTGGTAGATTGTTCTGTGAGCGACATGTTGGAGTGTCGGGCTGGGGGCGAGGGACGCGGGAAAGGGGCTGGTGGAAATGGTGACTTACACGATGGCTTTCATACGCTCGTTCACTACATTGAAGGCATCGAAGACCTCCTCCCGCTGCATGTACTGGAAGGCCAACGAGGCGGCAATCATCATCTGCTGCTGTTCGTCAGATTTCTTCGCGGCGCTGCAACTGGGCAGCTTGTCGCTGTTCTCGTTGGCAAACGTTTCGTCGTCGTAGTATCCAGTCAAGATCTGCAGAAATGATGAGTTATTCGTTCACCCCGCAGAAAATCAGGCAAGCTGTTTCTGGACACTGACTTGGTTCTTAATCTTGTTGATCTTGTCCCGAAGCAGAAAGAACTCGCTGAGACGGCTGCCGTCCGAGGCTGGACATGGAGATCTCCCACTACATGAGATGGCAGCTCCGAGTTGCTGGGCAGCTGTCTGATACTGGAACTGGGAGCCTTGCCCTCCCACCGTGTTGAAGGCTGCTTGGACACGGTCACAGCTGGCGACTGCCCTGTCATTGCCATCTTCGTTGTCGAAGGCCTGCTGGCCGCTGAGAAGATAATAGAAGAAACGTTTGACCATGTGCTTCTCCCAGACGTGCTCAGCTGTTACGAGGTTAGTACCGGCCGATCGGGTCATTTGTAGCCACCACAAGAGTAAGCCTGAACTTACTATTCCACTTGCTGCCCGACGGAGGCGATGTAAAATGACTGAGGGTAGGGTTGTCACAGCTGACCGACTTGTCTTCGTCGTACCATTTCTGAACAGCAGCGCTTTTTGCTGCAGAAGCAGCCGCTGGGTAATTCGGCAGCGTGTAAGAGATAGGGCAGCCTCCAACCTCCGTGACCACTTCCTTGGCGCGTCTCTCGAGCGTCGTAGCCTTGACGGGAGGGGTCTTCGTAGCTTTGACGGGAGAGGAGTAACGATCACCCCTTTTACAGGTGGTGCCACCGCAGTTGGCGTTGCACCAGTCTGGGTTGGGCACCGCACCGCAACAGTCCGTATCACAGCTCAAACCCTCGGTTGGGGGCTCCAGGAAACTCCCGATGGGGGAGTGTTTCTCATTCTGGTCGTACAGAGCTCGCACGCCGCCCTCGTAGTATTGATAGACATGATCGCCGTTCCTGCGATGGGGGGTCAGTTTCAGTCCAGTCAGGAAGAGCCGGCGCGGGAATGCTCACCACCAGCCGTGCTTCGGCTTGTTGTTCACACACTTGGTGATGATGCTGCTCGTGCTATCCCAGCATTCCTGCCAAAGGGTGTTGTAGTCGCTGGCGCCGCTGGTGGGCCATATCGAGCGGTAGAAGTAGACTTCAATCTCGTTGGTCACGCCAATAGCCACTTCGCATTCCTGGCCGTTATTGTAGATGCCGACGTACTTCGAATCGATGCCGTCCGGCGCTGTGCAAGAACCATCACACACAACTTCGCGAAGGCGATACAACAAGTCGTCGATGGAGTTGTCCTTGCCGTCCGGTGTGCGGATTGTGGAACTGAACATATTGCTGAAGTCTTTTTGGACGTCTGCGTCTGCGTCCTGGCAGCCGGGATCGTCGATTGGCGACGCCGTCTGGGTAGGGGTGTCCGCCACTGTAGTCTGCGTAGATGAGGATGTCGTCGAAGTCGTCAGCGCATCAAGGGACGCCCAGATAGCCGTGTCGACGTCCGGGAGATCTGGGTCGCCGTCGTTGGGGACTTCTGGGAGGATGTCATCTGTTAGCACTTCGAGACCGACGCAGCTTGAGCAGGATGAGCACGACGAGGTAGAAGTAGTCGTTGTCGAAGAGCCATCACTGCTGATTGTCTCGGCGTCCCCGTCCGAGTTGATGATAATGGCCGGATAGCCCGGTGGAGGGGGCACGATGCCACCAGCAACGACGTCGGAACCTGGGATGAGCAAAATCCCGACGCCAGCGCTGACGTACCAGATAGGCAGGATAGTTGGTCCATCGTTCAGCGTCGTGGTCGTCACGGAGTTCGAGGTCAGGCCGTCTATACTCTCGGTGGTGGTCGAGAAGGTCCCAGATTCGGTCGATGTTTGCGGTCCAGGTGTGATTGGACCCGTGTCGGCCGTTGTGGTTGTTGCGCTGGAGTCGGTGGAGGTGGTGGAGGTGGCGGAGGTGGCGGAGGTGGTGCTCGAGCTGTCCGAAGAAGGTCCTCCATCGTCTGTTGAAAGAAGAGGGTTGTCTGGATAGACGGTGTTCGAGATGCTGTATATTTCACCATTCAGGCTCCTGTTGGAAATTTTGAGTCAGTGGTTGACCCATCAAGACGTTCTGACGAGAAACAAGGAGTCGTAATGCGTGTCTCGGGAGCGAGGGCTCTTGACACGGGCTACAAGAGGAAATTCGCCCCCGAGACTGACCGTAATAAGAGACTCTGAAATGCACATACCATGTACCTCCCCAGTAATTGCCCCCAGTTACACATTGGTCGATAATGTTGCTGAAGGCCTCTTGACAGTATCTCACCTGCGTGTACGTTAGCATGCCGTCTTGAAACCCGGATAGCAGATCTCTAGATGAAGAAGGAAGGGGGGCACAAAGGCTTGTTCTCGAAACCAAGGCGCAGGGTCTTATGATGGATGTTTCAATACGTACAGCGACTGTGCTATCAGTGCGCTTTATCTCAAACTGGACAGCTGTTATGTGGTCAGCGATGGTGCAGGCCAGAGGTTGCTACCGCGTCACAACTCACATCCATGGCTGAAGCTGTTTTCAAGCTGGTTCGAACTGCCGGTCAAAAAAGTGCCACCGCAGATCGTGTCAAGATTATCATTGGACGTCAAGGCTGTCTGGATTTGGGAACCGCTAGGAGTTGAGTCCTGACGCTCTTGGTCAGTGTTGCAGTCCGCAGCGAATGCGGTGCCACCGAGGGCGAGGAACGTGAGCACCAAAGGTAACATAGTAACTGAGGCCCGAATGAACGGGGCTGTCGTACTCAGCCTGTAGACTTATGATGTGAGAGGCTTGAGTAAGCTCGAGGCAGTCCGAGGAGGAATCGCTCATGTTATATATAGGGAACCTACATTCTTAGGGCTGGTAGGGCTGCCAGAGTACCTAGGTAACACCTTGATGTGAGCCCTCAGCCCTGCCAGTCATAGCACTCCATCCAGACGATGATCATCCTTGAGCCTCAAAGTGTAATAAGTCCGGATCGGCGCTTCAGGTTGTCATGTGATTCCAGAGCCCCCAATCCTTCGAATCAAGGACAGAGTCCCAAAGTGGAAATGTCAGGGGTCGCAAAGCACAAATGAAGACAATGGGGCCCAAAGTGGAATATCAGGGGCTGCAGGGTTCACAATGAATAATCCGAGACAATAAGGCTAGAGCAAAAGCAAGCGCCGACAGATCTCCGACCTGTTCCCATATATATCTCGGTGTGTGTCTACCCTACCGCACCTATGTGGGCCTACATCGTATAACTGCCTAATCATAATACTTCCAACCTGCGCTGCTGCCGCTCACACACTTCAGCTCCAGTGGAGGCTGTACAGGTCGCCAGCATTGAAGTAGTAGCGCGAACACTAGGCTAGGGGCCCTGGATAGGTATCGTGCCTGTAAGTTTCTATGCGAAGATACCTCTGTAGCCTGAGGCTGAGATCAATTTTATGAGGTGGAACAGTGATCAACAGTATATTCCCTCCAGATAGCTATGGCACCGTGATCAACAATATATTCGCACCAGATCTGGCAGAAGATATACCTGCTCTCCTCCATATGGGCTACAGAAGGCCAGTGCATTTGCTTAGCATTTGCTTACTAGACAATCCTCTAGTATACATGTAGCAAGCGTATCTTTTGCCCCAGTGGTAAGGGGACTCAGCCGCAAAACGGCAACCCTTAAATATGGTATCGCTGAAACAAGGAGGATACTAGCAGTAAGAATAGCTTTAACCGGACTCATGCATTAATACCTTACGTTTATTACGTGCTTATAAGTAAGAAATAAAGTCTTTACGACGTATATAAGCCAGACAAGTGTTAGATACTAGCACGAATGTGTTGAATGGAAGCCGGAGATAGACACCGGAAGATCTCCAGTGGGGCAGAGACGCACAAAGCATCTGACCCACCAAGAAGACAGATGATCAATATCTACACGCAGAGCAGAACAATCAATAGAATCAATCAACAGCCTTGTATTCAAAACTAATCGCGTGGTAATGTCGTGTTGCAATACTATAACGCGAAGTGGGTTTTGCCTTATAAAATGATGAACGGCGGGACCACCCAACTATCAACATTAATAGCAGAGATTGCTGTAAACTATCTTTTGATGTCTTGCTGAGCTTATTTAGGCCTGCCATGTCTTTTGGTACTTATAATGACTATATTAGACCTAATAATGCCCATCATAAACCCAGTCTCGTCAAAGCTATAAATATCCGCGTCTTAGATACCATGTTTTGCGATTGCTGCCATAACTTTACGAAACCACGCGCAATATGTGTCTGGATCTTCGTTTAAGACCTTTTGGTAGTCTATTTTCTGATAAAAATGCGTCAGAGGCCTGGTATACGTTTGATGAAGTTCCGCGTCCAGTTCTTTTTGACCCGCCCAGCCCCATGTGCTGCCAATAATTGATTCATTATATCTTTAATATAACTATATCAAGGTAGAAATGCTCACGTATCCAGGTCAAGAATAAAGAAAAGAATATCATTCTCTTCAAAACCGTAAAATTTAAGGAATTAAGCATGCTATTACATCGGGATAGTCAGCCGGCGATTTTAGCCTTTAAGATATTATATAGGACATGAAAAGTCTTAGAAAATTTGCTAATAGTAATATAAGGATCGTGTCGTTTAACTTGGACAACAAGCTATAAATCTGATTTGCTATAACGCAATGCCATTATTATTAGTTAATCAATTAAGAGCCTTGATTAAAAGGTTAGGCGGTTGGTAAAAAGTTGCCGTTTGATTATAATTGCCGCTCACTTGTCATCTACGTTAATTATTAATGGATAACTTAAATATAAAAAGTCGTAATATAGCCCGTTTTATTAAGTAATAATTTTAACTATAAAATAAGTTACTTTATAAATCAATAATATAAGTATTTACACATCTATTAATTAATATATAAGTAATAAAATAAAGCTTTTAACTTTTAAAAGCCTTTAAATCAAGCTTTACGTAATTATAGTAAAGATAATAAAACCAAAGCTTTTTTAATACTATATACAAAGTATTATATATTATTGTACCAATTAAATAAACTACTTTTTATATAAGCGGTAAAACTTAGCTTTTAGCCATTAAACGGTTTTAAATCGTATATAAAGCAGTGTTATCTTATTATAACACGTGTAAAAAAATATTCAAAAAGTTAATAAGCGATTAATTAAGAAATAAAATAATATTACAAAACGACTTCTTTATAAAGATTTAATGGTTAGTTTATAACGTGTTACTAAATTTTGAAAGTATCAAAAGGGCTAAAATAAACCAATATATTAAATTCACCTTTTTATAATTACTCATACAATGTGAAAATATTTACAAAATTATATTACAAAGAAAGATTAACGGTAGGAAAACTAAATAAGCTGATATTTAACAAATAAAGTCATAATTAAATAAATAGTTTAAATAATTAAATTGGATAAATTTAAATAAGATATAACTACTTTATAATGTTTGAAAGACTTAATATAAACTTAGTATAAAAAGCGGTTAAACAATAGTGCGGTGCGGTAATGGTTGCTCTGTCGCTATCATCGGTAATGGTCCTTGGATCACGTGACAGCACGTGACCTCCTGGATGACTGACTGTCCCAGACCTACTAGGGCTCTGAATTGTGGGGCAGATACACTTATCTAGTTGCCCACCAGATTTGGCTGTACCGCTCAATCTTCTTTTTCCTCTTCAGCCAGAGATTGTTGAATACTACCAGATGCAAGCAAGTTCAGATTATTCAGGTTAACCAGTGTCTACTGTTGTTGTTCTTGTTCTGCTGTTCTTCTTCAGCGTACAAAGATTGATCATCTGTCTTCTTGGTGGGTCAGATGCCCTGTGCGTCTCTGCCTCATTGGAGATCTTCCGGTGTCTATCTCCGGCTCTCATTCAACACACCCCCCTAGGAACAACTCCTTCCATTTGGGTTGTTCCTGAGCATTCAGTCTGTTGCTCTTCCTGTTCGAAGTCATCTTTAAGTTCTTGTAGCTTGCGGGCTGCAAGTCTCTCATGGATATCTGTCAACCTCACTTGCTCCCTGAATGTCTTAAACTTTGGTGCCGGCAGCGCCTTGGTCAGGCCATCTGCAAGCATCATTTTGCTCTGGACGTACTCAACGTCTATCTTCCCGTTGCGTTGAGCTTACCTTAGCCAGTGATTGTGGATATCGACGTGCTTGAGCTTTGTTTGAAGTGTTTAGAGGTCCTTCCGCACCAACTTGATGGTCTGTTGGTTGTTACACCAGATCCGGAGAGTTGGACAGTCTAAGGATACGCCAATTTCTCTAAGGAGCCGTGAGACAAATATCACTTCTTTGGCTGCTTGAGCAAGGGACAATAGTTCTATCTCTGTTGTTGAAGTTGTCACTGTGTCCTGTTTGTTTGCTCTCCAGCCAATGATGCCTCTAAATAACTTGAAGACATATGCTTGTGAGCTCTTTTGGTCAGATGGTCTCCTACCAGGGTGAGAGCCATAGGTTCTGTACTTGTTGTACTTGGCTTTGCTCACCGGCCTGCCATCTATCAAACCAACAAGATTGGCAACGCGTCCAGCATTGAACGCTGCTTCCCAATTCTCGTGGTGATTTCGTATAGCCTTGGCGTCCTCAGTTGAAGGTAACGAGCGGGTATCTAACCCTTCTTCTGCTCGCCGGGAGCACGATGCTCTGACCTGGCCCTCCACGAGGCTCTCTGATAGTAGCAGCCAGCAGTGCTACCGCTGGCGGAGGAGTGGGTTCTGGGGTTAGGTATGGCTCAAACACGGCAGATGTATAGGGGTGATCAGTCCCTTTGCTACTATTTGTGTTGGCTTTGTCCTGGGTATCTTCTGTACCATTACCACTCAGGTCCATCTCATCTCTGTCTGGGTGCTCCTGTATTAATCTGTTAAGATCTTTATCTTCCTGGTACACTGGAATGTCCTCTAGGATTTTTGATGGCACCTTGTGTTTACTTAGAAATAGTGTTAGTTGTTCCTTGCTGACATGCAGGAGGTCGTTCTTAAGGTCGCTCAAGTCTCCTTAGAACATCTTGTCCTTATCTGCTACCACATCACGCATAGCGTGGACCTTGCTGGTTAATGGGTTCCAGACCAGATAGATGTTGGTTGAGTTATATCCCACAAGATAGCCAACCCAGGCTTTTGGGTTCAGCTTCTTGAGGCGGTCCTTCTTCTCTTGTGCGGCGGCAGTCATTGCAAACATTTTGCAGCCATATGCTCGTAGGAGTGTATGCATTGGTCTGCAGTCAGGGGTAACTAGGCTGTCTCGAAATAATAGATATTGGAAGAACATCTCATATGGGGTCTTCCAGTATTTTGTGTCAGGATGGTGTTTGATTATAGAGATACATTGCTGCAGTGTAGACGTGACGCCAGAGATATGTTGGAAGCTTGGCTCCGCTACGCATGGCAAGAGCTTTCGTTTTGATTATACCCCCTAAGCATTCAGCGCCTCTATTTTGGTCTTGGATGTGAGGTGTAGAGGGCTCAATTCGGATGTGGTTGTCTTTGATGAAGTCCTTAATGTCTTTTGACTTAGTGAACTTATTGTCTGTTTCTATGGCCTCAACGTTGATCTCGGACTGTATTTTCAGTATACCGATGATGCTTTGGAGGACGTCAATTATATATTCTACAGTTCTCCTTTTCAGGAAGTATGCCCACACGTATCCAGAGTATCTACAAGTGACAAACATAATACTCTAATAGCCATTTGAGTCTTTCTCAAGGTCAAGAAAGTCGATAGACAGGATGTTACCTGGCTTGGTTAATGGTCGCCTAGGTGTTCTGCGTGTCTGTTTCTTGATTTTGGCCTTGCCACACCCATCACACTGAGCAGTAGAGGGACCCTTGATTCTCACTCCTTTAGCATGCTTTGTGATCTGGGCAATTACTTCAGGGCCAGAATGCCCTAGTCGACAGTGCCAGAGGTTCTAGTCACCCTTATTTGGAGCTCTTTCTGTTCTGGAGTTGATCATCCTCCTCTGCAGGGCAAAGGACGCTTTAGTTTCGCCTTGGAGTATGTCCTCTATAACCCATTGCACAAACTTATCTGTGAGTTTGAACACCACTGAATCATCCTTTTGTCTTACACAGTTATTAAGAGGTTTATTGTCCCAGTAGTATCTAAGCATCTTGAGCTGCCGTAAAGATACAAGGTTTGCCGCGAATCCTTCACAGAAGGCGACATTTTGTAGCGTCAAGATGAATGGTCCCAGTGAGTCATGAGCAGTGATGTCTACTTCTCCGTACCCTAGGATTAGTATAAAGGTGTCTCTTGCGTACACTCCATCACCTGTTGTGGTTCTGTAAAAATTATTGAAGCGAGTGATAACATTGAAGATATGTAAGGTTGTGTCAGAATCAAGGACTGACGAGTTGAGTAAGGGGTAAAGGGCGGTTGTGTAGGAGGACTTCGTATTATTTGCTAGATAAGATGCTGCTGTTTTCTTTGTGTATTGGCACATGTTGTACTTTCTCACCCCTTTCCGTGAGTCAATCGCTGTGATGGTGCAGACCCCATCAGTGGGTATCACGTGACCTTATGCCATGTGACCTGGCCAAACACGTTGTCCCGTCCCAAAAGGTGGGGCGTAGCGGAGCGGTCGCACAGATCTACTTCACCACCCAATTTGGGTGCGAGACCTGATCTTCTCTTCTCTTCTCCCCACTAAGAGATTTTTGTATATATATAATGATTGGAGCCCTTATGCTTAACAACCTTTATATAGAATGTGACAATCGCGCGGTGTCTGTCTCTTAGAAATTTGTGCTACTTCTTCAGATAGATTGTTGTCTCTTTTAAGCAGTAATTTGACCATTCGCTACACACTGTAGTGGACTTTCCATCCATTTGGTCGCTTGTCTGGGAAGAGGTAAAAGCATTTTGTGAAGTGGTGCCCTTTACAATGGCATCCCTTGCATGCTTGAGTGGTTGAAAGAGCTTCTTCATCGTTTTGACCCCTTTTGCCAGAAGCTCCCTGACTTCCTTCTCTGAAACCTCCTCTTGATCCACCTCTTGAGCCCCCTTGCTGTCTCTGGTTGTTATTTCCTTCACTGCGGCCTCTGCTTCTTGCGTTTGATTGTTCTTTAGGATGCTCCTTTTCTCTCTTGTCTCCAATTGAGTCTCCTGTATCGTGAGGCTGTTCTCCATAAAGGGCTGGGAAACACGCTTTCCATCCTTTTAAAGGATTAGTAATAGCGCGCGTTGTTATCCAGTTGTCGTGGAGGTCAGAGGCTATCTAGGAGTACGAAATACTGCCTTTAAGCACTCCTTTCTTCTTGTTTGCCCTGGCTTGAGAAGACCAATTGGAGTTCATTAAGGCGACAACAACTATAAAGTCTTTAAACCAGATTGCTGGAGATAGAGCCTCAGGGATCCTGGCTTTCATAGCCCTGGCCATAACCAACTCCCATTCTTTAATCCAGTTGATAAAATCCTTCTCTTTTTTTTTTTTACCCCCTTGTTGACCGTTGATATAATGGCACAGTAGTCGGTTTAGGCCTGGTGCATGATGTTCTTACTGTAGATAGCTCCTTCAGTTGCGAGCTCTTGGTACCACTGGTGGAGGTTTTGTTCAGAGAGTAGTTTGGTCTTCTGTATGGTAGGATCGACAATTTCGAGAGTTCACTTGGTAAGTTCGGATATGGAGGTCTTGGTTTGCTGATAGATCTTGTCTTTGTGCTCAAATAGGGCGACGTTTATCATAAAGTCAGCTGCTCTTTCTGTTATAAGGTGTGAAGCGAGGACTCGTCCCTCCTCCACTGCTGTTTGAGCAGTTCTGGTAGCCTTCTTTGAATACTCTTCTGATAGGATATCCGGAGGCGTTGGTGCTGTTGGCCATAGAGTAGTTACCCCTGGCTCAATATGTTGCCAGATGCTGAGTGCTTCAGCCCTTTTCTGGAATTGGAGTCCCCAGCTGACAAAGTCCTTTCGAGACTGATAGTACGCAGTTGTGTTCTTGGTTGAAATTGTGATATTCATCTTGAAATAGTTGTATGATACGTGTATTCGAAATATGGATGCCGGTTGCGTAGATTCAATGAGACTCTTGATTGTTGAATATACGGATGTTGATTGATCGATTCCATTGATTGTTCTGCTCTGTGTACAGAGATTGATCATCTGTCTTCTTGGTGGGTCAGATGCTTTGTGCGTCTCTGTCCCACTGGAGATCTTCCGGTGTCTATCTCCGGCTCCCATTCAACAGTAGTCGTGGTCTAAGAAGGGCGGCAGCGCGTGAGCGACGGTGTGGCGTTTGCGGCAACACTGGCCATAATGCCTGAACTTGCACAATAGAGATAGAAACCTCTGAGGAAGAGGAATCCAATTGATTGAATTAAATTGAATGCGTTGTGATTAAGTTATTTGACATGGCAGTTGGGAGGTTGGTAAGAAGTTGCCATTCGCTTGTAATTGCTGCTCACTTGTTATCTACGTTAAATCGTTAAAATATAATTTAAATAAGGGTTGATAAGAAGTAGTAACAAGGGGCTACCAATATAATTAAAAAGTAAAATATATATACAAAAACTTAATATATAAATAATAATAATAATAATTCATAAATATATTATTTAACTAGCTTAAAATGCTTTTATAAACCCTTTTTAAAGTTACTTTGTACGTTATTAACTACTTAACTAGTTAAAGGTATAGTTCATGAATTATAATTAGATAAAATATTTAAAAAGATTAGCTTAAAAGATTAATTGTGACGGCCTGCACAGACCTTCCCACATGACAAGTGGATACTTCCTAATAGGGGAAGGATCTGACCAGAAGATCCCCTTAAAGGGGCAACCTCCCACTGTACCTATCTCTCTCTCTCTTTCTTTCCTCTCTAGTCTTGATATTCTCGTCAATAGAGTAATAGCTGCTTGCTGCCGGCCATGTCCCAGCTCCTCAGTACGCTCGCCGTGATATTAATTGAAAGCCAGCTAGTTAAAAAGAAGCTAACAAGTTAATTAAAAGCTAACTAGTTAGAAGCTAATTATTTGAACTATAGAAAGCTTAGCGTCGACGTGGTATTAGAAGCTTTTATATTAATTAAATCCCACGGTTTAAAGTAATGTATAATGGTTAATATAAAAAGCTAAAAATAAACGATAACCGTTTTATCAATTCTTTATTTTGAAGCTTATCTTATATAATATCGACTTAAACTTAATAAATACTTTCTTAATATACGACTTTATATCTTATACTTTTAAACGTTTTACAAATACGAGTAAAACAAAGTATAAGCGAGCCACTATTAAAGCCGTAAGGGGCCTATAGTTAGCTAGGTGGTCCGCCGGTAAGATAAGATTATTCGTTTAAATAACGCCTATAAGATGGCGCAGGCTTTTATTAATGGTCCACCTTGACTTTTTTCGCGGTAGCACGCCTGGCTTTGCAAACCGGCGAGGTAGATCATACAGCGCGGGAAACCTTATAGGGTACAACTACGATGCTAAGTTACCCTCTACCTCCTAGGCTGTAAGGATTGATTTTCAGGCCAACAGGCGCGTAGTTAAAGCTTCAGGTGGTGAAACACCATAAGTTACCCGAGCTGGACCTCCACGTCCGAATCTCTGAGCCCCTTTTCCAGCGAATCCTGTGCCACATAGCCACATTGCCGGCTTGCATTTCTTCCCCCTATCTGGCCTTTGCTAGATCATCGCCGGGATGGTTACGCTGATAGGGGACGGGCGACCCCATGCTCGTCGCTTTCTTGTAAAACACCGAGGAGGAAAGTAGTACCTGTTCCATAGTTGCAGCGGAGGAGATCTTATATGACAGTATGGAAATAGTCAATAGCCAACTTTCACAGTTTCTGCCGTCATATATAAACGATAATTTCATGCAAGCCGGCCGCCATTTAAATCAAGCAGGCCATGCAACTCATGTCGATAGCGCAAGGTGAAGCATTTTCGCCAGCTGTCGCCCAAGTTTTCACCGCGCGCGCCAAATCTTGACAAACTCGCAGCCCAGTATACTTCCCACTGCAGCATCTCTTAAAGTTAAGCCCCAAGTCTCGGGGTGAAAAAGAGTAGGGAAGCACCTCGGTCAAGCGCGAATTCCTCGCCGCACGTGTAATGCCACCTAAAAGGCCTACATTCAAGATAACTACGCTCTACGTGACCCGGAGCACGGGGTACTACCTAGTTTTTTATCGACTTTTTGCCGATAACTAGTAGAGAGAGGCTGGCGCAGGGCTGTACGCAGTTGCTTATAGACACGTTAGCTTCTAATCGGTCTTTGCTTTTATATGTAGCCTCTTTTATAAAGACATATACAACAATTCTAGAGCATTTAATTTTTATAATATATAATTTTTTCTTTTCATTTATGTAAACTTATCTGCTATCTCTCATGGTCTACTACAACTATACAACTCACTACTAACAATAGCTGCACTACTAGCACCTTACATTACAAGTGCTCCCCAAGACGCCACATCAACCCTAAAATATTCTTCACGGCGCTCTTCCTGTCCATTTTATCCCCAAGTCAAGCCATACGGTCCCGGTAACAGGCAGCGTCAGCTGCGGTTTCCTCGTCTCGACATCGCGAAGGTACTCGTCGGTGATACGAAACTGGAGAAAGCGTACGTACCGACGTGCGGCGGCAATGACAACGACGCTGCAGAGATCAAAGAGACGTTTGGTTAGCTTCATGAACGGAACCAATCAGAGGATGATGTCACTTGGATATATGGTTGGTAAGTGACTTACACCGGATCTTGATGAACCGGTCTCCGCACCAATCGCGCCACAAGCGCTTCAGCCGTCTTTTGGCCCAGCCAGGCGTCAGAGATAGGCGGCCTGCCCTCGTGATGATGCTGAAAGCGCCTTTTGGTCTCGGACAGCAAATGGTAGCAATCGGAAACACGCGAGCGGTGGTAGGCATGCTCGCCCTCCGTGGACAGCATCCGCAGACGCAGGCCGCCGTCGTCTTCGGCCCGGATCTGCCGGCCGCCGACGGTAACCGCGCCGACCGACAGACAGCCACGGCACTCCAGTCTGTTCAACAACCGGAGCTGCTGATAGGGCGCCGAGTGGAGGATATGGCGCACGAAACAGATGACCAGTCGCTCCGTCTGGATCTCTCGCGCCCCGTCCAGGCCATAACCAGGCGGGACGAAGGCGTCATCGTCAGTGCCGACCTGGGAATTGGTTTGGCGAGGGCTTGAAGAGCCGAACTGCGCGTGCGTCGCATCCACCATGTCTGGGACCTCTGCTTTTCTGCGAATCCGTTTCGGGGGCGGCTGTCCTTGGCTGCTGGTGGTGGTGCTGCTGTGCTGGCGTCGTCTTCTCCCACCCCGTCTTGCGCGAGACCACCTTGGTCGTCCGTCTCTTCTGGCTCATCAGCCACGACGTCGGCCAGCGCAGCCCAGAACTGGCCCAGACTATGCCCAAACTTCGTCGACAAATCCATCTCAACGGATAGCGGCAGATTAGGAGGAGTTGATTTGGCCAGCCCAGCCAAGTCCGAGTTGGGGGCAATCAGAGCATCGATGGACAGCCGCTCGGGCGTCAAGTGCGGGAGGACGCGAGAGTCCGCGGCCTCGACTACGACCCGGAACGCAAACAGCTCGTTGGCCCCCCAGGAACTGGCGGCAGGGAGCTCTTTGGTAGACGCGCGAGGGTTTGTGCGCCGGCCAACGCGGCCTTGCTGGTAACCGATATTGAATACGGTGTTGTACTCATAACTTCTACCTTTGCTCTGAATAGGCTGATTAAAGCGCTGGAAGTGGAAGTGGAAGGGGCAAGGCAGGGAAAAGGACAGGGCAGGGAAAGGGAAACGGTGAAGCAGCAGGCAGCAAGCAACCGGATGCAGTAGATGAAGCTGCCTATGACGGCCTGGCTGTGGATGTATATACAGCAAATAGTTGGGGCACTGCCTTGCGGAGGCCTCCTCCATGTGGTCAACAACGGCGTCTACCTCGTTGCCTGCATTTTGGCGACTCGCTTAGCTGTGCTTCTATGCACGAATTTGCCGACGCTTTTGAGCCAATCAAGCCTTATAATCAGGGGGAGAGGAGGAAGGGGAAGATGAGAAGAGACGAAAGAGGAAGACGAAAACCAATTACACAACGTGCGTGTTGTGCCAGAATAGCCGCCGCCCACCCGCATGAAACTCAACCCCCTGCCTTGTGGGAAAAGAGGCCGTGATAACATAGCGTCTTTGTGAGAGCCAAGTGCTGCCGCGCGCTACACCATCAATGCCGTGGGTATGTATGCCTATTAGTAGTAATCGGTCGAGGACGGGCTGTGCTTGTAGACAGACAACAGACGATAGACGATAAGACCTGTGACTGCCATTTGCCCTCTTAGATTTGGTTGCATTGTGAACAAGGGCGGCCGGCACAATCGGTTACATTTGTTACACGGTTGTCTGGTTATATCCAGGTTCATGGTGAGGGCGGGAAAAGGGCCCGTGGAGTGTGTTGGTGTTTTGGGGAGTCTGCCGCATTATCGCCATCGTGATCCCCATCGTCACCGTCGCTGCCACATGCACCATCCGAAGAAATCTTCCGCTTCGGCTATCCAAGACAGTCTTTGTGCTCCTGTGTGTGCATAGGCGAAGTCGTAGTGTGAGCTTGAACCGCCACGGCAGCCAGCAGACGATGGCGAAAATCGTGTGCGGGCATGTACGCGATACGCTCGTGTCGCATCTCGACCAGGGCGTGCGTTGCAGCCTCGCAATCGCCGTAGGTGACGCGCCTTCGTTTTCGTGTCAGTGCCCGTGCTCTGTTCGGGTGTCGGAAGCGCTCTAGCAGCAGGCAAGACACGCGTGCCGCGTAGAGGTGTATGTATCGGTTGTCGTCGCCGCGCGAGAAGATGAGCCGTGTCTGCGACAGGAGAGATCAGATAAGACAGGTCAGTTGCTGTTGTGAGCGGGCAAAATTGGCGAAGAGGAAAGGCAGGAGGCCAGCGTAAAAAGGGCGCCTTACCGTCACCGCCGACTCATCCCTGACAGCACCAGCAGCTTGTTCTCGTTGGGCCAAGGCAATCAGGACAGCAGCAAGGCAGGGCTCGAAAGGCGTGTTGTACTGGCAATAGCCGGCGACATAGCGATAAGGCGCGTCGAGCTGATACGAGTCCATGTAGGGGAGCACCAGCGAGGGCCCGAGGAGGAAGTTGGACGGCGCGGGAAGCTTGTATGTTCGCGGTCCGACAGCCAGCCCCAGGCGCCAGACGCCCGACATGGAAAAGGAAAAGGGGCCGGACTCGATATTTTTCCCTTCCGCCTCCCGCCACCACTCACACAGGGTCTTACGTAGCGACGACGGACGGAAGACCAGCAGTTCATACAATGCCATGACCTTCCGCTCGGACGAGAATTGCCTGGTTAGAGTCCGGACCCAGCACTCGAGATCGTCGCTCTCCAGGACGGGAATGTAGGCGTGTAGAGCCGGTTTCGAGCTGGGTTTCGGCGTCGGTTCTTTAGGTCGTCCAAGGTCGCAACGAGGCGCGGCAGTTCCGGTGGTGGCAGCATCAACACCAGCATCGGCGTCGGCGTCGGCGTCGGCGTCGGCGTGGTAATCGATGCAGAGCGCTCGAAGATGCGCCCAGGTCCATTTCTGCGGCCGCAGCCAGAGCGATTTGTTGTGGCCGACAACGGCATTGAGAGAATGGTGCCAGAGGTCGATAAAGGCTTTGCATTCGGCTTGGGCTTGGGCTTCGGCTTTGCGCTTCATTGAGTCGTTGTACGCGCTATCCAGTGCCATGTCAGAAAAACATGCCGGATGAAGTGTAGGCAGCCTTATCTCAGCATCAGATCAGAGACTGGCCTATGAAAAGGGGCTAATTATGGAGCAGGGCGATGGCCAGTATCTGGTCTGAGTACTGGGCGCAATCCTCCCCAATATAAGGAACCGAACATATATTCTTCCTTCCGCGGCAGTATTGCCTTTTATAACATCTTCCCTCCTACAAATATTTGTCTTGGCACCCGCTGTTAGTGCACCCGGGAAATTACCCATACAAACCTGGTCCTTTTGTATGCGTTATTTGTCGCTTGCACTAACACCGACTGTTTTTGCAAGTACACGAAGGAGAACGAGGGAGATCCGGCTTGGGGACAGTCGACAACAGCCCTCGTCGACATCGTCACGTCGACTGTGATACATCCGCGAGCTCGACGACGCTCTCGTCGAGCTACTCTCACGGCCGCTGCGCGGTGTTCAGGGTTGCGTGTGACGTGACCGAGCGCGCGCGCAGCACATCGGTAATGATACGAAGCGACCGCGCCACTCGTTCAAGGCGATCGATGTCGACGGTACACTCGACGGCGACGACGTCCACGAGGATGTTCCAGGCGAGGAACTGGGTACAAGGAGCCGGGAGGAAGATGACGCGGAGCGGCTTGCTGCTGATACCGTGGGAGGAGGAGGAGGTATTTCCTGTCACCCGGAGGACGGGGGTACCATCAAAGAGTACAACGCCGCGGACAGAAGGGGAGAAGTAGTAGTAGTGTACGCTATATGCGAACTTCCAGTGATGTCCAAAGCAACGATCTGCTAGATGGGTTGAGTGGCCGTACCAGGACGGTCAATACTTGTAAATATCCTAGCCTAGCACGCCGCGCGCCCTTATGGAGGTCCTTGGTTGACGCCGCCTTTGGCGGCTGTCCCACCGGCGTTAAATGCTACAACAACAAATTGCCTTTTATAAGGAATGGTGTTTGTTAGGTATGAGCTGTAAAAATTAGACCCGAACTCTGTGAAAATTACCGGATTAGGTTTAGTAAGATAAAATTTCGGGTAATTAGCATAGCCGTACTAGCCTCAATACTTATAGCTAGCTTTAAAGCTTTATAAAAGCTTTAAAAGTAGCTGTGATGGTTCTACCATCCGTCAGGTCTAGCAATGGTCTCTATGGTCCCCGGGTCACATGACTGATCACGTGACTGATTGGACGATATGTTGATCCATGCCCTGGTGGGTCTGGTGGGGGACGACTGCCCACATTTAGCTGCCTATCAACTCGGGTGCATCTCCAGATCTTTATTTTCCTTTAACCAGAGTTCGTTATACGTTAATAGTTAATAAGGGTCCCTGTATCCTTGCAATACATTGGCGGAATCATGACAGTAGCCGTTATTAAGGTATTAATTAAGTTTATAACAAGTTTTAAAGCTATATAAAAGCCTTTAAGCTAGCCGATTAGCCTTTTAACTAAGTAGCTTTAAGTTTATATAAAGGGTTTTTATTATAAACTTTAATAAAGCATTTGAGTGATAATAATATATAAAAAGTGAAATATATATAAGTTTTAAAAATGAATTTAAGAAAAAAATTTAATAAGTTTGATGTAACTAGTTATAAAAAAAATTTGTATTTAAATCTTCAATTTAAACTTATAGGATTATTTTAGACCTTATACACGGCAATTATTATAGATAGTATAACTATTAGAGCTATTATGTATTATATTTATTAACATGTTTTTTAATAGTTATTATTGAGTAGTTTTAGGAGTTTTGAAATGTTTAAATTAATCATAAATTATAATAATAATAGTCGGTATATTTTTTAAATAAATAAATAATACATAAGCTAATTATGATATAATTATTAGTTTTCAAATTAGATTCTATAATTAATACGCGGGGTTTTTTTAGGGGTTTGGAGGGGTTTTTACCGCTTGAATATTCAATTAAAACAGTTATTACATATGCTTAATAACGTTAAAACGTCTTTTAAAGTTTTAATAAAGTTATAATACTTTTTAATAATAATCTTTTTTGTAATAAGCCGTGTTATAACGTGCTTTTTTATAAGATTTAAACTTAAAAGCTGTCACAGGGTAGATACAAGCACAGGACGAAGATGCCTATCAATCAGGGAAAGGGAAGAAAGATCTGTCACACCAGCTAATTCTGGTAGAGAAATAGATCCTAAATCCCGACCCACAAGTATCTATCTATTTGTGTAGCGGGGCAACGCGTCCACCCCACCAGGTCACATGATAGGAGCGCACACACCATGATGGATGTCAAATCCATCACAAAAGCAATTAATTAAAAGAAGGTTTTTATATTGTATACTTTTAAAGCTTTTAAACATTTATAATATATACTTTTTAAGGGTTTTTAAAATAAAAGGTTAAAGTAGTTTGTCATAGGTATTTTTTAAGTAATTTTTATTATATTTTTAATAAAGTAAATATTATGAGTAAGTATAATTAAATTAAAACAAATACTGTATAAGTTATACCGTCATCAATAATTTATCTTTATTAACTTATTACGTTAAAAAGTGTCTTAATTAAATAAAAGTCTTTAAATAAAAAATTTATAAAATGTTTTATTATTTCTAATAACATAGCTGACAAGCGAATTGACATTACAAGCGAGTTGGCACTCGTCATGAACTCTCCAACTGCCATGTCAAATAACTTCACCACAACGCATTCAGTTCAATTCAATCAATCGGATTCCTCTTCCTCAGAGGTTTCTATCTCTATTGTACAAGTTCGCGCATTATAGCCAATATTGCCGCAAACGCCACACCGTCGCCCACGCGCTGCCGCCCGCCTTGTACAATGACTACCTTCACCCATTTCCTGTTTTGCCAGCTCAGTACCATCTTTGCAGCCTGAAGATCTACTGCATCTTCAACGGAAAGTACTCCTCCTTTCACTAGACGTTTGTTTTTTGTTCTCTGGCGTTTACTTAGTAGGTGATTGGCCTCTTCTAGTTCGCGGACCCGGGAATCAACCAAAGCAACCTTATGCATAAGACCGTATGTAGCCTTCGAAAACGAGCTCAATGCATCAACTATTGATGTAGGTGAGCTTCCCTGGTGGTTTCTGACTCGGTTTTGGATATAAACCGATTGGTTTACCGCTTCGTTAATGGTGGTAGGCGTCTTCGAAGTCCAAGTAGTGGGTGGCAGATTGGGGTCTGGCGACGGTGTTCGTATGACAGCAACAGCATCCAGCTTTGAAAT